CTCGAAGGAGTGCGCCGCGAGCAGCCTGAATGGCTCCTGCCGAGTCCCATTTCGGTTCGGGCGGCTTGGGAGTGCTGCGCTGCAGCGCGCGGCGCAACCCCGCCAAGACTGCACACTATGCAAAGTGGTGCACGCTGAATGGGATCGGAAGCAAGCAGCGCCCCGCCCCGCCCCGCCCGCCCCAGGTGCTCCAGGCGAGCCGGGCCGCCCACGCCTCCACTCCAACGCGTCTGCAGCAGGCTGGCAGGCTGGCCCACTCCACTCCGCGGCCTACTCCGCCTGGAGCGAGGTGCCATCGGGACGACGCCGGTTATCTCGCCACTCGTGACACTGCGACGCTAATGAAGCGGATGAATAGGCCGCCGAGTGGGGAGTCTCTCTCGCACTCACGGGGCGCACCGTTTGGGTGCGAGAGAGACAGACCGGCGGGAACTCCGCGCTCGGAATCAGCCTGCAAGACGGGCAGGCCGGGGCTGCCAAGCCTCAGCGTCACGGTCTGCTTGGAGACGGAGCGCATTCATACCGCGGAGCCAGATTCGGAGCAGTCCAGATTGACGCTGACACCTCACTCACTCACACACCAACTCACTGGGAGCTTCCCAGAACGTCCAACTGCTGCACGCACACACACTCACTCACTCAAACTCAAACACACGCGGAACGTCAGACAATCTTCTGCAAGCAAGCAATTAAAAAGGTCAATTTCTCCCTACTTCTCTTGGGATGTTTTTTGTGGTGAAAATGACGGGCCGGTCTGCTTTACGCACGTCGTGCGTGGTTCTCTTGCTCGGTGGCCTGGCCGCTATGGCCGCTCTATCGGCGGGCTGTCCTGTCCGTGTACCGAGCCAGTGCACTAAGCCGTCATAAAACAGGCTGCGACAGGCGGGGCGGGGCGGGGTGGGGCGGGGTGGGGCGACAGGCCGCCCGCATGTGGCGATGCAACGGCGCTGTGGCGGGGCAGCAGGGCATAGCGGCAGCTCCAGTGGCGCTCTCTCAGTTTTCCTTTTAATTTTTTTTTAATTTTTTTAGAGTGCCGGGTGCCGCCGTTTTGTAGCCGCGGATCGCACTGCGGATTGCCCTCCTTTGCTCGCCACTGATTAGGCCAGACCGCCGGGCCGAGCCGCACTCCGTCTCTCCCTCTCTCTCTCTCTCGCACCCCTACGGGACGCCCCACGAGTGCGACGGAGACAGAGCGACCCAGACGACTCCTCCGGCGCCCGGAGCGGTGTTCGTGACACTATCGCGCCGAGTCTGGCGGGCCGGGCCGGGCAGCCCTGCTTTCTGGAGCGAGCCACAGCCCCTCCAGTGTGCCTCCGGCGTGCCTCCAGCAACACAGAGGAGGGCATCGCGGCGGACCTCTGTTTTAGATGCCCCCCCCCCCCCCCCCCCGCGGCCGTGGCGCGGCCAGCTCGTGGCGCTGGCACGCCGGCTCCATATATTATCCTAGAATAACCCGCCATTGAATGTGAGGTGCTTATTTACCCCGACCACGCACTGCAGACCGATTTCCGAACAGCGCCCCGTCGCGCTGTCTCTCTCGCACCCCTGCGAAAGGCCCCGCGAGTGCGAGAGAGACAGAGGGACTTGATCGAGAAGGGCTGGCCCGTCTGGCCGCGCCATGTGGCGGCATTGTCAGCGCGGCAAACCGCCGGCAGGCACAAAGGCCACCAAGGCGACATTATCAGCCACACTAACGGAACATAGAGCCTCGTAACGACACGTTTACGGCGGTGACGCCCGGACCTGCCGAAAGGGGGGGGGGATTAGGAAGTGCTTCGGGACCAGGAAACGGGGAGAGGGGACGCAAGGATGCTTCTTTAGCGAGAAAAAACGAACAACAAACAGTGTATTGTTCCCTAAACCTCTTGGTTGCGAGGTTTACCTCACGACTACCACCCATCGGTGCGTTCACAGTGGCGTGGGGAATCCCCCGCAATACGAAACTGGAGGCCGGGCTCGTCCACTGGCAATGACAGCTCGCGGTCGATTCGTGATAAGCAAATAAGTATCCACGGTCGTCTCCAGGCCGAAACCGCTCGACAAGCTCCAGGGGGAGGGGGAGAAAAGAAATGATAATGCGGATCGGAGGCGGCCGGGCTGTCCTGGCAGGTAAGACAGCCAGGTTTGATTATTGATACAGAGGGGGCGGAGGAGACACTGAGAACCGTCCTGGTTGCTGTGGCCAGGATGGAAGGGGGGGGCGTCCACTAGCCCCCACGGCGAGAGAGGCAGTAAATTGCGTACCGCCAGGGCGGAGTGGGGCGGGGTGGCGCGGCCCGGGTTCAGTTAGGTTTGTTTACGAATAACTAACAAGAGTTGCGACAGGTCCTGGCCCGGCGCCGCGTCGCGCCTCAGTCTCGGTGACGAGGGGGCCGGCCCTCCGTCATGACCCGACGCCAAATCAGTCGGTGGTTGGTTTGAGGGTGGCTGGGGGACGCTACGCTCGGCTTCGCCCAGTGGGCCAGAAAACCGGTGGAGGCGGTCAAAACTCCAGACGCGTTTTGAGCCCCAGAGGCGCTAAATGGGACTCGAACCGAACGTGTGACCTCACCAATGGATTCCTCGTTCGCTGAGCATTCCATTGGTGGGGTCACACGTTCGGTTCGAGTCCCATTTAGCGACTCTGGAGGTCAAAACGCGTCTGGAGTTTCGTCCACCTCCACCGGTCTTCTCACACACTCTGCTACGCCCACTTGCCTGGCCCACCCGGACGACCTGGCCCCGTTTATTTACATTAGTATGACTTTTCATCGCGAATTAAATTGGTTTCGCTTCGGTGGAGCCGGTCGGGTTGCCAGGGGTGACAGCGGCCATGGCGCCGCTGCAGTCCGATACGCGCAGCGCGCGGCCATGGCGCCGCGCGTCCGGGAACCAATTATCGGACAGGAGCTGATGAAGCGGCGACGCGGCGAGTGGGCCAAATTATTAGCGGCGACACACTGCCGGGGGCTGCCTCCGAACGGTGCTCTCGTAGCTCTGTCTCGCTCGCGCCCCAGCGGGACGCCCCGTGAGTGCGAGAGAGACAGAGTGAGGCCGCAGGCTGGCCCTGTCATTGAAATCCGAGTCGCCGGCGTGGCGCCGTGCAGGGGCAGCTTCGGCCCTTCGGGGCGTCGCCGCCGCACCGTCTCCAAGTCACCGTCTCGCCCGGCGTCGGCAAAGTTGCCGCTCCAAGCTGCGGATGCTGACTGAGTATACACTCATAAAGCAAAAGCGTTGTGCGTGGGCGCAGATCGAGTTGGCATCAAACGACCAGGGAATTTGTTGACTCTTTCGAAGGCACCCACCGCGACCGCGGACTCCACGACGGGGGCGGGGTTGCGGCGGCCGCCGGAGGAGCGCCGCGCAAGGTAGGCCGGCCCGCCAGGCACGCCTGTTGAGCGGCTGGCCTAGCCTCCCGACTGCAGGGGCTTCTGGTGGCGGCAGGCGGAGGCGGCGGCGATTCCAAACCTTCGTAATTAACTTGAAACCGCCTTTCTTGCCTCGTCGCTCCGCCTCTCTCGCTCTCGCTGGGCGGTCCGAGTCCGACAGAGCGACGAGGCAGTGCTCGGAACCAGACCGCTGGGGAGCGATATTCATTGATGCCGCGGGCTGTGGCGCGCTGCGGCGCTGTGGTGCCGTCACACCGCGAGCGAGAGAAAGACAGAGACAGACAATGGGCCCGCTGGCAGTGTGCTGGCAGTGCTCCGCTGCCGTTGCCGTCGGACCGGCCGTATCGGCGACTTGGACAACAGCCTCGCGAAGTGGCAGACAAAAGAAACGAAGGGAAAAGGCGTTGTTCTGTTCATCCCGCGGCGTGCGCGTGGCCGGGCGTCACAAAGAGTGCCCGCCTCTCGCCTCCCAGTCGTATACCTGTCAAGGAGTTTCCGAACTCGGCCGCGGGCGGCGAGGCGCCACTTTCGCTATCGGGGACCATCGCGGGGACGGTGGGGGACTGCGGGGGACGGGGCAAGAGCAACGCGTTGCGCGCGCCGGCGGTTAGTTATTGTCCCCTCGGCCGGGCCGGGCCGTGACGCCCTACACCGCCAGAAAGTAATTGTGGGAGGGGAAAGGACAAGAGTAAGTGGCGGCGTGGCGGGGGATTAGCAGTGGCGTGGGCGAGGGAGACGGATGCGGCACCGTGGAGCACCCGATGCGGTTGCAAACCATGAATAATACCGGTGTCGCCGTCGGGCCGTGCCGTCGTGGCCGCGTCGTGGCCGGCCGGGGTGGCGGCGGATGGATATAAACGCGGCCCGAGTCGCTATCAACTCAAACGGCGCCTTCGCGCGCCGCCTTCGCCGCCTTCGCCGCTCGCCCTTCGGCCTCGACTAAGTATGACGGAGTGCGCTTTACGGGGCTGGCCGGCCTGGCGTCTAACGCGTTGCCCGCGCTGCCGCGCCATCCTCGCAAACGACGCCATCCTCACCTGGACGGCAAGCCTTGGGCGCCCTGGGCCTTGGAACGGGATTGCCGTGAGGCGAGCCTTGCGCGCCTTGCGACCACCAAGGTGAAGGTGGTGACCCAGTGCGTGACCAGCCACCACGGCCAGAACGAGAAAGGCGATGAGGAGCGGGATGAACTGTGCAGGAGGGAGAGAGAGGGCAGTGGCGGCGCCCGCCGCCCACGCGCGCTGGCGGTGGCGTGGCGCTACTCCGAGGCAGTCGGCCCAGTCGGCCCGGCAGCTAAGCGCGGTGCAGGTGCGACCTGTTGGTCGCGCGGCGCTACCCCGCGTCGAAAGGCCGGGAACGCAAGGCGCGGGGTAGCGGCGGTGGCTGGCGGCAAACGAGTACGAAGACGTCAAGTCGTCCCGATCGCGGACGCGGATCGACTTTGGCTCGGCCGCGCTGTATCCGCATACACCATTGACAGTGTGAAGTGGGCGAGGGCGAGTCGAATCCGCGTGACACAACCGGACAGCGCGGCGGCGGGTGGCGCGGGTTCGAATCCACGCGTAGTTTGCTTTTGGCGGCGTGTGGCGCGTGGCGTGTGCATTGACCCCGTGCTCGTGTTGTTGTTCGCAGGCTTCGCAGGCCGTGATGGTGGCTCGGCGCGGCGGTGCGCGGAGGGGCGCGCGAGGCAGGGGCCGCCTGCTGTCACAGCGGTGGTGGGAGCTGGTGGTGGGCACGAGCCTGCTGGGCCTGTGCTGCGCGCTCTGCCCCGTCACGTTCCACTGCGCGCAGGCCGCCCCCTGGAACCAGGACGAGGACCTGGCCGCGCTCGGCAGCCTGGACAGCCTGCTGGCGTACGAGGACCTGCAGCAGGCCGTGCAGCAGGCCGAGGACGCGGCGGGCGTGGCCGAGGCCGCCGAGTCCAGGGGCAAGGTGGCCGTCGCTCCGTGGCAGCCGGCCGACCCCGACCCCCAGCTGTACTTGCTGACGGAGTACGACCGCGGCGGACAAGGCCAGGTGCGGCGTGGCTTCGAGTACGAATACCCTGCCTCAGTTTTCTTGCGTACTCATTGAACCGGTTTTGGCAGGCCCGTGTGAAGAGGAACAGGGATGCCCAGGCTACCCGTCTTGGATCTGGCAAGGCCCACGGCCTCCGCCGGCACGTGCGCAACCCACCCGGAGGCAGCTCCGGCGGCCAGCGGCTCTCCATCGTCAACCCGCTGGACGTGCTCCGCCAGCGTCTGCTGCTCGAGATCGCCCGTCGCAGGAAGGCTTCCGTCCCGCAGGCCAACAGGTAGAGCACGCGGAGCACGCCGAGTCGAGGCCACCACTTTTGGGGCCCTCCAAAAATCCGCCTCAAAACTTCGCCAAAAACGCGCTAAAAAGTGAAACGACGCGGCTATTTAAACGCTCGTTTTGGTTAAGCTTTGAGGCGGATTTTTGACGGCAAAAACGAACGTTGAAAATGTTGTTGGTTGTTCCAGGGAGATGCTGGAAGGCATCGGAAAGCGATCTTGGAGCCCCGTCTTGCCACCACTCCCACTGACTATCGAGCAGCAACTGGAACGCTGCCTGTCGCAGCTGGGCGACCCCCTCAAGACCCAGGACAAGCTGACCCGACTGGCGATCCTGTACAAGGCCATCGAGTACGGGAAATGCGACCTGACAAGGTGAGAGAAGTGCAGGGAAGTGCCAGTGTGAACATCCGTGGACAGTCGAATCCACCCTACCAAACCTCGCAGTGGCCACAGGTTTTTTTTATTTGTTAGCATAAACTAAATCTAATTGTTATTTTTTTTTTTTTAATTATTATTTTAGTGACTTGACCGAACAACCTGACCAGCGGCAGCAGCAGCAGCAACAACAACAGCTGTCGTCTGCAGAGGTGCGGCCTCAGGAACAAGGAGAGACAAACCACCTTAGAGACGAGCAGGAGGAGTGGAATGGGAGGCAACAGGCTAGCGGCTGGTAAGTAATAGACCTTCTCACTTGTATTTTCAATGGTGACCCCCTTAGAGTATTTCCCATTTTCAGTAGCTAAGCTGTTCTGCTGAAATCCTGAGTATTAATACACTGAATCTTTCATATCGACAGGTCCAGAAATGCCCGAGCTGCCACAAGTAGCAACCTTGTATCCTAAGAAGGTAAAAAAACTGCACTAATTCTTTTTTAAAATTCTATTTTCTTGCTAAAAACTTTGTCTTTATAAAGTGTTTTTTCTGTTGCAGGATGGTGCTTGTTTTGCTGTTTCTTCCTCGAGACCCATGTCCCATTTTGTAAGATAGAATATTTAGGCTGGCCTTTGTTTCTCCTGATGGCATCTACCCTCTTGCCTTATTTTTGTATTTCTGTAGGAGGAGCATGTGGCAGTGGCGATGAGACACTACACCATGTTGAATCAGATTCCAATAATGTACTTATTGTAAAATATCAGCAAGTTAATTTCAGCAACAGACTTCTAGAAAACATCTCTGTTTGACAGTGACAATTGCTGCTCCTTGGTTGTACTTTTTTCTAGTCAGGCTTGTAGAAAGTAGATTAGTCAATTAATTTCATTAAGCCTAAAACGATAAACTACTATGTGAGTTTGTCAGAGTCTAATTTATTTTGCATGCACACTGAATTTTTTTCTTGTTTAAATAAAAGGTCTGGAGTCTTTGAGGTCTAGAATACTCTGCTTGTGAGAGGATTTACGAGTAATATATAAATAAAATTTTGGATCAATTCCATTATTTGCACTAGAAAAAGGTGTGGTGATTACAGGCTATAGAACATCCAGGTAGTCTCAATAAAAACTAATATCAGATCATTTAATATAAATTAGAACTTCATCTCTCTTTTACTAAGCATCTAATAGCAAATTCCTTTCTTGCAAATTGCATATGAGATCAATTTCTTACATTAGGCAGGATAGTACTAATTGCTTAAAATAGCAGCTTTAGCACTATCAAACAGTGCAGAATGGAGCTACTGTAGAGGGAAATGTTCTTGTTGAACATCAAAATGAGATGAAACAATCTTGTGTTTTCCTACATTTCTTAAATATTTTTCAGAGCTACACATTGATTAATTTTATGGGGATCGTCGAATAATTCACTGAACATTCTCACCCAAATAATGTCCGTAGTACTGAAAAGTATAGGAAAAGAAATAATGAACATTGGTTGGAGAGGATAAGGGTTAGATACTAGTTTCCTTCTTTCAAATTATGTCCTAAATAATGAACTTCTGAAGTGATGTAGTCTTAACTTGCGAGAGTATTAACAAGTAACTGTAATGAAGGCAGCACAAGTTGACTTGGGCTATTTACTTCTTTTGCACATTACATTCCAAAGAATTAAAAAGCTACATGTCAATTTAAATTTGCATTGGTAATTGTAATATAAGACCCTTGAATAAGCTTTTGTCATTTCACAGCAGTGTCTTTAAAATAAGCTTCAAGCTCCGTTACTTATTTCAAATGTGAATAACCCAACAAGCTCAGGCAATGATGCAACCCAAGAGCAGTTCAACCAAGTATTTAGAAGAAATATAGAAATGCACTACATAGTAGGGATTTGGCATGATCAACTGCTCCTATGGCTGGACTGGGCAGTTAACATTGATTCCACTGTGCTCCACTAGTACCAGTGTTGAGTATAATTAGTTTCTCTGCTGAATATTTGGGAATATTTGATTCATTGAACTGAACTGATTATCTGAATGTAGAAGACTAACTGCTTCTAGTTTATGATCCTATTTCCTCTTCCTGTCTCTGACAGCAAACTGTGACGTACTAATTATTGCATTGTCATTATTCATAGTAATAAAAGCCATAAGTTGTATGAGTGTCTGACTGACCCTGAGGATTCTAAAAAATCAAGATAAGACAAGTACCATTCACTGCTTTATTCAGTTCACTTGTATAACAACGTTTATCTACGAAAATGTACTCAACAAACCTTCCATACACATGCTAATTAATTCATCACATTTTGATGCAAATTCTTAGAAAGGAGTAGTAAGCATACTGGATTCCATAATCATACAAAAGAAAACTCTTCTTAGTCACTAAAATGCAAAACAGTAAATAATAGAGACCATCGAGTTGACTTTCAGTGATTTCAAATAGGTGGATTTGCATTTGACCTTAAATCATAATAAAACAAAGGAACGAGAAATGAAAAAGCAATTCATTCAACTCAAAAGCAAGATGGCATGAGGTATCACGGTTGTCAGCAGCTGAGGCTGTCTTAACCCAAGCTCAAGTCACTGTACGTCAAATCTCCCTTGTTTCCAATAGAAATTTAGAGCCTGTAGCAAAAATGCTTCACGGACAATAGTCCATCCATATTATCACAAGAATTACAGTGTTAGTAAGGCAACACTAATCTAAGACAGACACCACAAAAATTGGCAAAGCTAAAAATACGCATTGCTGATCTTTAATCATAATGTAGGTGATCTGCCTCACTCCTTCAAACAAATTAGAGCACATGACACTGAGGGGTATACTGCATATTCCAATCTATTTAAGATTGTTTAATTTTTATTTATTTTTTTTGTTTTAGTTTTGTTTAAATATTTATTTCCAGAGCACTTTGGAGGTTTGCTATCACATTCATGATACCTGGGTCAGCAGTGAAAATAATTAGCCATCATGTTAGACCTAGTTGCATTTGATCAGTTTCACGACTAGTTGATGATGAAGCAAAATTTGGCCAAATTAGATGGTAAGAAGGTTGTTGCGAGTGAGGAAGTTGTACCCAATATCAATGGATTCACACCAAATTCTAACTAACATTGATTTTTTTTTAAGGAAGAATTTACAAATTAACATACATTGTACACAACAAATGATATATAAATATACATAAGACAAGTTATGTGACTGTTAAATTATATAAAATTTGATACAAATGCAGATAAAAAAAAGGACCCACAGAGATAAAGGAGAAATTAAAAGAGGAAAGATAATTTTATTGCAGTAAAGTTTTTTTTCCTTTTTATCATGAAACAGGTTAAAAAAAATGGGTAGAAACTTACAGTGTACAGGATTTTTAGAGGCCATCAAAGTTTAGAACACTTTCTAGTTGATTTGGACACAGCCTCTCATAAACGTTAACAATGAAGTCCCGCCTGTATGATTAAAAGTAAAACATAATTAGTTACTTCAAGAGGGGATTTTACAAAAAAAATATGAAGAAAAGAAATGACTGCAATGAACTTACTTTGCACTGATTCCACCACCAGGTGGGAGATTAGAAATTTCCTCATCTTGCAAAAGTTGAATCAGATACGGGAATTCCACATGATCCAAATTTTCACGAACAAGTTCTGCAATAGATAATAACAAATAAATGCTAAACATAATTGTGGGAGAGATGCGACGGAATAGCCACAACAACATACCAGTTATCCTCCTCTCTAAGACTGATTCCATATCGGACTCCTTCGATTTGGCTTCATCACAGGGTTTAGGGGCTCCTGGGAACGTCACCAGCACAATACTCATATTATCTCTGCTACCCTGAAAAAAATGAACATAAAATTTGTGAGACAATGTGCTTACAAGCGGTATCGTAACAGAATTCAATTGTTCTCGGAGGATATATATATACCTTGAACAAGCATGTGTCAACAACTTGGTTGCAAATGCTTTCCAAGTCATCTGTAAGCAATAGCCTTGATCGAACATAGTCACATAGGTCCACATTGCTCATCACATCCCAGACACCATCACAAGCAAGAACAAGGAATTCATCTTTCTCATCGTTCCGCTCATGAACAAAGACTTCTGGCTCAGGTGACACAAGCTGCTCACAAGGACCGCGGCCTTCAACATTCTTGTACTCATAATCTCCTAAGGCTCTGTTGAGGAATAAGATAGAATACAGGTAAGAAAATTGAGATACAGTAATCAGATAAAAATTGATTAGCCAAATCAGTTTACCTTGATACTGCCAGGGACCCATTAACTCGCTGAATCATGACACTTCCTCCAGCCCGCTGGATTCGCTCTTTTTCTTTTGGCAAGACTGGCTTATGATCCTGAGTAGAGAAGACTAGTTGTCCAGCTCGACAAAGAACAGCTCGAGAATCCCCACAGTTAGCAACAAAAACTTGACGGGGAGAAATTAGTGCACATACGGCTGTAGACCCTGACTTATCCTCTCCACTAGCAAGCTCTGGCAACATTCGCATTCTGTCATCCAAATTCAAGAACCCAGAACGAATGCCCTTGGTAACATCTGACTTTTGAAACTCTTCTGTTTTCACAATGGATTCTAATAAATGTTCGGCACAGTGAGCAGAAACTCTTGCTCCTGCATGACCATCAAATACCTGAATGAAGGAGAGATATTTTAAATCATGTGTGATGGATTCAGTACCATGATGAGTATTAGCATTTCTACTTTGACTCACTGCAAAGAATGACCAGTCCTTTAGGTCAGGTCCAAGTCCAGTAATAGCTCGATGTGCGTCTTCCATTTCCACCCGCCACCCTTGCATGCTGGAAACGCCATAGCATAGCCCATTTCCAGCACCATGCTCATTCGTCTTTTCAGTCTTCGGCTTATCTAAAAAGGCTCCCATTGTGTTTGCACTTAATTATTCACGTTCACCGGGTTAGCATCTTTCTGTCTGGAAACAAAGAGAAACATTGTGCAACATTTAGCAATCATAACTATTACAATATTCAGAGGTACAAATTTAATGCAGGCAACTTAATAAAAAGGAGAAATATAAGGTAGTTTTAGTGCAGCCCAACAGATGCTATCTGCACATAAACAAGGGAGCAATAAGGGTATAACCTCTAAAAGTAAATATATACAAAGCATTTATTGACAATCACAAGATGTAGTGCGCAACAATGTAAAGAATAGAGGTTGAAAAACTAAGAAAACCTTTCTTGTTAAATTGTGTTTGATTGTTTTATCAGCTAATGAGCATAAGGAAAATAAGACCATGCCACTGAAAGGTTAACTAAGGAAAACCAGAAACTTAATGGCACATATGTTTAAAAAATAAATTGATAAGCTGAATTTGTTGAGGGAGCTAGAAAATTCATAAATCTATTGAATTTTTTTATTTAAATAAACTGGTCTACTTAAACAAAACATTTTCCACCAAAACTATCCAAAAGAAAGGAAAATCAAAGCAATACCCTGGCAGGACTTAGTCATTACAAAAACAAAAAGAAGGCGAACAAATGTAGGAGGCAGGAGATACGAAGACCTCCCAAACTGCAAAAGCTTCACAATATTGTCTCGCGTTTGGCGTTGAATATGCACATAATCATCACAATCTAAGTGGAACAAACCGAGGGTTTGGGATACCGAATGCGACACAACCTCCAAACAGTGGATCTACAGCACACTTAGTTGCTTTCACGTGTTACTTCCAGACGATGAGTCAACTTGGGCGATACAGGACCGCTGACAAGCTTCAACTTGTGGAAAACAGGTAACAGATGAAAACAGTGCCAACAGGTAAAGAGGAGCTGGTGCTCAAGGCTTCAGAACAGCTACAGTGTTTTCCATGCTACACCGAGATGAGCAGGCCATATCTCCAACGCAGGGGTCCCTCGGCGCGTCAGTACACAATACTATAGCCAAATTCTAGCCGTAAAATTACCTTGAAAATGTTAGAAAAAATTAAAGCCCTGGTAAACAACGGGCTAACATTTATAGAGAATAAAAGTCCATTATTTCATTGATATCAGGACCAACGCGAGTCGAGTCGCTACGTACACTACGTTATGAATGGCGGATAATCGGAATCGGTTCTGCGCACTGCGCATGCTCATTGCTAAATATAGAAAATTTGAATTACGTCACGCTTTTCCAATCAGCTGTTGCTAACTTCCACCCTTCCACAACGCAGGATTTTAGTCTAAATTACAGAAAGGAAGAAAATGGTTCTTATAATGTGGCTGGAAAATAGTTTGGAGCGGAGATGTAGGATTTGTCTGGTTGGCAAAATGTGAACTGGTTTCGGCGCGGAGTAGCGTACGCAACGCAGTTTCGTATTTTGGGCGGCGTCGTGGTGGAATTCAAGTGCTTTGGGATTTTATTGAAGCTGCGCCGATATTACATTTTTTTGGGAATATAATTAGCAAATTTTCCTTGGCATTTATTGGGACACTGTGATCTATGGCGCAGTTGTTTCACTTATGGCGGGAGAGCCGTGTTCCCGCCATTGAAGAGCCCCATTCAAAATCATTTCTTAAAGTACATTTGATCGGTCATCTGTGATGACTCGTGAAACACTTGACTAAAAAATCTGTTATGGTGAAATAAAATGGTGCTTTTGGTAGCCTAATCGTTCGAATTATGTTGCCTTGCCCTTTTCACGATACTCGGTTATCAGGTTGGTAGTTCTGTGAAGCCGAGTATGAAACATTCATCGTCGATTTGGCGCGCTTTTCTTTAAGGCCTCATCGTGCATAGTCAGTGCCAGTTAGTGCATTGATGGAGTCACAAATGAAGAAGAGCGTGTCGTATCAATGATAGTTTTCAAGTTCTTTAGTCTCGCAGCTCTTATTAGGTCTTCCATTTGCTTTCAGCTTTTAATTGATGATGATTTGTTCCCGCTTACAGTACTTAAGTTTATGACATCTGCGTTGCGGTAGTGCAGTTTTCCCTTTTCCAAATTTTATGAACACTGCGTCACTGCGTGAAATGAAAAGATTCCATCCGGCGTGTACTCTTTGACGCCTCCAGCAACCAACCACAGCCAGCACAGCCAGTGAGGCGTTCCCATCGGTTCCCTTCTCGGCCCGTCGCTGGGCTCGGGAGGCCCGGGCCGTGCTCGGGTCGGCTCGGGGGTGGTTCGGGTCGTGTTCGGGGAAGCTCGGCTGTGGGTGCCGGGGGCGGCAGGGGCGGCTGGGGGCTGTCCGGGCAGGGGGCTGTGGGGTTGTGGGGCTGTCAGCTGTGGCTGCGGTGGATCCAGCATCCAGCAGCTCCAGAGGGTGTGGCCGGCCCACCCCGCCCCAATTAAAGGGAGAAGGGCGAAGCGCGAAGCTTGGCGTGGGCGTCTGCTCGCTGGACGGAACGACGGAACACCGACGGGACAAACGCCTTGGAGTACCCTGGAGCCGCCGCCCCGACGCCAGGCATCCTTGGCAGTGGAAAGACAGGACCTCCACGGTTCAAGAAGTCGCGGAGCGCGGAGCCGAGCAAGCCGAGCCGAAGCAAGCGGAGAGCCGAGCCGAGTCGTGGATGTGGCGGTGGCAGGGAGCGGGGAGTGGCTGGGCTGGAACTCGCTGCGGTGGCTGAGGAGGTGGAGGCGGAGGCTGCAGCGGTAGCGGTGGTGGCAGCGGCAGCAGCTCCAAGCCCCTGGTCCCCCTGCTGGTGCTGCTTGCAGGGCTGTGTCTGCTGTGTGGCCTAGTGCGCCGTGCGCGACTTAGGCCCTCCCTCGCCTCGCGTCTCGCGAATGTCGGTGCAGCAAATGCCACAGTGCTAGGGCCCTCCAAGTCCCCTGTTCCACGGGTGTGTCTTCCGCCAGCGTCTCACCGCTCCCGCGCTGGATTCCAGGATGAAGGTGAGTGAGTGGCTTCTGCTTGTTTGGCTGGCCCTGGCCCGAAGGAGTGTCCCTGGCGGCCGATCCTGGCCGCCTTCAAGACCCCCTTCACACCGGGACTGTCTGTGCGCTGAACGGGTGTCACCCATTTCGGGGGCCGCGGTGCTGACACAAACGTTGGTCGGAATCGCGGTCCACGGACTCTGAACGTCTGTTCGGTGACGCAGAGTCCCGAGGAGCGCGAGTCCTGATCCTGGGTGAGGCTTGCTGTGCTGCCCCGAAGCCTTGAGCCTGCAGGTGCAAGGGGGGGTCAAGAACCTTGCAAACCGCACCAGAGGTACTGGACTGGCCGGAATCCCTCTGTCGCAGGTCGGTTACGCATTCGCTCTCTTTTATTTTTGGAATGCTGTTAGGCCCGAGCCCGATTCAGAAACCACAACAGGTTAAGGGATCCGTTGAGGTTAGGTTTGTTTTTGTGTGGGTGTCAAGTTGTGAACTGTCATTTCTGTGCGAGGAAGTCATAGGAGTTTTAAGCGCCAGCCTTTTACAAGTAAAATTAGTTTTCATTCCATTTAGCTTTTTGTGTTTTAATTAGAGTACTTTATTGTGTAGAATCTGAATGGCATTTGTCATGAAATTTTAAGAACTGTAAAATTTGTAGGTTACAGTCCTAGCCATTCATAATACTGCTCAAAAATTTACCGTGGGATTTTATTTTTATATTGAGATTCTGTCTGCAATGTTTCCATAATTTTCAGAACTCATACAAAATTTTGAAAGTTTTAAAATTAATTAGTTTAATTTGTCACACAAGCGTAAGATGTCTGAAGATGCATTCCCATACTGCGTGAATTGTTATGAAAATTCAGCATACATTTTGTTCTGCGTCAAATTAATTGAAATTGATTGTTTACTGTGTGGCGTGATGTCTGGCTGAAGTCTGCTGATTGGATAAGTGGGTTCTGCAAGCTGAAGAGATGGACTGGTGTACTTATGGTTAGCTCTCCTTGAGCAGACGGAACTCCTTTTGCTTTAAGCACCCTTGACTGCTCTCTGTGACTGACTTTCTTCCATCTGTATCATCCATAAAAATTCCATTTGTTCAAACCACTATTGAAAAACCGAGCTGTGTTTACATATGGCTGAAGAAAAATTGAGGAGGTGGGACTTTGACATCCAAAATATATGCAGGTACATGCGGCGACCCGACCGGGCGATTCCGCACAGCGGCGTCTTTCTCTCGCACGGTGAGGTCCGAGCGAGTGCGGGTGCGAGAGAGACAGAGCGACGAGGGCCCCTCCCACGCAGGGAAAGGCGCCGGCCGGCCGGCGAGGCTAGGGCTGTCTAGCTCGGCCAGCGCTAGACAAGCTGGGCTGGGCTAGGCTGGGCTAGGCTGGGCTAGGCTGGGGACTCCCACTCCTTGCTGTCTTCCTCTCTGGCATTTTCATAGAGCGACGACTGTGGCGACTGTGGCGCCACAACGACTCGGCCCCCTCCAATCAGGGTCCCTTCATCCTGGCCGTCGCCCTGTCTCTCTCGCACCCCCTCGAGACGCCCCCCGAGTGCGACAGAGACAGGGCACTCACACACATGGCCGTCGTGCATCACCGGCCGCCCCCGCCCCGTCCCCGTCGATGCCGTGGCTGCTTTATCCATTAGTCGCTTGAGAAACGCCGTGTCCGACGCCCCGGCCGCCCCCTCGGACGTCCCTTCCCCTTCCTGTCCCTCGGGGCCCTTCGAGCACTTGGAGTCGTCGTTTTGACCGCCTCGTTTCAGCCGCCGGGCTTGAAAATTGGTGTGGCCGGCCGGATATTTTTCTATTTTTTTTCTTTTCGGTGCACGGACCAGATTCGTGCTTGTGACGCGCGGCGCCGCGCGATGCCGCCCTGCCGTGAATCCTTGAATGCCGCTCGCAGCGCGAGCAGCGCGTTAGGGCGACGGGGCGCCGGGGCCTGTGCGTGTGTGCGACGCGGCGACGCGGCCGTCGAAACAGGATGTCGTTCTGATTGTGTAGGGCAGGGCGTATCTGTCGCTTGACGCTTGACGCCTCACCAGTCTCAACACTGCTTTCGGGGCTCTGTCTCTCTCGCACCGCCTCGGCACGCCGCACGAGTGCGAGAGAGAGCGAAGACGGCGTTCGGAGGCTGCCTGCTGGCCGCCCAGGCTGCCTCCGGCCGCGCCCCACCCCCTCGCCATTGTGTCCTGGCGGTCCGGGGCCTGGCGGGCCTGGCGCCGCGGCGTCTGCAAGGCCCGCCAGCGCCACTGCTATGCCCGGCCCGGGCCGGCGCGGCCCGGCGCGGCCGGCATGGCATAGCGCCCCGTCAAACCGCGGCCCAGCCAGGCCTGGCCCAAGCCTGGCCAAGCCCTGCGCACCCAGGCGGACGGGGGCGAGATTAGATCAAATCGACTTTGTATGTGCCATTTCTCGGCTCCTGTGTGTCTGTCTGTGTGTGCGGCGGCCCGCGCTGTCTGAGTGCAATGCCTTGTCGTGGGCCCGAGGCAGCCCCAGGCGTCGCTCTGTCTCCGTCGCACTCACGGAACGTCCGCGTCGTCCGCATCGAGGTGCGAGAGAGAAGAACGAATCGCACGGCGGGACGCGCGGGACGGCCGTTTGGGGCGATACGGCGCGTTTCAATATCCTGTGGCGGGGATGCACGGTGGCGGTCCGGGCGACGGCGGTGCCGAGGACGACGACGTCGACGACGATGCCGTCGTCGTGGCGGCAAAACAAACGAACGCCGCCATGGGGGACGGCGCCTGTCGCCAGACGCCACCCCGTTCAGGGCACATCCGTTCGGGCCCGGCCCGGCTAGGCCCCGCCTCCTTCCGGCCCCTCCCCCTGCCTGCAACCTGTAATTACACATTGAAATTGAATTGCAATGTCGTTTCGGAGGAATAAGCGGGGTGCGTCTGCTGGCCGGATCCACTTAGGCCTCGGCGAGCGGGTCGCCAACGGGCGGCGTCCCGGCCGACCGCGCCCGCACGCAGGGCCCGCAGGCCGATTCCGAGGGTCGGTTTGGTCGCTCTGTCTCTCTCGCACCTGTGGAGCGCCCCGTCTAGGTGCGAGAGAGGCTGCGCGGCCGCGCGGCCTAGGACCGCGAAGCGCGAAGGGCGGGGGAAGGTTGCGTGACATTTTCCACTGCGGGAACGAGACGACGCGAGCCGCGCGCGAGAAAGGTGGGTCCTTAAAAAAAATAAAGAAATAGGCCTAAAGGGAGGGAAAAGGCTTGTCTCGCGTCATTTCGCGGAGCGAATTTGCCTTGGCGTGCACCGGACAGGGCTCGGCGAGTAAATGCGCGATCCCGGTGCGGCAGACAGACAGACAGACGGACGGACGGGCGGCAGCCTGCTTGTCAACAAATATGTGTTTAGCGCCGGCAGCAGCGGCGGCTGTGTCAAAGGATGACGTGACTTGCTGCTCGGCCGAATGGATGAATGGATAAACGGAGGAAGGTTTTTTAAGTGCCGTAAGATTGCCATAGCGGCGCGTGAGCAGCGCAGCGTCGGTCTCGCCGCGCTCCCGAAAGGGAAATGAAACTGGAAAATTTCCGAGGCGTTTCCCCCTCTCTCTGCCTTTATGTGATGTTTTCCCGATTCTCATCCGGGAAGTGGAGTGGAGGGACGAATTGCTTTCCCGTGGCGATGCTCCCCTCCGCTCCGCCTCGCCACCCCGCCCTTCGATGTGTCCCAGCGTCGCAGGCAGGCAGCCAGGCAGGCAACCAACCCCGCCGCGGGACACGGCTAAAAATACGAGACGTAATTGTGACAGCGTGTGGGTCCGGGTCCTCGCTCGGTCCTCGCCGCCCAGCGTGGCTTCGCGCGGCGCTGCGTAGCCTAGCGTACAAGCGTAGCACCCTGTTGGAGTTTTGACGGCGCTGGAAATGCGATTCCGAGCTGTGCACGCCGGAACGTAATGGAAATAATTGGAACGCGGAGGAGGAAGTCTGTCTGCACCGGCCGACGTGGTCCTCCCGGCCACTCCCTCTACATACTCTACATGCACGGTGGCGCGGGCCCGGCTTCAAGTCCGGCCAGCGACGGGTTCCGTTCGTTTGCTTTAGGTGTGGCGTGAGCGCGCGCGCGCGCGTGTGTGTGTGTGTGTGTGTTTGGTGTTTTTGTTTTCCCGCCGTGCGGGAGCCGCCCTTTCCGAGCGCGGTGAGGCTTTCGGCGGCAGGGGCGGGGCAGGCCAGCCCGCTACACTGCCGAGCGCGCCGGGCTGGCCCACCTTCACGGCGCTCCATGAGTACGACAGAGACTGACGACGACTGTTTTGTTGCAGGCACGCGGTTCGGGCTGACGCTCGTCTGATGCGGCGGCGCCAGGCCGGCGCTGGCCCATGGAGCTGCACTCGCACGCCCTGTCTCACTCGCACAGCACCCCCGCTGTGCACGCTCACGCGCACGCTCACGCGCGCGGCGGGCCGGGCCAAGGTCCGGGCCAAGGGCCGGGCGGGCCGCACGCCTACAGTGCCACGGCCGCGCACCCCGGGCACCCCGGGCACGCGCCGCGCCACGGCGGCAAGATGCTCGCCGTCCGGGTGCTCAAGCTGGACGACGAGGTCACCATCTTCCAGGTCCAGGTGAGTGGAACGACACCAGGCCTGCAGACTGATTCGTTTTCGTCGCTCTGCCTGTGAGTGCGAGAGGGACGCGACGAGGACGGCTCTCGGGATGAGTCTGCCGCCACAGGTGCAGCAGGGCGACGACGCCGACGACGAGAGCATCGCGCTCGAGGACGTGCTGGAGGGGCGTGCAGCAGGCTCTGTCTCTCTCGCTCTCACGGGCAGGGCGGCGGTGCGAGGGGGAAGCCCCTTGCTTGCCCGCCAAGTGCACCGGCAAGTAGGCCATGGCGGGCCATGGGATGCTAGTGGATCAATGGCAGCCAATGGCAGCGCAGGGCGGCGGGCCTCAGGCGGGGAAGGGAGCTGCTTTGCTGCTTATCGAGTCAATCACGACCCTGCACTAGCCGCCCCGCCGAGCTGGCAGGCAGGGCATCGTGCCGCGCCACTGGCAGGGCACGCCACTGGCACGGCACGCCGGGGGGCGGGGGCCACTTTGCTTGGCCCGCGTGGGGCTCGCGGGGCGGGGCGCGTGTCGCGAGGCGGAAAAAGAGCAGACAGGACAAATATTGGCCTGATTGGGTCCCCCTCGTCCGAGCCCCGGCAGCCGCAGCGGTCGGCCCGGCATAGGCCAGACAGTGCGGCCGTTCCTAGCCTAACCCCTCCCTCCAGCCCGACTCCAGCCTGTCCGGGGCCTAATCCAGGTGCACCGGAATGAGCCGACAGGAGCAACAACAACAACAGGAGAACGCCCTCTGGCCGCCCTGGCCGCCCACCCCCTTCTTTGCGGGCTTTCGGTTCGGGGGCTCTCCGCTCATGGCTGCAGATCCGGCCGGTGCCGCCCGGGTCGGTCCGCCTCGCCTGCCCCGCCCCGCCCCCGCCCCCGCCGGTGCACAAGATAGTGGACTGCGGCACGTGATGTAGGATTCCTCTCCCGCCCCTTTACCCCGCACGTCTCACTCAATATAGATTTTTTGTAGCGTGCCTTTCAAAGTTTGGCGGCGGACTTCCCGGCGCTCCGCTGGCTCCGCTAGTTGAGACTCTGGCCAGGCCAGGGGCTGGGGCGGTAGACTACACTGCTGTGGCCAGAGGGCCAGAGCCAGTCCAAGGCGGGAGGGGCAACGTTGGCTCTAGGCGCTGCGGTGCAGTGGCGGTGTCGCTGGTCGTATCTGTCGAAGGAGGGGAGGGGGGGAGGGAGGCGTGGGGCGTAAGGCGTCGTAGGACGGGCAAATTGTTGCTTCCCTTCTCAGCCCTTTAGCCCGGGGAGGGGACCCTTCATCTGGGACGGCGCTGCGCATCGCCGCGCCGAGTGTCTAGCCTAGCCGACTATTGAACTGCGATTTAGGCGGCCCGTTCAAATGTGGGGCGCGACGCGTCGGGTGGCGCTACCGGTTGGTGTGGCTTGGCAGCGTGGCCCCCGCCCCGTGGCCCCGTGGCCCTAGCCTTGTGGCCCCCGCCCCGCGGCTCGCGCTGCTCGCGCGCTTCATGGCGTGGGCGTGGAGCGGTGTGGCGTAGGGCGCGTAGGGCCAGGGTGCTGTTGGCATTTCACGACTCGGCACCGCTGGTCCGTTTGCCTCCCTTTTTCCAGCATCCCCCCTCTCCCCCACCCCTCCCTTTTCGCTGGGGATCGATACCGGGATCCACCCTCTCTCCCTGTCTCTCCCACGACCGCCCTAGCCCGCGGAGCCCCCTTGCCGCCCCTCCCCTTCTCTCCCTCTCTGTCTCTCTCCTCCGCGCTCTCCTCTAGGTCTCTCCTTCTCTCCTCTACTCTCTCTGGTCGCCTTTGCGGTTCGGCGTGCCTCTAGCCGCATTTCTACGCTGCGCCGCTGCGCCCTTGTTTGGGAGGGGGAGCGGGGATCACTACTCGCTCCCCGAATCACCCCCCCCCCCCTCTTCCCCTTCTCCCCGAACCCCGCCCACTGCGTTAACTGCATGAGCCGCGTCACAAAATTGTAATAAACAATAACAAAAATTATTGAAAAATTAAGGGCATTTTAGAATGAAAAAAAAATGTTTTGATGCAAATTTGTAGCATGTTCCAATCACGAATTTTCTCTTGATTTCAGTCAAAGGCCCTGGGGAGGGTGCTCTTTGAGCAAGTATGCAACCAACTTCATCTGCTTGAAGCAGATTACTTTGGACTGGAATATGAGGATATGAATGGATGCAAGGTATGAATTTATATTCAACTTTATTCTTGCTTTCAGCAGTGTAAAATTTTAATTAATTGTTTGTTTATTTACAGTACTGGCTAGATTTAGAAAAAGCAATGACCAGACAAGTTGGTCTTTCCCTTGTGGATCCTCACATGAGGTTTTGTGTGAAATTTTATACTCCTGACCCTGCTCAGTTAGAAGAAGAATTCACAAGATACTTATTCTGCCTTCAAATAAAACGAGATCTTGCCAAAGGGGACATTCAGTGTAATGACAACACAGCTGCTGTTTTAGCTTCATACATAGTTCAAGGTATAATATGTACAAGCTTTGTCTTGTTGTATCTGAAATTATGATCCTGACTGTTGCTTATTGAAACCTTTCTTTGTTGCAGCCGAGTGTGGTGATTTTGTGCAAGAGGACTATCCTGACCACACCTATTTGTCTTCGTACAAGTTTGTGCCTCATCAAGATTCAGAGCTGGAAAGAAGAATCATGGAAAATCATAGGAAACTAGTGTAAATATTTCTATTACATGGAACTTAGTTCAAAATACTGATTTTTTTCAAATTTGATTTTTTAATATTTTGCAGTGGCCAATCACCTGCTGAAGCTGACCTTAATCTTCTTGAAACTGCAAGAAGATGCGAACTCTTTGGGATGAAAATGCATCCAGCCAAAGTATGAAATTTGCTACTGTATCTGAGTGAAGGAAATTTTATTGTCTTTTTTTAAACATGGTATTTGTATGTATGTCATTAATTTGTTACAGGACCATGAAGGAGTGCCTCTTAACTTAGCTGTAGCTCACATGGGCATAGTCGTCTTCCAAAACTACACCAAAATCAATACATTTTCATGGGCCAAAATCAGAAAAATTAGTTTTAAGAGAAAACGCTTTCTTGTGAAGCTTCTTCCAGAGGGATATGTAAGTTGCAGTAGTTTGTAAATTGTTGTGTTGGCTTCTTAGGTGACTAACTGACCAATGAACTTCTCTTTCCCAGGGCTACTACAAGGATACTGTTGAATTTTTGTTTGATGGTAGGAATGAATGTAAAAATTTCTGGAAAAAATGTGTTGAACATCATGGCTTTTTCCGATGCTCCCAAGTCAAAACTGTTCCTCGTCAAAAGACAAGAGTTCTAAGCAGAGGAAGCTCATTTCGGTAAGTATTCTTTATGCAATCTTTTTTGCTATCCCTAATAAAATAATTCCAAGCCATACTTAACTTTATGCTATTTCTCTATGATTTCAGATACAGTGGGAAAACTCAGAAGCAAATGGTTGAATTTGTCAGAGAAAACTACATCAAACGGCAAACCTTTCAAAGGTAAGTTTTATTAAAAGACAGGTCTCTGAAACATTCTTTTTCTTCATGTGATGTTGCTAGCAAAGTCCCAAACTGTACTTCATGCTAAGAAAGCCAGGTCCTGTGTTGAAAAATGTAAAATAACTCCTGTTTGCTTTTGGGTGCAATCAGGGATGATGGGGCTGCCTCGACACCTGGTGATGCGTGGTAAGACTTTCATTGGCATGACAAGATGCTTGCAGTAAGCTTCTCTTAATTCTTGTAGTACATTTTCAGGAGCAACACTAGAAACTTGTTTCAAGTGTGTGAGGTAATAGCTTTTATAGAAGAAACTGATTGGGGAATGAATTTTAAGATTGGCATCTGTTTTATTTTGGCATGTGTGTGTGGCATATGGCATTTGAATGGCAATGACAGCAATGGTTGTGTAGTAACTTCCATTCAGACTACCTCTTCCTACTGATTTGGCATCAAAGCCTGTTATTGGAATCATCCGACATTCAGATGTTTGAGTTAATGGTTTCACTTGTACTTTCATGAATGCATGCAATCAGTATTTTCCGAAACCTCTTTACAAGGGGTGTCATACATTCATAGACCCCAAACTCCTTTATGAATTTTTGTATTTGCAGTTCTATTTATTTGAATGTATTTCCTGAAATATTTTTTATGGTTCTTGTTTTCTTTGTTAAATTTTTGGCATGCTTTTTTTTTGTTTTGTGATGTTTGTTTTGCCTTTCAAGTATGGGAGGGAGTGCTTCCTTTTGGGCTACCAACCTCAATTTAATTTCATACTTCTGTATTTACAGTTTCAATTAGTTTTGACTCCAGCATCATTGCAGCTGTTGTCAATTTTTTTTTCTTTTAAATTTGTGGCCATCAAACTCTTTTGAACAGAGATAGGCAATGCCATGTCTTCTATGCATCTGTGTGTACAGGATAGAAAGTTTGGTAGGACAGTTACATGTACATGTACTTTGAGTATAGAAGATGACATGTCATTGGTTTTGGCTTGCAAGGCTTTCTCTACTGACTAGCCACATGAAATGCCAGAATACAAACCTTTAGCACCGTGCTTTGTCTATGCTGCTGTTTATTGTTGCATCAAGTTTAATCTGCGGAATCTTGACTTCTATTTTTAGACTTTTCTCTCTTCAGCACATTTTGGAGAAGAGAAGGAGATGGAAGTAATATTCACAAAATTACTAATGAGATTTGGGCTACATTATTCATTTTGGATTTTGATTGAGCTGCCATCACAATCTTGACTCAAATTTGTTGTAATTTGTCTTAGGTTTGATAGTTTCTCAGGCAACCCCGCATTATCTACATAAAGTATTGCTGCAGCTCATGTTTGGGAATTGGAACTTCAATTAACTTTAAGTCGCCCATTCCTGAATGATAATCATGCTCACCAGCTAAAGTTAATCACCAGAAACGTAAAATCATCCTCTTATTTTTTAAATGTTAACTTAATGGCTCGTCAGATAAATTTTCATTTTTTTTTAAAGCAACAATAAAACTGATTATCAGGTAGGCTTACCTTCAGTCTCATATTGTTAAGCCATACTTTACAGTTTAAAGTCTTTGCTATTGAGTACTTGGCTTTCAAGGTGTGGCTAGGATGCCTATCTTTGTACTGGAAAGTTGATGGGGATGTGGCACACATTCTTTCATTTGGTTTAGAGCACTTCAACAGCAGAGGACTGTTCTGCTACAGAACCTAAGTGAAAGTAAGCGTGTTGCATCATGATTTGTGACTGGTGGTTTGAGTCACTTCAGTATGAGGCTATGTGTGTTCACTGTACATTTGTTTTTGTTTTTATTTTTTTTCCCCTTTCCCCCTTTGATCCATAGTTCTGTATTTCCTCCGATAGATGTAACAAACTGGATTGTGAATGAATAGTGTACCATTATTGGAATGAACCTTGGGGTCATTATGAAATCTAAGATAAAAGTACTTTTGTCAAGAGTTTCTTTCCCCACTGTATTTAATACACCAACTTAGATGGAGGTGTATTCATGGGGTGACTTAAGAAACTCCAATGTGTACGTTGATAAGTTTTGCAACGTGCAGACCTTTTCACAATCTCTCTCTTCTCTTCTCCCGACAGGTCGCAATCGTTTCGCCACTCGAGTTCTGTTCATTCTAGTGTGGCGAACGTGGGCGGCAGCATTTCAGCTCACCCATTGTTGCCTCTGGGTGATAACGAAGTTGGTAGGTTGAATGGTATTGGCCGCACGCGCCTGTTTTTTTCATATTTATTTTTTACAGTCTCACTGTTAAATTATTTAAATAACTACCTGTGCCGTTCGGGAAGCAAGTCACACCTGTCTGAAAGGAACATTTGTGGTCATTTTTCTTGCTGAGTTGGCAAGTGCAAATGTAGGCGACTTGCATTTTGAACTGAGGCACAGTATTAGCTGTAAGCTCTGCCCGAAGCATGTTAGTAGATCTTGAATCATCCTTGTTCTCCTTGGTGCATAGCAATGATAATATGGGATCCCTGCAACACATTCTCATGATATAGGATAGTTGCATCAAATTCATTCTTAGCATGCTCTATCTTCCATGTTGATAAAAAATTCTCTTTAGTGTTTTGCCATTGTTGTTTAAAATGTTGGAAAAGGAAAAAGAAATCAATCCTTGTGTTTTTATATTTTTTCTGTGATGGAAGGGAAAAGCTAATAACGTCTGCTCAAAAGATTCGTTCCAGTTGCGTAACTTATTATGCAAACACTCAAACAGAAGCAAACAATTTCCAAAAAAGAAAAGAAATAGACTAACAAATGTTTTGGATACCTTACAATTTCATGTAATTTAGTTTAAGAGGAGGATTGGATTTGATTTGACGTGCATGTCCCTGTCTAGGGAGCAGTGCTTACTGCAAATCAAATCATCCTGGGTGATTGGGTTGTCGTAATAATACTTGTGCTTTCTGATCGCAGGGTCTGAATAGCCCGAATCTTGTTCCGGCACCCCATTGGCCCGTCGCGGGGAAGTCCACGCACCGTGTTGCGCCGCGCTGCTCCGCTCACCCTGCTCTCTCTTTTGCAGTGGGCACCCAGGCGTCGCTGTCCTGCGGCTCCATGACGCTCAACTCGATGAACGAGTCTGCGACGGACCCGGAGCACCGACGCCAGTACCACAACTACCCGAACACAGCGAGCGGCTCCACGCAGGCCAGCCAGCAGCGCTACCGCACTACCAGCCTCACTACTTCCAACACGCCCACGCACACCCCGGACGTGCATGCGGACCTGGAGATGGACACGTCCCCGGAGTGCGGGCCGTCGCTTACCTCCAGTCCGCAGCACTACTACCCCAGGGACGCCAGGGACCCCAGGGACCCCAGGGGCCGGGACGCTGCCAACATGCAGGGCATGCAGGCCGCCGACGAGGAGGACAGCCCGTTCCACCAGCAGCAGCAGCAGCGTGCAGGTCAGCCCAAACACTCCCTTCCCAGACGCAATGTCAATACCTCTACTGTCAACAATCCATGTCCCATGTCCTCCCGTACCTCCACTGCTAGTGCCTTGGTGCACCACAAAGCTCGACAGGCCCAGCCGCAGCAGAAGCAGAGACAGCAGCAGCAGCAACAACAACAGCAGCAACAGAAGGAGCGCAATCGATCAAATAGTATGAATATTGAGGCAATCATCATAGCATCTGTTTACAGCACTGATATTTCTAATCGAGGTCTAAGCACATCTTTTACTAGATTGAGCAGCAAAAGTACAACATCAGTTAATACTGATGTGTTCAACACTGATCAGAGCACTTCTTCTACTATAGCGTGTGATGTTCACCATCACACAAGTGCCCATGAGTTAGCTGGAGGTGATGTCTTGCGCTACCATCCCAATGCTCGCCCTGTCCCAGGCATTGCTTTGATTCAAGCAAGCAAGGATTCTGCCGACACAGATGAGATAGAGGGTTCAGACTCGGATGCTGCATGGAGTGCAGATTCTCGAGGACGGGGGTGGAATCGCACTCAAACTTCAAGGGTAGCTGTGAATACTTCGTCTTCAGGGTATTCAAGTACTCAGCCAACTTCTCAGCGTAACAACAACAATTGGCAGCGCAGCTCTAGTTGCAAAGAACTTCATCATGATGAAGACGAGTGTGTTGGGAAGAAAGACAAAGGGCCTGCTCCCCCTAAAACTCTACCTACTAATGTACCTGGCTCAGGTTTCATTTACGAATCTCCCATCAGCAATAAAACAGATGCTCCAGTGACGAGGTATGACGACAGTCGACGATTGTGCTACAGTGCAGCTGGAAGTAAGACTCCATCATTGGATCGTAGCTCTGGAGACATGGTCGCTCCTGATCAAAAGATTTACTCCAGTAGCTATCCTGGAACAACATCCAGTCTCTCTACAGAGAGTGAAGATGCGGGTCTCTTGGAATCTGGTCATGGTGGAAGTATTGTAGTTCTGTCAAGTGACCCTTGCGGTTCGCAAGAGGAGCTTGGAATGTCTCATGATGACATTTCTCATGGTTCTTATGAACTGCTAGAAAGAGAACATGATGATGATAGAAGTGAACATTCTAAAAAGCAAATGGGTGCACGATCATGTAGCCTTGATTCAGGTGGTGATGGTGAAATATTTGTCATGGATGATGAGATGGAAGAAGGTTATGAATCAGGAAAGGCTGGGTTTGGTAGTTCTGAGGGAGGCCCGTGGTGTGAGTCCTTAGCTGCACTTCATAAGCGGAAAAGCACTGGAGATATTGGATATGAAATGCCACGAACAAGACCTGACCTATTGAAAGATTTTAAAAGGAACGAGCTGAAAGAACAACAGCAAGGTGAAAGTTTTTCTGTTTCTAGAATGGATGGAAAGAAACTTGTTGGAAGTGTTGTGATTGATCGGTGGGGAGATTATCGAATGAAAGTTACTGATCCAGGAAGCCCTTTGCCTAGGCTTCCTCTTATCCCATTTGACTGTAGTGATCTTCCCACTGGCTTTGAAATGCCATGCACAGGTGAAGAGAGTGATCGCAAATTTAAGCAAATTAAAGAGTCTCTGAAACCTGCAGAAAAGCAAGATGATGATTTAGCTCTTATTAAAAAATATGAATCGGATAGGAAAGCAAAGGATAGGACCAGTATTGACATGGGTGAAAGCAAAAATCTAGTCTTTGATGCCAAAGGGAGGAGGTCTCCAAGAAAAGAATCTGATAATGAATTCCAAGACTCTGGAAGAACTCAAATAGGACGTACTCGATCTGATCCCCACCCAGGTAAAGGTCAGAATTTAGGGAGGCTGCGACGTCACATGCTTATGCATCAAAAGTCTATTGATCTACCTGGTGAAGCGGAAGCCAAAGTGGAAACTAAAGCAGAAATTACTAAAGCTTCTTCTGTGGCAAGCACTCTGTCAACAGCCAATGACAATGGAAAACCCAAATCAGATATCCCTTATACTCTCCATAAAAGACATGTTATGAATGGTACAGCAGCAGAATCTGAAAGCAATAAGGCAAAGGAGAAAGATGTCAAGGTTGTACCCGCCACTTCTACTGGCTCTGTAAAAACGGGCTCCACAAAGGTAAAGCCTGCTCCACCACCTAGGGGGCCTGTTACGAAGGTTTCCACCAAAACTCCTCAAGCTGCACTCTCGAAGAAATTATCTGCAGAAACTGAGGAAGAAGATCAAACTGTCCCTGGAAGTGTGGTAAGATGGGGTAGTGCTCAGAAAAAATCTCCCCCTTTAAAGAGGCCAACAAATATCTCATCTCCTCCTAAACAGGCAGAAAGTAAGTTCTCTGGTGTTCAGTCACCTCCTAGTTCAAAAACCCAGCGCGCCCCTGAGAAACAATCTCCTCCTGAAAGGCGAATAGCTTCTGGGAAGCATTCCCCTCCTCAAAAACAATCATCATTAGACCGACATTCTCCTCCTGGAAAAATATCTCCGCCGCAGAAACGTTCTTCAGAAAAACCTTCTCCCCCAGAAAAATGTGTGTCTCCTCCCAAGCAGACAGCTTGTAAGGTCCCACAAAAGGGACCATCCGCTTCCACTAAAGTGGATTCAGGGAAAGCGGCATCTAAAAATGGGGGAACTAAAAGCCCTCCAAAAACTTCAATAGTTGGGAAACCCATTCCTCCCAAAAGCAAAGACAGTGGCAACGTTACTTCTAAATCAGCAGCAGCTAAGGCTGCTCCAGTTGACCAGCTTTCAAACAGCGACAAAAGTGAAGGTGGATCATGTGAAGCAGTCACTCCCACTGGCAATATCCCTCATGTTGAGGGCACAAAGATCAGCCCTGTAAAGGGCCGCAACTCGAGAGAAGGAGCAGTACCATCTCTGCCCATAGTGAAAAAACGTGAACGATCCCCTGTGCTGTTTGGTAGGCTGGGCTTATCGGAGGGTTCGGCTTTCACCCCAGTTCGAGGATATTCTTCTCCCACTTCGACTCGACGCACCAAATCATTGGATGCCCCTGTGGTTTCAGTTCACTGCTTGCCCCCTGCTGATTCATTTTCTAGCACAGATGACACAGTCGACAATAATGGAGAATCGAAAGGGGTAGCAACCAAGTCTAGTCTCGTTAAAAAAATTGCTGAAATTACTCATGATCCCAATGTTATTTTGGAGGTCCCTGATGAAGAGAAGTCCTTATCTCCAGCCTGTGATGCATCAGCAGAGACACCTTTTTGTTTAACTGATACTAATCAAGTTCCAATGTTGCTTACAGCAGAGCCTTCTGATCTCAGTCCTCTTCGTCCTGATTCACCACACCCCTTTGCCGAAAGCTATCCAGAGGAGGATGACAAATGTGAAGGGAGTCCTAACCAGGACATTGAGCATTTGGAAATTCCTGAGTCCCTCCCAGATATCAGCCCTCAAGAAGAAATGGCGCCTATTGATTTACTGCCTGTAGACCCTGATAAAGGAGACCTACCATCTACTGAGGATGATGACTGGGCATCTGTTGAAGAAAATCTAGCTGATTTGAATGAGGACCCTTCTGATTCTGTTCCAAGTAAACAGTCGCCCACTGGTGACCAGGGTAACCGCTGTATGGAGCAAGGAAGTGAAACACTGCTTGCAAACCGTAGGCAATCTATTCAAGTTCAGCCCATTCCTCAGGAGTCTCTAGAAGATCCTCTTGAGTATGCTCGACGAAAAATGTCTATTGAAGGAAAACCCATTCCTCAAGACAGTTTGGATGATGTAGTAGATACCCATACTATGAGAAATATTTTGAGTGGTAGACCAGATTTGGAGCATTTGAAAAGGAAAATGTCCATTGAGGGTAAACCCATTCCTGTTGATCCAGAATTTGAAGTGACAACTGCTCGCCCAAAGCTGCTTTCTACTCATATGGAGACATTGGATCTTCCTTCGCCTGAATTTCCATCTCCTGATTTACTTTCTCCTGATCTACCCCTCGTTGACTGCCAACCTTTTGATGCACCCATTTTAGCTGATGATAGTATCTCTGAATCCAAGGGAGATGTTCCATTAGATTACGAATCTCCAGACTATGCAACACCGTATGTTCAGTCACCAGATTATGCATCACCTTATGTTCAGTCTCCTGAGCGCCAGATACCAAAGACTAAATCACCTGAATCTAGTCAAAAACCAAATGAAGTGGATTCTACTTCTCCAGTCCTTATAGGCACAGGGAAAGAAGATGTTTGTATGAAAGCAGCAATCCCTGATAATAGAGATGATGACTTTAGTGATGATAATGTTTTTGAAGACGAAGCTTCTTTTAATGAAGATGATCTTAGTAAAGAGTTTGATCTTTCTGAAGAATCTCTGAGTAAAACAGGTGATACAGCCCAGCATTTGCTAAGCCAAGATTCTCTGTGCAAGGACATATCAGATGAACCTACATATGTTGATCCTATAACATTGAACACTGATGACGTGGATGAGAAAACTTTATCAGTTTCGCTAGAAAAAGAACCATTAAAATCAGACTTGAAACCTCAAGAAGAAGATGATGACATTCCCCCAGCCATACCAGAAAAACCTCTGTGTCTGAGAAAACCTCTAATACCAAAAAAGCCTGATGTTCCTAAAAAGCCCATTGTACTTAGAAAATTAGAACCCCAATATCCTGAACTAGAGAAACCACCAGAAACTCCAGCAAAAGATTATATGACTGACGAGAAGCCTTCTATTAAACCTAAACCAGCAATTACCAAACCAGCAAGGCTCAACATTGTTCGGCAAAACTCTCAAGAGCAACCGGATTCAGAAATTGTGATGAAGACTGGAGAAACAACTCATGATAAAGTCAAAATATTCATTCAAGGAGCCAGTACAGATCGTTCTCCTGATAAACTAAAAGATGAAGCTTCTAGATCACGACACTCATCTGAAGATGCATCCACTTCATCTGGAGTACGTCATGTGGGAGAGAAATCGTCGACCTGGAGGCCATTCCTTTTGGAAAGTAGTGGAAGCTCCAGCCTGGAAGAGGGACTGTTTCCCCCTGATGACAGTACACATGCTGGTGATGATGATGAACCGTCAAGCACTTCCAACACTCGTGAAGATGAAGTTACTGATATACCCAGTGGGTTTGGGTATCCGTGTATGGGTTCTAGCTTAACCATGTCAGGAGATATGATAGGTGCATATGGAAGTGTTTATGCTTTATCTCGAACTCTATCTCGTATCAGCGAACGCAGCACAACATCTGAACAGGAAAGGTCTGATCTGGAAGATATTGAAGATTCCACTAAACCGTCTTCTCGTTCTGCATCCATAGGTGATGAGTCCATGATGTCCAGTGACCATCAGCCTAGTCTTTCATCTGATCCACCATCAGGAACTGAAATGTTGCCAGAAGATGTCAATTTTGAAATAACTGCCAAGTCAATTGGCACTCCGGATGGTGCAGATGCATCCTGCACTCTTGTTCCTCCTCGACTAGTTGTGCCAGCAACTTCCCGCTCAGCTAGTGAGGGACTGAGTGACTATGAATTTGGTGAATTACCAGAAATACCCACTGATCCTTCTCCTTTCTGCAAGGACGATGCCACTCCCACAGCAGAGCAGAGAGACTACCTAGATCCTCCAGGTATATCACGTTATGCCTCAATGGAATCAGGGCTTGATAAGATTCCTGGCATGTCACCTGTCACCGAAGAAGTTATTCCAGAAGATGAGAGTGATCCTGATTTGGAGTTTCATGAGTTACCAGCACTTCCTGGTGAAGATGGAGAAGAGCAGGAGGAGGCATTATCCCCTGAGGTTCTGGCATCAGTTATCCCACCACCTAAGTTGTCAAAAGACAGCAGTCAAAGTGACTTGCCCTCTCCGGAAGACCCAGTCAAAATTTTTGTCGAAGGTAATATACCAGAAGAATTAAGAGGGCACATCCCACCTCCATTGTTGCCGTCAACTTCAGAAGAAAATAATTGGCCCACACCTCCGTCTTCCTCTCCTCTGCCTGTGGCATGCAATGTACAGACTTATGATGCAGGTAAACCAGAGGAGGCACGCAAGGTTACAGTGACCTCTTCATTAGATTCAAATGATCCACCAGATGAGCTTCTGAGGGAAGACCTGAGCTTTTCTGATGAAACTGAAAATCCCACCATGCAAGATGAGGAAGTATTTGATGAGCCATTGACACCATCTTCTTTATCATATGAAACACTTGTGACTGTTCGCTCTAGAGACCCAACTGGACCACGTGGCTCAACTGGTGAAGACACATCAATGGCAATATCCACCTCAGAATGGTCCAGTAGCACTAGTACTATTCGACACTCGCAGCTTCACACTCAGTCAGGCTCATCACAGTCAGCAAAGTCTCTTCATTCCGCCCACTCTGCTCATTCTGCTCATTCAGCGCACTCAGGTCATTCGGCCCATTCTGCTCATTCAGCGCATTCAGCTAATTCAATTCACTCGGCTCATTCAACTCACTCCCTCCACTCTGCTCACTCAACTCATTCATTGTCTCAAGCTACATCCTTCTCTCAACTACAACAGCTGTCCCAGCTGTCCCAATCTCAAGCTACTCTTCACTCACAAATTCAAGCACAGTCTTTGGCTGACCTTGCGAAAGGTGATGATACTTCGTTGGGAGCATCAGTGTCTGAGAGTGCTCGGGCAAGTTCAGATGATGTGTTCCTTACTGATTATGGAAGTGCATCTTCTTCTGAGCAGCAGGACTGTGGACAAGCAGCTTATATATCTTCAACATATTTAAAAACAACTAGATCACAATCAGAGCGGTCACATCGTTCCAGCAATTATGAAACATTTCATGAAAATCTCTATGACGATGATCCATTTATAGCTCAAAATATTTTGTCTCCAACTGAGCGTCAAATGAAACCTGTTCCCAACTATCCAGTTAGTCACAGTCCAACTGATGATATAGATCGATCCACACTGAGTCGTAAACGACGCTCCAAAAAGGCTTCATCTTATGATACATCTCCAAAAAGTCCAACAGCATTTGCTGGAGATCAAGGCTTTGAAATGGATTCTTACAAGAAGCAACGAAGTCGCAGTATTACTATGAAGTCTAAAGCCTATTATGGTGCAGTCGCCAGTCCAGGTTCTACTGATGAAGAAGGTAATACTGCCAGAAAACAAGCTACGAGGAAGAGTGTGGAAAGGCCCAAGAGCACATCTAGAAATAGAGCACACTCCAGATCAAAAGAAGGACATGGCAGTAGGTCAGATCGGTCACGATCAAGACACCATGCTCGAAGCCCCCCTAGTGATTATTCGTCTTCCTCCTCTGATAACGGATCTGTTCAAAGAGCTTCTAACACTATTCCAAGAGTTTCAAGAAGACGAAAGCAATTTCCCTCTAGACGTCGAAGCAGAGCAGCAGCTGAAGAGGCAAGGGATGGTAGATTGCATGGCATCTCCTCAGCTGTTTCGACACCTTCTGTGTTGGGATATGGTGATCCTTCAGCACACTTGAGGAGGCGAGACCGAAGTGGCAGAGAACCCCCTGGTAAAAATGGAGGAGACAAAGCAAATGTCACTCCTAAACAGGGAGGGCTGTCTAAACAATCCTCTGTTTGAATAAGGAATCCTAACTTCTTGTTAAATTTGTTACCATGTGGGTAGGTGAAAATGATGTCTTAGTTGAGTTGACTCCACAACCAGGATTTAATGCTCCTACAATTGGCTCGCAAGGCACTGCCCCTACATACTGTGATTTACATGCCTTTGATGTCAAATACACTATCAAGTAGTTGTTTTATTTTAAACCTGTTTATAATTTTATGTCCTGAAAGTTGATGTGCTTATTTGTTAAATCCATGATAGCATTTGAACACCAAACAGTATTTGTCATGTTATGGACTTTGTCTTCAAATTTTGTTAAAGACTGAATTATTCATACACGTTGCACAGCATAGCTGATGTGTAATGCGTGTCACATTTCTAAAGAGTTGTAGTTTTCATTGGTGCTAGTTCTGTTTTGGAAGAATAACCAGGATCAAAATGCCTTCTTTCAAATGTTTTCCCCCTTTTTTTCAGATGATTTTACTTCATGACATGTTGTTAAGTATACCATAAATGTCTCCACTAAATTTTGCAATATATTTACCTTTCCTTTTAATTGGAAAGGTTTTTGATCATTTTAACTGTTTTTTAAATGTTGGGTAGCTTTTAAAATTCCCACTCAGTGCATAACTGACAGTTTGTTGTATATGTAGCTTAAAAGTATGGTACCTGGAACCTGATATCTGATGCCTGTTGTGCAGAGCAGAAAGGTGATGTTAATATGCAGAGATGAGACTAGTGCACAATTTATCATTCCCCTTAGGTGACAGCCTTGAAGGTCATGTATTTTTTCATAGTGCCCTTTTTTTCATGATAAAAGCTGCTTATTTTTTGGTTGACTCATCTCAAAGGTAGTTTTATTGTTCCTCGCTAACTTGACGGCTCTAAACTACTACTCAAAGCTTCAAATTTTCATTGTTAGCTTAAAGATTTAATGAAGTTTCAATAGTTAAATCATACACTGTGAGAAACAGAGTTTTATAATAGAATTTCACTAATATTTCTTTGTGATGTAATTTACTTAAAAATGGTTCATAGAAATTATTATTAAGATACTTCTTCAATATCTCTAAAAGATGTGATGAAGGCTTTTATTCTGATGAGTTACACACTGAAATACACATGAAAATTATATGGGGGTTATTGTACTTATCCTATTGTTGATTTTAGTAATGCTCTTGATTGTAGCTGACTTGCCCCTGTTTTAACAATGTTAAGTATGGTAACAGTCACATTAAGCTTTGCTCAATAGGCTAGATTTGTTCTAATTGCCCTCATAGCTTGTGAATGGAATGATGCTGACTTTACTGGTCAACTCAATGAAACGAATGCAGCAGCTATGTCAAATAAGTTTTTGTCGCAAATTTTTGAAAAAAATTGTTGTTTAATGTCTTGTTTTTAATTTGAAAGGTAGATAAAACCATTTTTGAAGGGACTCGAGAGTTATTTCAACGGTGTTGTACCTAATTGCTGATGTTCCCAACTATCTGGCTTTTTCTCTAGGCATGATTCTCCCTGTGATTTTTCTGAAGGTGCTGCTTTGGAGTTAAGGTAGAACTATATCTGAGGCAAGTGTATTCTACTGAAGGAAAAGTATAGTTTGTTGTTTTTATATGATGTATGAGTTTTGTTATGTTCTTAGCTTGTTAATGTGTCAGATGGTGATAACTAACTAGTCAAATATTGTACAGCAGTTTGGAATTCCTTCAAAAAATCCTCTTTATTATACTGATCTGGGCTTTTTTCTGGACCAAAATTGCTGAATCTTTTGTGCCAATCATTATTATTACAGTATTATTTTATGATAGAGTTAGGGTATTTTTTATTGATGTTATAGATGGCAAAATAATTTGTTTATTGTTCAGTCCCTGTTTTGCCCCCCGATATAGTGTTCAAGAGAATTCTGAGAGAATCTAGAAATAATTAAAACCTCTTCCAATGGTTTATATGTTAGGCCTTTACTTTTACAGCTTCATCATAGCTGCTGGCATGTTCAACTATTGAAATGCTACTTGATCTGTAGGTGTATCAGTATGTGGGTAATGTCTTGAATTTGATCTGATCCCCATTGTGAAGTAGGACCAGAATTTTCCTCATTTTTCACCATTTACTCTTAAGTAGCTGCCAGTTGCCAGGTTGCATGTCTTGAGTGCATGTTTAACTCAGTTGAAGAGGGCATGCTTTTCTTCTGTCTAGCACAGAGGATCAATGTGGAAAGCAAAGGAGCTGCATCGGAAGAGAGTCTTGAGATTTGAAAGCCTGGCATGTGTCCTTTATAATTTTATTCCTGGTTAGACTTTTCTTCTTCTGAGGAATCAAGTTCACATAATTTATCAATATTCCACTGTAGATGTAGACCCAGTCTGAAGGACCTGTGTGATTGTGGTCGGTGTTTGTTAGGTTAAAATTATCATTACATAGGCAGTTCTGATAAATGGTCATGGTTACATTTTACCCAGTAAGATCTACTTGCCGTAATATTTTCATTTCGTTTTCAAATCTTTTTTTTTTTTGCAAGTAAATTGTTATTGCTTATGAGGACATTGCATATTCTTCTCAACTCAAAATCTGTAAAAGATAACAGATATTCTATGCAGATGGGTAGCTAAAAGGAAGCATATGAGAAACATCATTTACATGATTTTTACCCAGTTGACCAGACTCTACAAATTAAGCCTGTAAATAATTTATTTCTGACATTTCATCAGTCTAATATCTGTTTCTCATACAGCCTTTGTTTTGTTGTATTTTTCAGTGATGGAAGGTACTTGCTGGTATTATCGTAACGGCGCTACATACTTTATGACCTAAGTTCCGCCTCTATCCTCTCCCACTTCGCTTCAGCCGCAACGGGTCACAAACACATGCACTTTACGGAGCGTAAGTGTTGTGGTCTTTGAATGTGTATATGGTAAGACAAGTTGATTTCGATTGTTCAAGAGACAATGTGTGCTATAAGCAATACCTAGTGTGTTCTGTTCATTTTTGCTCAAGTCAGCACTGTTGGGCCACAAATTTATTTTGTATGTCAGTTTTAATGAGGCATGATTCACAAGCAATTTTATTTTTTACTATCCAAACTAACTTGTGAAGGTAGTCAACACTGTAGTTTCTAAACTTCACCTAACCTGAGTAGCGTATTTTTGTAATAAGTTGTGAATTTCCCTTAATTTTACCATGATTTGACAATCTGGTGAAATGCAATCTTAGTTGGGTCTATTTTACTCAAATTTAGAATGTCAGCAGAGCGAGCCTATCTACTACCAGATCAAGTTGCAAGGAGCATGCTTGCTCCTCATTGATTGGCGTTAAAGTGATTGGTGGATCATGTAAATATTGTTATTCTAGATCAGTATGGGAAACAAGTGCTTTTCATTTTGATTTGATTATTTTTCTTGGGAAAATGCATATGTAGTATGCATATTAAAGTATATTTGAGCAGATGTATTTTTTTATGTATGGCTTGCAGTTTAGTTGTTTCTTTTTTGAGTTTTGTGAGTTTTTTATTTGAGTGAGGTTGTCTTGGTCTTTTAGCTTGTCTTACCATATGCAAACTTGTGGTTGTCCTATTCTTCCTCCCCTACAAAATTACATTGAATAGAATATTTTATTTCTGTCAAGAATTCTGACCATAATGCCCACATAGTGCCATAAAACCTGACCAGGTTATCTTTTTTGTTTTGTGTTTGTTCGATAATTTTTTAAAAGTCTATTTTCCTCATTAGTTACTGACTCTGACTTCGAAGATAAAGAGCTCAATAATAAGAATAAGAATAATAAATAATGATCTCTCTTTAAGTCATAGTCAATTTGCCTAATCTCAATCCGATTTGAGAACAATCTGTTCCTTTTTCTTATCCAAGTTCGGAGCATATTAAGTCATGAATTCTGAGCAAGTTTAATTTCCTTGCAAGATTTGTGTTGTGAGATGTGTTAATGATAATTGAAATTACCTGACTTGGGCTTCCTCTCAGCTACCTTTCCGTATTGTAACCGAGCGCTATGAACGAAAGTTGTGTTTGCTTTTGACTTGATAGCAAGCAGCTTGAACATGACATAAACACATTATGCCAGATTTTGTTGTTTTCAGAAAAGTGCTCTGTGAATTGTTTTTGTTCAATGGACCCAGTCATCAGTGACTATGGACTTTTACTGCATGATGAACCAAGTGAATACTGTGCCATTTGACTTAATGCTGTAGTTTTATCCTCAGAAGCTGCTTCTGTAATTTTTTTCTGTGAAAACTTTTGCTGAAAACCTACACCAGCCCAAACAGTATTATGCAGTGCTGTTTTCAAAGCCGTTTTTATAGCATGGAAATATGGCACAACACCATCAAGGTTTTCTTCCATTTACGGCCTAGATGAGTTGTGTAAGAGTCTTGTTACAATGCTTCAAGGTTTCCCTTACTGTAAAGCTCAATCTTCCATTTACCTTCCACAATGGTTTCCATGTTGTGTAAATGGGCTTTGCTTGGTGTTTGACTAAAGTTGTCTCATTTGACATAGTTTGTCAATTATTTCACAATGATTTTTTTTTTTATCAGCCTGAGTATTTGAGGTATGTGAGCTTGAGCTTATTGCATGGTACCCGCAATTATTATCCCTATATTCTGTTGTGGACTTTCCCATGCTTAGTATCCTGCACAACCATAACATATGCTTTTTCTCCAAAATTTTTATTTCCTAGGAAAAAATAGTTGTCTTTTTGAGTGACTGCCCTAACAGATGTGATGGCCTCGTTTAAAAGTAAAGGACTGCATTAGTCGAAATTTTTTCAAATTTTTCTGGGCCTTTTCAGGCAACTGTTGTAAGCAGTTGTAAGCAATGATTGAACAGGTCTTAATTTGAAGTTTATCTCATGATCATTATTCTGCAATGAGAGCTCACATCATTAGACAATACGTACTTTGTCTCAATGTCCTGATTTTAATTCTTGAAGGTTCCAAATTTGTCCCCTTTGCATTGTTACCCCTGTCAATCCTTCCTGTTATACATGTAAATATTTGTTACCTTCCTGTTATGGTGTTTAGGTAAATAATGAAACTAATGTCTTCTACTGGTCTTTTGGCCAGCTCTCATGAGCCTGTCAGTTGAGCAATTCAAGAAACCTTTACAAAGTCTGTGTATTCTATGACCATGGTTTGAGGATTTGTTTGTACAGTTCTTTATTATTCATGCATATAGATGTTTGTGATTTGGAAGTTTCGTATTGGCCCAGTGTCTGGTTAAAAATGTATTTGTTGATATTTGTTAAGACAGGTGAATGTTGATTCTATACTAGGTCTTAAAGTAGGCCTTTCTGGTGGACCTTTTTGATCCTGTGTCTAGATATTACTGAATTGTGTATGATGATTCAAAGCGAGCCTAATGAATGCACCAAATGTCTTGTGGGACATCCCAAATGATTTATTTATAACTTTAAGATCTTTTCCATTTTTACTGGCTGTGTAATCAGCTAAAAACTCAAGTGAAATACAATTCACTGCTATTTAATAAGTTTTGTATGTTATCTATTCACAAATTCATGTGTCATTGATGTAAAAGTTAGACTGTATGTTGGCAAAATAAATTAATTTTTACAAATGAAAGCAGAAACAGTTCTTTCATATTAGTTTCACTCCTTGAAGTTTTGTAGTTTGTTATTATAATCACAAATTTTGAGTTTCTGTTTTGTTTTACCTTTACTTTCTTGCTCATCAAATCATGTTATACTTTTGTTTGGACTTGTTTTCTTTTTGTGTAATTCTTTCAATTGAATCATTTTATGAGTGGGTAACATATAGTCTACTCTACCCTGGCATTTCCATTCAAAAGAAGTGAGTAATGCATCAAATACTGTAGGCTAGGTAGCTTCAATGTACCTTTATATTGTCAAGTGCATGCTAGAATAGCTTTAGTGAAATTTTCTATTTGTCTTGTTAAGCCTTCTTCTTTCCATACCTTAGGATCCTTGCCACAATGTACCTTTATTCCAGTTTTTTCTTTTCTTTTGCAGCCAATGTCATGTGCTTGTTGCTGAATTATTGAATTGTTTTGTTTTGTGCAGTTTCATTTGTAGCGACATTGTTATTTCTTTTTTGTTCTTTACTGCTTTATGTTTTCCTTAAGGAAACTGTTAGTGATGTAACGTTTCATTACATCTCAAGATCTTGGCAGATTGCTTCCAGACCTTTTGTTGCTTTTAAAATGCCTTGTTTTTCTTTTAATGTTGGTAGCAGCTACCTGTTTTTTTGTTGTTTTTTGCCCGTCATTCCCTGTTGGTTCTGCCCCTTTTTCAATTTGATTATTTTATACTTTATATCAGTTGCAATTATTCATGTTTTCATCTCTGTTACAGCTAAAGAAACTTCCTTGCCAACTGCTCCACCATTCCCAGTGCCAGATTTGGAAGTGAAGAAAGAGAGCCCAAAACACATAACAAATGGGAATTCAACTCTGGACAATCAAAGGTTTGACACTGTAACTCTCTTATCTTTTTATTCCAGCTTGATTTAGTGCCACCTATGTTACTCTTATTTTATTTTCCCCTAAAGTCCTCAAGATAATGCATCATCACCTCCATTAAGCCCAATCAAGCCCATCAAAGATGATGTGGGAAATGGTACAGTTGAAGTTGAAACCGATGTTAAAAGAAAGGTACTGGTTTTTCTCCTCAAGAAATTAGAGAATGCTTATCCAAAATGTTAATGGTAATTTTCTGTATGTTCAGAGGCACACCACTGACCGAGCGTATTTCATTGCCAAGGAGATGCTCATGACTGAACGAACCTACAAAAAGGATTTGAGTGTTATAAATGTGGTAAGTGATCTTCTTTATTATTGTGGCAATACACCTCTTTAATGTGGTACTTGATATATGATAAGGGAATAGGTTCTCTAAAATAGGAACAAAAAAAAAACTGTCATGACTGTTTAAAGCAACTTCCCTACATTTTGATGTTATATGTTCTGTTCCTTAACAGTGGTTCAGGGATGAAGTAGAGAAGGAAGATAACATGCCAACTGACGTTCTCAATACTCTCTTTTCTCTCATTGATCCCATTTATGACCTTCATTTGAGGATCCTAAGGGATGTAGAGCAAAGAGTAACCACCTGGGAGAATTGTTTGGCTGTTCAGCAGCAGCATCTGGGCTGTATTCTTCTGAGCAACATAGACTTAATTCTGGTAAAAGATAAAAATACAAAAAAAAAATTCTTATTTTTGTACACATTTGTGAACTTTTTTCATTTGTATTTCTTTTTATATTTTAGCAATTGTATGGAAGATACCTTGATGAACATTATTCTGTACTGGAATGCCTTGATCATGCTTTTCGTCAGAATCCACAGTTTGAACAAGTTTATCGAGACTTTGAACTGCAGAAAGTTTGCTATTTGCCTCTCACGGCCTTCATCTTGAAACCACTCCAACGTCTACTGCACTATGAAACTCTATTAGAAAGTGAGCATTTTATTAATTGAAATTATCTTCTAAGCTGTGATGTTTTGCTAAGAACCATTTATCTGTTTGAACTCCCAAGGGCTTATCCGACATTATGGCACCCAGCATTCTGACTACCAGGATTGCCTATCAGCAAAACAGCAACTGGGCACCATATTGCAAAGTGTACCTGATCTCCTGAAAAGCTCTGTTAGTATTTCATTAAAAATAAAGTTGTTTTTTGTTACAAAAAATGAGCTGAATTTATATTAATTGACATTCTTTTCTTATGCCCAGGAAAACCTCGTGCAGTTGTGTGAATTACAAAGGGAAACTGTTGGGTTTGATTCTCTCGTGCAGCCAAATCGTGAGTTCTTGCGCCAGGGATGTCTTCTGAAACATTCTAGAAAGGGATACCAGCAGAGAATGTTTTTCCTTGTGAGTCCCCAACAGAAATATGTTAAAAAGAACAGAAAGGATGTGTGGTTAAGTTGTTCTGATGTTTGACATGTGTCCTTCTCTTATAGTTCTCTGATGTTTTACTATATACAAACCGGCTTCAGTACCCAAGTTTGCACTTCAAAGTGCATGGTTTGATGCCATTGCGTGGAGTAATGGTGGAGGAAGCAGAGTATAAAATGGGTGCCAATTATTGCTTTACCATATACGGAGGCAACAGAGCATTGACTGTTGCTGCTAGTAGTCAAGAAGAAAAGGACAAGTGGCTTGAGGACTTGCAAACAGCCATAAACAATGTCAGAGACCGAGGAGAAGATAAGCTGCAGTACCTCAGCCTCAAGTCCTGCAGTGAGTACACCTGTGGCCTTTTAGCTTGATTTTAATAATTTTAGGGTTTTAATTGAACTTCTCTTAAAAATAGATTCGTTTGATGAAATAATTGACAAATGTGGAGATATGAACATAGACCGTGATAAAATTGCCCCATCTCCTCAGCGAAGTAATACGACAGTCCAAGTTTGCTGGCACCGCAACACAAGCATTAGCATGAGCGATCAATTACGAGGGGTTGAGGTATGTTTCAGTTCTCCCTGATTGTTTCCTTTTCATGCAATTTTCTGTTTGCAGCTGAACATTTATCTTTGTTTTTTGTTTTAGAATCAACTAAGTGGATTCTTGCTGCGTAAATTTAAAAACAGCAATGGTTGGCAGAAATTATGGGTTGTTTTTACAAGTTTTTGTCTGTTTTTCTACAAATCTTTCCAAGTAAGAGTTTTAAATTAAAGTGATATACCTTTACCATTCTTAATTGCTTATTCTAATGTTTTTCTTCTTCCTCAGGATGATTCCCCACTGGCAAGTCTACCTCTTTTGGGGTACACAGTGAGTCCTCCAGCTGAGACAGATGGTATCTATAAGGACTATGTATTCAAATTGCAGTTCAAGAATCATGTGTATTTCTTCAGAGCTGAAAGCAAGTACACTTTCAGTCGTTGGATGGAAGTCATCAGTAGTGCGACTCAGCATTCTGGGAGAATACGTCTGTTCAGCCGCAAGGACAGTGCTTTTGAAAGGTCTTGATTGTTGCATTGTTTCAAGATGAAATTTTTGGGTATTGATTTTAGGTTTGCCTGTGTTTGCGTGTGTGTGTTATAAAAATAATCCTTGTGTAATGTGTATACTTAAAAGGTGTTACAATAGGTGCTAAAAACGTTTTTCTAACTCAGTTTTTCTAAAAACAAAGGGGGGAAAGGCAGCTGTTAAGCCTTTTTTACTTGGTAATTTTAATTATGCATTTATTGTTATAGTCAATGGGACCACCCTTCACCCTCAATATGCTTATTATCAGCACTTGTGCACTGTACACTCATTCCGACACAATTTGAAGCTTTTAAACTTTTTTCATGTTGTTCATTAAATGGTTTGGAGAATCAAATTTATCATTGTTGACTGATTACGACAATATAATTTCTTTTACTACACTCAAAGAGTGTATTCTTATCTTTGTTCACAAATTTCCTTCCAAGATTTCTTCCACGAAGGGATATTACTTTAAGTAACTTTGCTTTAATGGACATTACTACTTGTTTTGTTCTTTAGCTAGTCGTTAGAGCAATTTCTTTATTTTGTATTGTGAGGAGCATTTCTCTATGTCTATAGCTGTAAGGGAAAAGAGAGGGCCTTCTTGATGGGTTTGTTAAAAGACAATACTGTATTTAAGCTTTTGTTGTCGGAAACTATATGATATCCCTGAGGTTTTGGTAAGTGTTATAATATTTCTAGTTATTATTTTTACAAATTTTTTTGTTATCAATTGTTGCATAATGTTATTGTGTGTTTTATTGAATCATATGTAGCTGTCATATTTTTTTAGTGATGTTTCTACCGAAGTGACGTATTCACAGCACTCTTGAGAAAATGTATTGAGGAGCCTGATTCTTTTATATTTTTGTACTCAAGTATCTTCTTTCTCGCCTTCCTGACTTGATGCCAAAATCCATCCATTTATTTACATTCACTGAAGTGTTTGGCTATCAGACCTATGGTAGTATTATTGGAATGTATTGTAGTACAACAGTATTTGTGATACTGGGAAATGAGCCAGAGGAGACTGAATGGACCTTTCTTGTTTTTCTTCCTAACTCATCATTGCATGATGTAACATAATTTAATGAATTCGTACAATGGGATATGAATCTACTTCCATTGCCAATCCTTAAAACCAATATAAAAGTAGAGGCCAATTTCTGTCCCCTAAACGACATTGTGATTGCAGTTTTTTTTTCTTTTTGTCTTTATAGATACAAGAGTCTGCACTCTCCAGATTTAATAAATTATCTTGAAAGAAAAGAATTTCTTGTTGTTTTCTTCCTGGCCGACCTGGACTCACTCACTTGCCGCACCGGGACGACCGGGACGCCACCTCCTCGAGCATGGTGATGATGGCGGCGAAGGTCTCCTCGCCGGTTGCCTCGATGGCGGAGGCGCTGACGTACTGCTCGGGCTTGACGGGGTTCCGCAGCTCCATGGCGAAGGCGTACTTGACCCCCGCGGCGTAGACCCAGTCCACGCTGTTGCCCGGCGCCATGTCTGCCCAAGGCGATGCAAGTCCTCATCAAATATAGCGGACTTGTTCTATGTCCTTCCGTAAGGAGATCCCGGGACTTACATATGGTGCTGGCGATGGGGCCGACCTGGAACTTGGTGCCGTGGACCCGCTCCAGCGCACTGGCCGCCCTCTGGCCGATCTCCATCTGCCAGGCCATGGCCAGGGTGAGGTTGTCAGTCGTAAGACCAAGTCCCTGCGGCCGTAGCCCAACCCGGTTCGGTCCCGTTCCGTTACCAGCTCCTCGTGGTCGGCGCTGTGTTCTCGCGAGCAGCCCCAGGGGAAGAGGATCATCTGCTTGGACGAGTGCAGGCTGACGTAGAGGCGCAGGCGCGCGCCCGGCGCCAGCGACCGGACGTACTCGGACAGCCCGCGCGTCTCCGCCTCGCAGAAGGGCGCGCGCCCGGGGAAGTTCCGCGCGCAGGGGTGGCGGGTCGTGCTGTTGCCCGCTGCAGCGCATGCAGCGCATGCGGGACCAGCGTCTCTCTCACACACCTCTACGAAGCGCCCCACGAGTGCGAGAGAGACAGAGCGGCGTCAACTCACGGTTCCAGCCGTACGCCCAGTTCCGGTTGCCGTCCACCCCGTAGCACACCAGGCCCTTGCTGCGCGTCTTCCTCCAGGCCCGCTCCTAGGACGAGGCCACCGCCGTGCCGTCACTCCGTCACTGATCCCGGAAGTAACTTCCATCGCCCTGTCCCTCTCGCACTCTTTGGGCGTTCCGCACAGGTGCGAGAGGGACAGAGCGACGCAAACGACTCTCGGCGTGTCAATCCGCCAGTCTGCAGTCCGCACCGTCTTGAAGGAGTACTCGTAGCCGTCCGGGTTCACGTTGGGGAACACGTGCCACTCGAAGGCCCGGGCCAGGCCGCTCCAGGGCGCGGCGTCGGCCTCGTCGGCTTGCAGCACGCGGTGGATGAGCCAGCAGGCAGTGCTCGTCGTGATCCACTCTTGCGCGTGCATCCCTGCCGGCCAAAACGCCGAAAACAAGTCGAGGTTGCACGTCAAGCGGCGTCAAGTGGCGACAAGACAAGCCATGCCGTACCGGCCTCGATGAAGAGGCGCGGCTTGTCCTTGCCGGGGAACAGGCGCACTCCCTTGATGGGCCTCCCCTCGAAGCTGCGGCCGCCCCGGACGACGTCCACCAGCCCGGCGTGGAGGACGGCCAGCCTCTCGAGCCACGCGTAGATCTGGAGCGTGAAACACACGGTGCAGGAGCGCAGTGCAGGCGAGCACGTGTCGGGCCCGAAATGGCATACGATCACGTGTGGTCTAGCCCAGTGGTTCTCAACCTTAGGGTCGCGACCCCAAGCGGGGTCGCGAAATTTTTTTAAGGGGTCGCGGCGATGCTGGGGTCGTGTTTTAGGCTGATTTTAAGCAGCCACTGCGTCTGATCCGAGGCGGGCATTTTGCTCCCTCAACGGGCAGTTGGTCTTTGGACCTTCCTTTAGCATGCCTTTGTTACGGAGTGCAATTATCAGTCTTAGTTTGGGAGCAGTATTGTCTCAAAGTTGGCCGAAACGCTCAGAAATGTCTATGAAAAATCGTGTTTTGGGCCGATTTTAAGCAGCCACTGCGTCTGATCCGAGGCGGGCATTTTGCTCCCTCAACGGGCAGTTGGTCTTTGGACCTTCCTTTAGCATGCCTTTGTTACGGAGTGCAATTATCAGTCTTAGTTTGGGAGCAGTACTGTCTCAAAGTTGGCCGAAACGCTCAGAAATGTCTATGAAAAATCGTGTTTTGGGCCGATTTTAAGCAGCCACTGCGTCTGATCCGAGGCGGGCATTTTGCTCCCTCAACGGGCAGTTGGTCTTTGGACCTTCCTTTAGCATGCCTTTGTTACGGAGTGCGATTATCAGTCTTAGTTTGGGAGCAGTATTGTCTCAAAGTTGACCAAAATGTCACAACGTTTATCAAAGACACTTGCGACCGTTTTGGCGACTTTGAGACCATCTGCTCCCACTCCAGACGGGATAATCGCACTCCGTCAACAAGGCATGCTTAAGGACGTTCCTAAGACATGCCTTGAGGGAGCAAATGCCCGCCTTGATCAGAGTTTGTGGCTGCTAAAGTGCCCAAAACACGAGTTTTTCAGGACACTTCTGAGCGTTTCGGCCAACTTTGAGACAATACTGCTCCCAAACTAAGACTGATAATTGCACTCCGTAACAAAGGCATGCTAAAGGAAGGTCCAAAGACCAACTGCCCGTTGAGGGAGCAAAATGCCCGCCTCGGATCAGACGCAGTGGCTGCTTAAAATCGGCCCAAAACACGATTTTTCAAAGACACTGCTGACCGTTTCGGCCAACTTTGAGACAATACTGCTCCCTAACTAAGACTGATAATTGCACTCCGTAACAAAGGCATGCTATAGGAAGGTCCAAAGACCAGTTGCCCGTTGAGGGAGCAAAATGCCCGCCTCGGATCAGACGCCGTGGCATGTTAAAGGAGGGGTCCCGTGGGGTCGCGAAATTTTTCCTGGGGGTCGCGGAAATTTTTGGCTTTAAATTTGGGGTCGCGAGCCGAGAAAGGTTGAGAACCGCTGGTCTAGCCCTTAATGGCAATGGTAATTGGGCCAATCGTCCCGCAACACACCGGTGCGCTGCGGCGGCCTACCCGGCAGGCGTTCGACCGCCACGACGTCCACGACGCGGTGGCCGCCAACATCGCCGGTTCCGCGGGACTTACGTCATCGATGCGATGAAACGCCTGGAAGCTGAATGGTGGGTGCTCGCCCTGCTCGCCGCCATGGTCGTCGTCGTCGTCGGCGGAGGTCGTCGGCTTCCTGGGAGCAAAGTGCTTTCTTTGTTGTTGCGATCGTGCCAGTGGTGCCAGTCGACGGCAGCGCGGCCGTAAGGCGTGTAAGGGACTCACTTGCGGAGTCGTTTGGCACTTTGTGTGGGGGCGGTGGCCATGGCCGGACCATAGTTTCAACTGTTTACTGATTTACGGGGGGAAAGTGAGAAGTGAGACATGTTTTAATTTGGATTAGGTGATTCCGAAAGTTTAGCGGTTCAGTGTTGGCCGCGGTTGTGTTGGCTGAGTGGCATTGTTTCTGCAGGGTATGCAACCATTAGGGAAGGCTGGTTTACAAACATTATATACGTCTTTTATTTTGATGGATAGCACAAGTTTTTTCCGAAAGTGTTTTCAAAAAGTCAAAACAATTACAGCGGCATACTTTCTTTTGGAAACATGATAGTCTAACTATAAAAATCAACAACTGGCTTAATTAAGGCACAATGTTTTGGTGGGTACTGCACTCGCGAGCCCTTTGCACGCAACGAAGCTTGGAAACAACAAAGCGGTAACGAGAATGCGATTTAATAAATATTAAATTACATTTTGTGAAATGAAGCTGCAATCCGCGCAGCGCGAACTGCACAGCCGCCATATTAAACAACTTGTTATTGAAATGTCACATATATTCTACCAGCCGAAGCACAGCCTCGGGTCACCTAACGGAATACACTAATCATCTTATTTACAACAAAACTGTTCGACTAGGCATTGGTTACACAACAATAATAAAGGTTTTGCTAATAAAGGTTTTGCTAACAACATCAAAACCGGCGGATCGCCTCGCCACGCCGACTTGCCGGCATGAGGCGGTTAGAGATCACACACGACTGAACCGGCAGGTCCCGGTCCACACGGTCCACACGACCACGCATAGGTCAGATCACACACCAGGGTCCACCACTCTCGACACGTATTACAGTGTAGGGCACGACGCCCTCAGGGCAGGGCTCACGCTCCGCCGAGGGCGAGGGCCAGGGCGAGGGCGGCGACGGACGCCAGCAGGGAGGCGGCGGGGGCGGCGCGGGGGGCGGCTCCGGGGAGGTTGCCCGCCGCGTTGAGGCCCTGCTGGTTGGGCTCGTCCACCGCGTTGCTGTTGACGGCCGAATCGCTGCCGGCCAGGGTGCTGGGGAACCACGGGTCTGCCGCCGCGCCGGGGCCTCCGGGCGCGGGGGCCGCCGTCGACACCTGTCGAGCAAAGGTCAGGGAAAGTCAAAAGGCGCGTTCTTGTCTTGCTGGGAGGCGGCCGGAGCCCTTGCGGTGACTGACTGACCCTAGAGATGCCGCCGTTGGTGACTCGGAACGAGTTAGGCATCCAGTCCGCGGGGGCGGGCGTCCTCGCCGTGGGAGGCATGGCGGTGGACGTGGGCCAGGACATGCCCCGGCCGTAGCTCGACGGTCTGCCGTGGCCGAGCTGCGAGCCCGCCGACAGGGTGCTGGCGCCGCCGTCTCCGGGGGCGGCGCCGGGGGCGGGGGTGGCGCGGCCGGCGACGGGCTCGACGCGGCCTGGCAACCAGGGGCTGCCGGGCTGGGACTGCTGCACACCCTGCTTGTGCGCCACGGCCCAGTCCTGCTTCTGGACGTCGTCAGACGGGGCGACCGCGGCCACGCCGCCACCCGCTGCAACAGAAACAGGTCAGCCTCTGGGCGTGGAGGGAACGCCGCGGACCACGGCACCACGAGCAGGGACTCACCCGAGGCGCTCTCCGTGGACCGACCCGCCGACGGCCCTGCGCTGACGCCGCCCTGTCCGCCCCCGCCGCCCCCGGAGGCGGCCGCGCCGCTGGAGTCCCCGGGGGCGGGCGTCTTGCCCCGCCGGGCGCTGCCGGCGCCTCCGCCTCCACCGGGCTTGGGGCGCGGCTCCCAGGGGGACAGCGGCACGGGGGCGGGGCGAGGGTTGACGGCGTTGGACTCCGGGGAGTTGGCCGGCGCGCGGCCCGCGATGTAGGGGTCGCTGCCGCCGATGCCCAGGCCGGGGCACTCGCCCGAGTTGGGGCTGCGGCGAAATCCGAACAGGAGCGTTAGAGAAACTAAAATGGCTCAAGGTCTTACGGAGTACTCCAAGCGCCACTCACATGAAGTTGGAGCACTGGTCCCGGAGGAAGCTGAGGGCCTTGTCGAGGATCTGGCGCGCGAACCTGGACGCGGAGCCCGAGGTGGGCGCCCCCGGCCGCGGCTTGTCACACTGCCGCGCCGTCTGGTCCAGGACGCACTCGCGGAACCGGTGGTGCGAACTGGAACACGCAGGACACAGGACATGAGGCCACTTGATCGCCAGCGAAGCAGCAAAGGCTACCCGGGTACCCACCAGCAGAGGTTGACGCGCTCCACGTCGCCAGACACCTGCTCCACGAGCTGGCGGTAGTGGCGGCCGCAGTGGCTGTCCTCCGTCAGGGTGTTCTTGATGCACGTGGCGTACTGCAGGTACTCTGCGAAACGAGGAACGAGGATTAGTCAACGTCTGCACCGGCGGCCTGTCACTGTCAATGCGCTCGCCCGGTGACGACAAAACAAACTCACCGCCCTGGTACTGCGGCACGGTGCACATCTGGTAGACCGAGTCCACGGGGTTCTCCACGGCCTTGTTGAACTCCTGGCGCCTCGACTCGGTGAAGCAGCGGTCGATGTACCTCTTGACGCACGTCACGAACTGGCTCCACGTCCTGGGGGAGGGGAGGCATGCCGATGAGAAATTCAGCTCCGCGACCGTTCGGCCCACCTTGATCCCGAGACGCACCCGCACACGAAGTCGATGTCCGCCATGTTGTCCGGGAAGATGTAGCGCGGGTCCTTGAGCAGGGGGTCGGCCATGTGCACGCAGCGCTGGTACTCGGACCGCAGGCACCCGGTGATCATGGTGTTGTCCGCGGCCTGCGCCGGCGACACTGCAAAAGAATGAAATAATTAGGATTCGAATTTGGATGTAGATAACAACCGAGTGGGCGCCTGGCGCCTCACGCACGCGATCCGGCCAGCCCCACTGCGTCGTCGCATCGTCGTCCTTGGCCCCGCCAGCGCCAGGTCAGCCCTCCACTCACGAAAGGTCCTGAGACGCGCGCCCCGACAGACAGCGATGACCCTGCGGTGCGCTGCGACCAGCGTCGCTCTGTCCCTCTCGCACTCATGGGGCGCCCCGTCGGCCCGTAGGGGTGCGAGAGAGACCAGAGCCGTGAATAAGTGATGGCGGCTGCTATCAATGGCCTCCGGGCGGCGCGCGGCACACGGTGGGCACGCAATGCCGCCGACTTTCTTCGGTAATCGCAGTCAGCGGCAGTTAGCAACCGGAAGCGCCAACCCAACCGGCGGCCTGGACCGGGCGGGGCGCGACGCGCGACGCGCCCCGCCGGCAGGCAAAGGCCCTTCCCTTCCGCGCCTTTTTCACGCAACGTCGTCGCCCCGGTCACGACCACTTGGCAAGTTGTTCCGAATCGACGCCCGAAAAAAAAGGAACAGAATCGAAACTGAGACGTTTTGGAGTGGCAGCCCTGCTGGAAGAAAGGCTAGAGGCGCCCTCGGCCCACTGGACGGTGGCGTGCGCACGACTTTACAGCGCAGTGGATAGCGGGGCTGGAGAAAAAACACGCCGCCACCCTCGCGGCTCACGCCACCGTCTTTGGGGCCTCGACCTATTAGTCAGGAGCCCCCGCGGCCCCTCGGCCCAGCCAGCCCCACGGCCCCATTGGGGTCAAGCGGGCAGAGCGCGGACAAACGACATTCGGAAGCCAAAACGAAATTCGGACCAAGGCCGCCGTGCAAACGCCGCGACGCACGCGCCACCCGACGCCGATTCCGAACACCGTGGCTGTCTCTCTCGCACTCAGGGGGCGTCCCGTACAGGTGCGAGAGAGACAGAAGCGCGGTCGCGTCCCCAGCTACCTGCGTTCAAAACCCTGCCGCGGGGCGCTTCAAGAGCCCCTTCTCCCGCCCCAGAGGGTGGAAGGTCATGGGGCCTTCCTCGAGGGGCTCGAGGGCTTCCCCGGACGCGACGCGAACAGCCAGCAAGACATACCGAGGGCAGGCGGGCAGGCAGGCAGGCATTTCCCACAAGTCACCGGTCGTAATTGCCACCCTCCGTCACGACCGCCGAGGCTTGGCCATGGAGGCCGCTGTCTCTCTCTCTCTCGCACCCTTACGGGACGCCCCATGAGTGCGAGAGGGACAGAGCGGTCGTTTGGAATCAGACTTCAGCCCCCCGTAAACCACCAAAGGGCGCCGCCGCCGCCCCCCGACTGCTTGAGGACACACGACATGTGCTGGGTGCCTCGTGGGCACACTGGGCACACTGATTCCGCTCTGTCTCTCTCGCACCCATGGGGTGTGCCGTGTCGGTGCGAGAGAGACAGAGCGACGAGGGTGCGGGGGGCGGTCGGCCGGCAGTCCCTCCGCGATGTTATCCAGGCGATGCTATCGGTGGGTCGGGGTGGCTGGCGGTTGGTTCCGCCTGACGCTACACTGGAGGTGCTCCAATGGCCTAATAAACAGCGCGGCGCCAATAAGTCTGCCTTTATCACGGTCTTGAGGGCCTTGATGACGAACGCGCAACGCGCTCCCTGCGCTCTCGGTGACCCGAATGCACCGCCATTCCCGCTTTTTGTTTTGCTTTGTCTCGCGCGTCATTCGCGAGGGCCTAATGGCGCCTGTAATGGAGTGCAGTGAGGTCAGTTCGCGGGCAGTGTGCCGCCGTGCCGCCGCCGCGGACTCGGCGGACGTCCCCGACGACGCCCGGCGGGGCCGAGGGCCGCCGTCAGAGGCCGCCGCCGACGGAGGCAGCCGGTCGCCAGCTCCGGTAATGAATGACCGCACGGCAAAAAGCGATTCAGAGGGAGGGGGGGGGGTCTCCAGGAACGGCGGCGGGTTCTTGGATTCCAGCACCAGCGAGCCGCCGCCACATCACCCTACAGGGCGACGCGCTGCTCGAATTTGAAACGGAGCGCGCGCAACTCTCACACTTTGATCCGTTTCCAGCCCGCTGCTGGCTGGCGTGCCGTGTCCTCGAGGTGCACGAGTCTATCGTTCTGGATTAGTGGGACCGCCGTGCAGCACCGGGGCCAGCGCCGTCTGAGGGGTGGGTGTGCGAGGGTGGCGTGACGCGGCGGTGCACCGCGCACGCAATGCACGTTTCGGCGCGCGCCCGATACACGACAGAAGAGACCACCGCCCTCACCGGTGCAGCCGAACCGACATTTTGAAAAATTCGAACCGCAACGCGGGTTTTTGAGGCTTTCCACAAAACAAGCTGCGCCTCCTTCTTTTTTGTCGGTGGCGTGGCTACGCAGCACGCAGCGCGGCGTCGCGTCGCGTCGTTTCGGGGAAACGCCGGCCACCTGTCAGCGACTGGCCGAACTGGGCTGCGCGACGCGCCCCAGAGAGGGACGCCCATCTATTATTCGGCCGTCCCAGGCCGTCCCCGAAGTGTCCGAGACGTCTGCTGTCTGTCCCTGTCTGTCCGTCCGTCCGCCGCGGCGTGCTAGAACACACAGTGCATGTAGGAGGCGCGAACGCGGCGCGCCAAGTAGCGGGCCCAGTGCTGACAAAGGCTTTGGGGGTGTGCGACCAGGGCGGGCCCAGGGTGCGGGGCGGGGCGGGGCGGGGCGAGGAGAGTCAACAACCTTCACACAGTCCACACAGTCCAGACTCGGGCGGTCTTGGAGAGGCGAATCAATAGCCCGTTCTGCCTATTCACTCACGCCCACTCTTCCAACGCCGAGGGCCCTACAGTGTACAGCGCGGGCCGGAGGGTCACTAAGGATGCAGCACGGCGCCGCGGTTTCTGAAACAAGCAGTCATTTCGGTGGTTCAGGTGGTACGACACAGTCACACATTGTGCCACGCTGAAACCGTCGTTCCTGCCCTCCTGCACTTTGGTGCATGGAATGCGTCATGTTGACTTCTACAGTATCCCCCATCGAGCTGACGGCGGAGACGGGCTGGAGGGTAACTCCGGGAATCGTTCGGGGCGCGCGCTGCGTGTACGTCTGTGCTCCCCCGGGAGCGGCACCACCGGCCCAGCGATTCCGAAAACCGTTTCGTCGCTGTCTCTCTCGCACTCATGCGGCGTGCCGTGGAGTGAGAGGGAGAGAGACCGAATCGGCGGTATGGTGCATTTTATTACCGGTCGACACGTACTGCAGTGCAGATGGAGGCGTTTCCGCGCGCCGTGTGTGTGCCACACTGTAATACGAAGGGGCGTGCCGGGGCGTCCCGCGCGCATCCACCCCAGAACTGGAAAGGGAAGGGGGCCCCCCCGCCTGGCGTGACGCCAGACAGAGACCGACAGAGTCGCAGGGCATTGTCCAGCCGCTGTCTTTCTTTCTCTCTTTCTTTCCTCAGTTCTCAGCGGCTAATTGTCGTGCCGCGATTATCAATGCGAGTTCGCCCATAACGCCGCAGTGCGCCGTGCCGAGGCTCGGCGGTCTGGAGCGGCCGGCCTTGACGGACGGTCCCAGTGGCCGCGGGGCCAAGGTAAGGGAGTGGAGAGCCGGAGGTCCGTGGTTCAAGACCGCACAACCTTTTTTTTTTTTTTTGGGGGGGGGGGGAGGGGGGGTCAGTTTTTACGCACTGCGTGACTGGTTTTCTTTCAGTGCAAGTCCGGTGTGAGGTGAGGTCGGGTGAGGTAAAGCGTCCCTAGGCTGCCGGCGTTGCTAGCGTTGCCCGGGAGGCCGTCAACGCCGCGACTTATGCAGCAGCTCGGCTCCTTAACCGCGCGGCAGTAAATCCGAGCAACTAGCGCAAACTAGCGCGACCGCGGCGCCCTCTCGCGACACCGGCCGGAACCCGAGAGAAAAGGGGGAGGAGGGGGGGGGGTAGAGTGACCAGCCCGCCGCTTGTTTGACGTTGCCGGTGCATTCCCGCGCGAAAAGGGGGTAATAAAAGCAGAAGGGAATGAAGAGCCCCCCCCCCTCCCCGCGTGACCATTACCTACCCCACGGCATGACATCAACACGGAGGCCATCGACCGGACAAGGCCCGCCCCGCCCCGCCCCGCCCCGGCCCGCCCCCTCGCGATGAGCTCCCGGAAACACTTGTCGTTATCGAATCAATGTCATTCTTAGGGCCTAGAGCCCCCGGGCCCCCCGAGCCCCCTCGGCCCCCAGGCCCCAGAGGGCGACGACATTGGCAGAGACCTTCAACGCGAGGCCTAGCGCCGTGCGCGTAGGCAGTCCCGCGACGAGGCCCTGTCCGCCGCGTTGCCTACCCGAGCATCGCCATTACCATTACGGGCTAGACCACTACTGATCGTGTGCCGTTTCGGGCCGGAAGTCACCGTGGGCCCCATCCTCTAACAATGGCCCTCAAAAGAAACTGCGCGGGAAATGGATTTTCCGCTTACCTGGAACGCTGGACAGCAGCAGCACCAGCGTCGTGGCGAAGGAGACGAGGGTCGCGCTGGTGGACGCCATGGTCTGCAACAGTGGAGGCACGGCCATTGGAATAAAGCGGCGGTGATATTGAAAAAGTGAAGCGCTGCCCCCTGCGGCGCCTCTCTGGCTGCCCATGCTTCAGACTGACTCCGAGCGTCGCTCTGTCTCTCTCGCACCTACGCGGGGCGCCCCCATGAGTGCGAGGGAGACAGAGCGACGAAAAGGGCTCTCGGAATGAGTCTGGCCTGCCCGCCACCGCGCCGCGCTCCGCTTCCGGTGCGTGGCCCCGGCCGGAAGCACCCGTGTATCAGATGGCCGCGGCTGACCCATATGTACCCCGTGCGCGCCGCGCGCCCAGCCTCTGGCTGCCTCTGGCGCTTCAGTGAAAAAAAAAAAAGAAAAAAAGGGAAAAACTACATAGCGAAAGCTCTCTGTCCCGGCGCGTCAGTGTTTCGGGCTTGCCGTGAGTGGACGATTCAGCAACAACAAGGACAAGGAAAGTAAAAACAACAACACCCGAGGCGTCGCCGCCACTTTCGCTGTGACACACGACGCCCCACTGGATTTCCACCTGCAATGATCACAGCCCGCTCCGCTTGCGGCCGCGCGGCCTTGAGTGCGGTATCTGCGTTTGGCCTTTGATTGGCGGCCTCCGACCGGCCGGCAGTGAGCCCCGTTGTGGCCTCTAGTCGGCCTTTTGTGGACGACTCTATGGGTCTCGTGCGGGCGCCGGTCCCCCTGTCTGTGTGTGGGTGGCGTGCGTGACTCCCAAGGTAGAGAAACGTAAGGGGCTCACGTCACAGCTCTCACACACAGGCACTCGTAGACACACACAGACGCGCCTTTACGGCACGCGTGTCGGATTGTTTGTCGGTATTAAAAATTAAATGATGGTGGAGAGTTCCCTGCTTGGAGCCATCAGGGGTGGCTCGGCTCGCCGCCCCGCCCCACCGGCACGTGGGCGCTGAGGTTCGGGGGCGGCCGCGGTGAGGGGGAGGGGGTGATTTAAGAGAGGGGTTGCGTAAGGGGTGGGGGTAAATAGCCCCCGTCGCGTGGCAGTCGTTTGTGTGTGACGGGCCGCCACCGCCGCCATACGTCAGCCATAAATTGAGGCGTAAGGTGCGGGAGGGGACACGAACCAATCTGACGCATGTACTCGTACCGTATCTGTTCTTCGCCCTACCTATGAAAAAAAAAACGTGAAAAAAAATTAACAACTATCGACTGAAAATAAAGTTGGAAAATATTTCGGACCTCGTGATTACTTTGTCGAGCGGAATGCAAAGATGCGTCGGACTCACACTGCATCGCATTACCGGGCCGTCCGTGCGCGACGGACAAGGCAGCCCCCCTCCCCCTCTGCATCCTCCCCCGCCCCGCCCCGCCCCGCCCCGCGGCGCGCATGGCTAACAGAGCACGTCGACGCGCAATGCTGCTGGCTGGGAGACACGACTACTTGGCTTGCGTCGCTTGCGTACGGAAACAGCCACCCAGCACGTCTGTCCGTCTGTCTGTCCGCGTCCGTCCGCCCGTCCGAAAGGAACACTCTTTTCGGGAGTGACATAGTACCCGCGAAGCCTGCAATCACAATAATCATCCGTCCCCGAGGGGCATTACACATCCGTGTTCAAAATTACGGCGACGTGTTAGGCGGCGATCGAACACAAGGGGGAGCCTTGGCCGAGCTGCAGAGACTGATTCCGAGGGTCGTTTACGTCTCTCTCGCGCTCCCGCGGCGCGTCGTGTGGGCGCGAGAGAGACGGAGCGACGAAATGCAACCCTCGGAATCGGTCTGCTGGCCGTGTAGTAGCAAAACAAAGGGTGGCGATGACGCGTGTCCAAATAGAGGGACTTCCCTCGCAGGGGGCCGCGCCGCGCCGTGCGCCGTGTTGACACTAAGCGCCGGCGAGTACACAAATATGTGGAAAAAGCATCAAACCCCCGCGTGGGCGGCGGAGGCGGAGGGGGAGGGGGAGGGGGGAGTCCGGCAGCAAGTTCAATGCTCCACAACAACCCGGTCGGACAGGCGGGCAGGCAGCAGCATGCAGCAGCAGCGGCACGGCAGGTTCGACTCACTGTGGTCCGGAACGGACGAGGGCCGGATGCCCGGCAGTCACACACACAAACTCCATACACAGAGTGAGATTTGTTCCCGGTAATACGGCGACGGGAGGCGATCCAGTTTGACGCCGTCCTCCTCCTGCCAGTGGTGCATCCTGGCGGTGATGGCGGTGACATCATCGGTCCGAACGGCTCCATTTTTCGCCGCCATCTGCTCCTCGTTAGCGTCTTCATTCCCGCCTCGCTCGCCGTGCCTCGCCTGGTCTCCATCAGCCTGAGACCGCACCGCATCGAGTCGAGTGCCGCCTGCCACTCACCCACACTGTACGCCGAGGCGTAATTTGAATCTGCCGCGCCGCGCCACACTTGCGACGAGACGGGATTTTCGAATTGTGCCGTACTTCCGGCCGAGGTGGCCGGGCCCCTGTCTGCCACTGTCCGGGCCGCCGGCGCCGCCAGCCTGCCTGCTCGCTCGACGAGATGCCCGCCAATTTGAAGCCAAGGACGCGCTGGGCCGGGCTGGGCCCATCGCCACGCCACGCCCTATCTGCCGCGCGATCGTCGCACACGGCAAAAAGTAACGCGTCGCGAAAACAACTTGGAAACATTAAAAAAAATAATTAAATTTGGCTCGCGATTGGCGCGGCAAAGTGTGATTGTGCGTGATTGCTGATGGGATTCACACAACACGTCCATCATCTCGGACATCTCGGACGCGGTGCGAACCGCCACGGAGGCGGAAGTGCACACTGATTTCGTCGCTCTGTCTCTCTCGCACCTGTACGGGACGCCCCGCGAGTGCGAGAGAGACAGAGCGTACGACTCCCGGAATCAGTCTGCTGCGTCCTGCGAATAACGATCATTATTGGGCACGGCCGGCCGGTGAGCCGTGTCGCGAGGAAGCGAGGAAGTGACACTCCACTGCCGCACCGCCACCGCCGCACCGCTTGGCCTGGCTTGGGTGCGATGCAGTCACCGCCGCCCCCTTTTCCGGGCGGTTGCAACCACCAGAACCCCCGCTGTCTGTCTGTCTGTCTGTCTGTCTGTCTGTCTGTCTGTCTGTCTGTGTGTCTGAGTGTCTGGCTGTGTGTCTGAGTGTCTGTCTGTCTGTCTGTCCGTCCGTCCGTCCGCTGGCATTTCCAACAAAAACGAGGAAGAATGCCCCCGCCGCGGTGACCGCACGAGGCCGGCCGCCTACAGAGTAGCGCGCGCCGGCCGCGCTGCGGATAGTCAAGGCCTCCGCTATTTACACCGCAGTGCGCGCGGCGGGCGGCGCGCGGACTGCAGGGCAGCGGGACTGCAGCGCGTAGCGGCGTAGCGTGCACTGACAGAAAAAAAAGTACGGAAAAAGAACGGAACGTGCTTGGTCGATTTTTTTTACCTGGACCGTCCGTGCCATACGGAGGTTCCGAACCGGTTTACATGCGGACTACGTACGGAGAGCCATTTCCCCTTTCCGAACCCCATATTTTTCATACATGTTTCGCACCAAAATAACGATTTTTGTTTTTTGCTGTGTGCCGCAGCGAGGCAAGCGAAACGCACGAGTGTGTCCAACAATTGCAACAATTGCGATCCGTACGGGTCGCGTAAAGAGCTTCACCTTCTCTGTCCGCCTGCCGCTGCTGTAATGAATGGCATCCCATTGAGAGAGACAAAGCGAAGGAGAGAGAGAGAGAGAGATCGCGGCAGAGGTACCGCAGCCGATCAAGATAATTACAGCCAGCCGCACACCACACACATTAGTTAACCCGCAAAATTACAATCCACCATCGGTGAGTATGCGATTACCGAGCAAAGGCAAGCACAAGAACGGTCTGCCCGTAGATGGCGCACGATTGGCTACGGCTTGGATTGGACGCCGTGGGCGCTCTAGGTGAGCCCAAATCCCTTGTCTGGCAGCGATCCTTCCACGGCGTTACATGGCGCGGCCGAGACAATGATGCTGTGTGCATATGCGTGCAGAGCATTGCAGCGCCAACCCGGCGACAGGATCGTCATCCCAGCACCCCGGCACGCCAACCGCCACTTTCACTCAGGACACCACACTGTGTAAACCGGGCCGCTGGCATCGAGCGATGTTTTCAGGTTCGGTTGGAGCCTAGAGGAGGAATCACGTGTTTGCTCTGCCGAATGCAGCGTAGCGCGGTGCCGCGCTGCCTGGTGAGTTGCACGCAGGGCGGGGCGCCGCCGGAAAATTGCATCAAAAACGGGGCTCTCGGGGGCGCCGGGCCGCGCCGGGCCGCCACTGGAGGACCGTTGCGACGGCCCTGAAATTAGGACTCCCTCTGAAGGCGGCGCCCTGTGGTTGGCGCCTTGCTTGCTGTGCTGCGCGGCCCCTCGGATCTAGGTCGCGGTCCGCAGTCCGTGGGGCGCAGCGCGCAGGGCTCAGGGCGCCCGGGGGTGCCTTTGCCGCCATTCGGCCATTCGGCATGGGGGCCGCGTGCGGTGGCCGCGGCGGTGGCCTCCCCGCTGGCCTCGTTTCGGACCTCCAGGGCGCCGAGGCCGCGGCCCGGCCACCCCTCCAGTGTGGGTCAGCAGGGGAGCCGTTGAGGTAAGGGTCGGCAGTCGCCCAGTCGCCCAGGGGGAGATAAGGATCGAAAATTACACCCGGCGCCCTAATCCATCTCTACATGCGAGACGGAGTGGCGCGCTGCGCGCACGTCTCCAGCAGGGGGCCCTCCCTGACCACGACAACGCACTCTCTCTCTCGCACTCATGGCGCAGCCCGTCGGGCCCCGTAGGTGCGAGGGAGAGAGACAGCGGCGAAGCGCTCTGCTCGGAATGAGCCTGCAGGGCCTCCAGGGCGCGCGTGACGGCGGCCGCCTTGCGTCGCCGGCGTGGCCGGGCAGCACCTCGCCGTGGTGGTGTCACCGCGCTTCCGGCCTCTTTCTCTTTCTCCCCGTGCGACGCGGAACGCCCGCGGAACGCCCGCGGAACGCCGCTGCCTGGAATAAACGCCCCGCCCCGCCCCGCCCCGCCCCGCCCCGCCGATGACGACGCCGCCGTTACGCCGAGCAGGGGCTTAAATTCCGTGAAACAACGGCAGCGACGTCGGCGACAATGGAGTGCCGTATTCAGGGGACGACGACGACAACGACAAACATTTTCGTTTTTTTTAAATTTTAATACCGAAAAATCTTGCTCTTAAAAAACCCACAAAGGCATTTGTCTACCTCGGCTCGGCTCCACCCCGAAACAACAACAACAACAACAACAGCGGCGACTGGGAAATAAATCAAAGGAAGGGTTGGCGAGCAAACAACGGCCGCGAGGGGCGCTGCGGTCGTTAGCGCGCCGTTACAGTGCCGTGCCGCGTGCCGCCATGGCGCCGCGGCGCCCGAACGGTATTTAGAAAGAAATACAAATTACAGCTCGGCTCTGCCACGCTGCTGCGCCGTGCTGCGCCGCGCGGCCGGGGGCGTCGGCCAGGCAGAACAGAGCCGGGGCGTCATCAAAATCATCGTCGCGATGGTCCTGTCTCTCTCGCACCCGCGGAGCGCCCCCTAGGGCTGCGAGGGAGGCAGCGCCGGGAGGGGGCGTCCTCTGTGGGTCCTCCGGGCAGGTCCTCCGGGGCGCTGTGTGGTCTCAGCAGGTGTCTGCACGGCCCGGCACGGCCGGCCACTCCAGCCGCCTCGCGCGGTGTGGCGCAGTGTGGTGGTCACACTTCGTGGTTCCCAACAAAAGCAGTCCCCCCCCCCTCACCGCGCGGTGACGTCACTGACGCAACAGTACGGCGGCAGCCCACTATGCACGGCGGGGCCTCCGTCTGCACTGTGTCGCCGTCGGCATGCCGTCGGCGTCCCCGGCCGGTAAAACACCTCTTCCTCGACGCGGCGAGGCAGGCAAGGCAGGCAAGGCCGGGGAATGACCCCAGCGCCGCAGATTCCGAGCGGCGCCCCATGAGTGCGAGAGAGACAGAGCGACGCGACGAGGGCTCTGTTATTCCGAATCGAGCTGCAGGCCTCGTGACGTCATGGGTTCGGACTCGCCCCCGCCCGCCCGGCGCCGAGCGTCCACTGCCGTGCTTTACACCCCCTCCCTCCCTTTTCTCTGGCTGGGGTTGAAAGTTTCCTCGTCCATGCACCCCTAGATGCAGGCGGCGCGATACCGTTTTAATACCGCACGCAGCCGTCCGACCACGCCGAGGGGGGTCTTGACCTGCCGGCCCGACGGGCCCGACCCCGCCCATTTCCTCGGCCATGCCTCGGCCATGCCTCGGCGCGGAGTGGCGGAGTGGCGCACCGAGAGGGTCTTGAACCCTTGAACTTGCGGCTCGCGGTGCGGGTCGAGCATGCCGCCGCTCGACGCCAACCCCAACAACCGCCCTTGCCCGATAAAACCCTGGGCGCCAAACGCCTCCACGTCTCTACGTAAAAAATTATTCAAACTGTTTCCAGTGTCGCGGACGCCTGGCCGCCTGGCGTAGCCTTATCGGCGACCTTCGAGGCTGATGCCGCTGCTGCAAGCCGGGCGGCTCTACGCGTTAAGGTGCCGGGCGGCGGGCCAGGGCGCGCGCGCTCGGCGGTCCGTGAGAACAACAAGAAGTGGATGCGGCTGGACGAGGCGGGAGTGCGCGCGGACCTCACAAGGAAGCCCTCTGTATTCTGCTCGGCCAAGCAGCACAGGACTGCGCCATGACTGCATCGGCACGGGGCCGAGCACGCCGAGCCGGGCTGGGGGCTGAAGAACGATCCCACACTGCCGGGGAGGACGTTGGCCAGCGGCAGGCAGCAAGCACGGTCGGTGTGTTGTTGATTGCCTCGGAATCAATCGAAGTGTTTGCCTGGCCGAGATTGAAGACCGAGGGCTCACTGCGCTTGCTGCTCGCTAGCTGCTCGCTAGCTGCTCGCTGGCCTGTTTGCCGGGCGAAGCAGCGAAGCGTGGTTCGAGGTTCGAGGGAAGCTCCGTGGCGATGGCGTGGCGAGCCTCACGGACATGCAGTGTCGTCTTGTTGCTCTGTCTCTCTCGCACTCACGGTGCGTCCCACAGGGGTGCGAGAGAGACAGAGCGGCCCCAAGAAAGGCGAGCGATGCGCGATTCTTTCGGAAACTAGTCCGCACGCCACCGTGGGGGACTGACGGGGAGCAAATATTTGCGCGGATGGAGAGGGAAAGAGAGCGCCTGCAAGCGCCGGCAGTGACCGGGCCTGGCCGAGGGCCTGGACGACCACGGCGTACTCACCGCTCTGGACGAACGCGATCCTCGAGGACCTCGTCGAGGACGTCGTCGAGGACCCCCTGTCTCTAGCACGGCCCGATCACAAGCACGGCCTCGTTGGCGTCCTCGGTGGTAATCCAGTCCGGTCGCATCACTGCTGCGCTGCTGCGCCACTACGATGGCGGTCGGGCCGGGGCTGCACCCACCGCACGCACGCGTCGTCGGGCGGTACGTTCTTCGCGGGGTGCGCGGCGCGTAGCGGAGCGCGTGGCGGCCGGCGGTCGGACTCGGAGCGGAGCCTGCTTCGCGTAGCTTCGCGCTTCGGCCGCGGAAGAGTGGCGAGTGGCGGCTTTTCCTGGCGCTCCGGCGCTCCAGCGGCGGCGGCTAGCGGCGGCAGGGCGTCCGGGGCGCCGGGCCGTGGTGGGGACGCCCTGGACGGGACGCCCCCTCCCCCACTTCCACTTCGCCCACGGCGCGGTCTAGGTAGGTCTAGGCGGGGCCAGAGCCGTCAGCCTGCAGTCAGACTGCCGCGGCCTGGCACCCACCCGCACCCACCCGACGCTTCTGGACTTTCAATTAACCGTTTTCCTGGAAGATGCTGTATGGACGAAGAGGCGAACGCCTTCTGAGTTTGAACGGATGGGCGCGAAGACCGGGTCTCCAGATGAGCCAATCACAGCGCCGGGAACCCTAGCCTCGCCGCTGGGTGCGACGCTTGAACTGCAATGTTGCTCCAAGTGGGGATTCGGGCCGCCCCCTCTCATCCATGTTCACTGGTGCACTGCTGCTGTTAGCTGGTTTTGTCACGACAATAACAATGTATTTCTCTCCCTAGAAATCTAAATCCCGAGGACAGATTTCGATTTTCAGAAACTGTCAATAGACTCAGGTAACCGAACGAATCCAAATGTCGAAACATTTTCACGATGTTTTGGTATGCGTCAAGAACTTTGTGGCATTCCCGGTCGTCTAAGCTTAACCTTTACCATAATTATATTGTCTTTCCTTGATGTTTCTTGCTTTTACTGACGACAAAAGACACCCGTTGTGTTTTCATTTGATACTTATTTATTCAAGAAATTGCACTATCACTTCTCTGTCTTGAAAATTGATATGATTCATTCAACTTTCATTTGAAAATTAGAATAGAAAACACATCAAGAAACAGATCAATTTAACTTAAGTCTGCCTCGTTATTTCGATATTATGAATGATTTAATTTCTTTCCCAACTGAAGCAGTCTGAATACCTGCTTAAGAAAATCTTAGATGGACTGGGTTTGTCAGTTCACTATCAAGCTTTCGATACGATACACCTATTACTTTTATCTTACTTGCTCACTGGCACCTAATTCTAACATAATTTGAATACTGCCGAATATTTTTCATTCCATTTTTGAACATTGTAAAAACTAAAGAACTGAGTTGGCATTGCGCTGTTTGGTTCCTGCCTATAAATGGGGTACAGGCCCAGGCTAAATTAAAAATATTGAGGAAGTGGTTTGCTGCCAAGTAGAAGCAGGAAGATGGAAAGGAGAATGGTGATGTCACTGCTCACAAAAAGACAGGAAAATTTTATTGGTAGCTCTCTTAAATAATTCTAGTCTCACCCTTAATTTTTTGAACATTCAGTGCTCTTAATCTCTTTCTTGGTAACAATTTTTTTGACTTCATTTTTCCCTCTTTCCCTTATTTCTTCTCCCTCTCTCTCTCTCCCTTTCTCTTTCTGTCTCTCTGTCTTTCTCTGTGTGTCTCTCTTCCTCTCCACCATCACTTCTATTCTATTTTTAGAATATCCTTCCTCCTGCACATGTATGTCTACTATTTAACATAGTTTTGTTCAAGTTAAAGGTATCATCAATACCAATTAAATCAAATTTTCAGGAATAAAAGGGGGAAGCCTTTACAATTTAGAGGTAGTTCGATTATTTAGTACATTGTTGGAGGGTACAGTAGAGCAGGATCAAGACTGTTTTGTAGATTCTATTTTTAGACTTTTGGTGTTAGTCCAAGATGCCCCCACTTCCCTCAGAGCTCTCCCCTCTGGTTGGCTGCAAGCCTTCCGTCTGTGTAAATCTCAGTTGTGCAGATGTGGGTGTTGAATTTTTTTCAATTGTAGAATTAAACCTGAAACATATTCAAACAAACTCCAAGTTCATCACAGTTCTCTGTAACATTTTGGTAGGGAAAACTTTTTACTGTGTGTTATTAGGTTTGAAGGTGTCATATGAATCTCATCTTTTGGGGGAGGACATGTTACTACGCTGAAATACCTGAGGTAAACATTTAAAATTTTACCACATTTTCCCATGACATTTTCTGCAACTATATGCATTTCACAACACTCGATTGTAACTCATATTCACTTACATTTCATCTGCATTTATAGAAAAAGGATTTTGCCCCTTTTATGAAGTCAAGACCTTTTGTAAAATTAGTTCATGCAGGAAATGCTTTAATAACTATATATCAAGCTTGACTTAAGATTGGAGCTTCTGTAAAAATCCTCAATGTAGTTAAACCGTTAATTTGTTGAAATTTGTTTCTCTGTTAACTAAGGAAACTAACGCTACCATTTCATAATGGTACTACTTTTGGAAGATGATCCTGCCATCATCAGGGTCATGGATGAGATGCCTGAGGGCTCTTGCGATAAGAAATCCTACTCGCTGCCGCCATCCTCATCAGTTCAAGAACTGTACACTACTGTTATGAATGGATGTGATTATAGTCCTGACTCTTGCACTTTATTGGTTACGAATGATCATGTGGTAAGAATAGTATCCTTTTGTTTCTTCCCAGTATGTCCTCATGCAATTACCAACATTAACACTTTATTCTTTACGAAAAGGAGTTTGAAGTCAAGAGAGATGATGAGCAAAGTTTGAAAGACGCAGGTCTCTCATTGGGATCTTCTAAACAAAACATTTTAAAGATAGTCCCACGTGAATCTACAACACCTCCATCCATCGTTATCAGCTTGGCAAACAAAGGGGAAGATAGTAATGACGCTAATGCAGATATTGTAAATGGCAGACAGACTAATTCTTTGAGGGCGAGGACGAGGATGAAGATGAGAGAGAGTGACAGAAGTGAGTATGATATGATCTCCTGAATGTAAAGCTGTTTGCTGTGTGTAGAAAATGTTTGTCTTGGCCCTAGTTAACCAGTTAACCATGACTAATGTTAAAATAAAAACATGTACATACATTTGCATGTGTGGTGGTTTGTTTTTTCTGTAATGTCTTTCTGAAACCCAAGCTTTTGTCTCACTTGTATGTGTAAGCGTGTGCTGCTTGTAACACCCTTGTGATTTCTTTTCTGCAGGCTTTTCTGCAGGTTGTAGAAGAATATTAGAAATGAGATACCTTGAAAGTCATACAAATGTTCCTGCTCGAGACAAATTGCTAGCTACAAATGTTTCTTCTTCTTGTAGCAATTGGAGCACAGGTACAAGGCTCTGTAGATCTTTCTGTTTTGTCTAGTTTTGGTGTAGAACCATTGCTTGGAATGTGTGCTGCTTTTGATTAATAATTCCTATTTCAGAAAAGTTCCTTGTGCCTTGTCCAACTACAGTAGTATGATAAATTTTTCTTCTACATTTGTGTTTCAGGTTACGTCGGTTTAGTCAATCAAGCTATGACATGTTACTTAAACAGTTTGCTCCAAGCCTTGTTCATGACTCCCGAGTTTCGCAACTCACTTTACAAATGGGAATTTATTGGATCTCCTGAAGAAACTCCTAAGTCTATACCATTTCAACTTCAAAAGCTGTTTTTAAGTCTTCAGGTAACTTTGTCTGAATGTATGATTATTTATTTTTACTTCTCCATCTGTTCCGAACCACTTTTTCCCCTTATGCTCCTTTATAGACATCTTCTCGCAGTGCTGTAGAGACAAGCAAATTGACTAGAAGCTTTGGTTGGGATGCCAGTGATTCATGGCAACAGCATGACATTCAAGAACTGTGCCGAGTAATGTTTGATGCTTTAGAACAGAAGTTTAAAGATACAGATCAAGCCGATTTCATCAACAATCTCTATCAGGGTTAGATAAGAGTTGATATATTTGTAGTGAGCTATTTTTTGTTTTGTTTTCTTGAGTATCATTTTCTAACAAATTTTACTTTTTGTATAATCTTCCAGGCAAACTAATTGACTATGTCACATGCTTAGAGTGTAAAACTGAGAAAACTCGTATTGATACTTTCTTAGATATACCTCTGCCAGTCCGTCCATTTGGCAGCACTGTTGCATACAACAGTGTGGTGAGTGACTTAAGTATTTAAATATACATTACAGTTGAAAAGAAAGTCCAGCAACATTTCTTTTTACAGGCAGAAGCTATGCATGCTTTTATCCAGCCAGAAATTTTAGATGGTAATAACCAGTACTTTTGTGAAACATGCAACAAAAAGTGTGATGCTCATAAAGGCTTGAAGTTTTCCCACTTCCCATACATTTTAACTCTTCACCTGAAGCGGTTTGACTTTGATTATAATGCAATGACTCGTATCAAGCTAACTGACAGGTATGTGGGTAAAATTCAGTTTTCAGTCTCAAAGAATGTTCTCAGATCTGTTTTTCTTTTTTTCAAACCTGCAATGCTTGTATTGATTTCAGGGTGGAATTTCCTAATTTCTTAAATATTAATGGATACCTTTGTGAGGAAGCAAGGACTTTGCTTGTCAAACAAGAGTCAACCGTTTTAGAGCAGCCTCCAAGCCCAGTCAATGATGAAGATTCAAGCGACCGTTCAGTGAAAGGGGATGACACAAGCACCACAGATAGTGCATCCACAGTTGAGGATGAAGGGTGCCAGGCAGCAGGGACTTTGCATGGATCAACAAGTGGCAGCAATAGCAGTGGCAGCAATGTAGACATGCAGGTACAATTGAGTGGAATGTAAGAATGGTTAAAGAATGCACTCAAGGTATATTTACAGTGTATCCTAACAAAAGCCACTTCACAGGACTTTGATGAAGGAATTGACCTAAGAAATGGAACCAATCAAGATGACAATGAAAACAACCGACGTCAGACAGAAGGAAGTTCATCTGGACCACCTGGACCTTATGTTTATGAATTATTTGCTATAATGATTCATTCTGGCAGTGCTTCTGGTGGCCACTATTATGTTTACATCAAAGATTTTGAAAAGGATAAATGGTTTTGTTTTGATGACCAATCTGTTACCAGAGTGAGTACCAAGTCAATACAGTGTGTAGACACAGGTTACTATTCAATTTGACATTCTCACTTTTGCTTTTTGTTTTTTGCTGTTGTTTTAAATTTTTAAACTCAAAGATAACAAATGAAGACATATCTATGACATATGGTGGTGGAAGCCATCGTTCATACTATTCCGGGGCCCATAGCTCAAGCACCAATGCATATATGTTAATGTATCGTCAAATTGACAAGAAAAGGAATCAATCAGCAATGTTAATTGATGAGTTTCCCCCTCACATTAAGGTACAGTAATTCTGATTTCAAGTGCACAATACTTGCACAAAACAATACTTGTTTTCTTCTGATGCACTTCTAACTATTAGTATTATTTTCATATACATTTTTGTATATGTAAATTTTTTTAAATAGGCCCTAGTGGAAAAAATGCAGAAGGATGAGGAAGAGGAAAAAATGTACCGTGAACGAGATAAAGATCGATTGAAAATAAAGGTGTTCTGTTTCAAGCCTGGGGAAAAGACCAGATCTGAGACTAAGTTAGTCATTGATGGCGACACTACTCTTGCTGATGCAACTGCCATAGCCCATCAAGTATGTTTGCATACATGTCATCATAAACATAATGTCTTGACATTAATACCAAACACTTGTACAAATTGACAATTTTGTTTCAGTTATTTTCGTTAGAGAGTGTGGTTCCTCTGGAACAGTGTCGCCTTGTTAGCTATGACAATGTAAATGAAGCCATAGACATTAGCTTTGATGGTCAAGACGGAGAAACAATGAATTCTATCTACTTAAGCATGCCCCCATGTGCCCAAAGCTTGTTTCTTGAAATAAGGGACCCTGACTCTCAATTTGAGCCTTACTGCTCAGGAGGTATGGAAATCAAGCTTCATGTGGTTAAGTACCTGATTTTTCTGTTATATGCATTTCTTGTGTTTGTATCCCCTTAAGGTGTCAGTGTGAAAGTTCATAAGGTGGACATAGGTATGAAGGAAGTTGCTCTGCCTGTTGAAGTACGGGTGAATAAGAGTTCATTTGCGGAGATGAAGAAAAAGATAGCAAGAGCTCTGAAACTCTCTTCAAACATCAAAGTCATGGTAGAAGAGTATGGGAGAGGCCTTGTTGAATTAAATTATGAGGACTCCTTTCAGAATTCTAATTTCTATTTGACGAACAAGGTAAGAATTTTTCTGTTTCTTGTTTCTTCCTTTCTCAAAGTATAATAAAAATATTGTTTCCATGTGATTATTGACTTTCCCGTTTTCTACAGGTCTTTGTTGCTGAGATACCAGAGCATGAAGCTGAATCAGATTTCTTGGAAAAGTTAACGGCCATCATTGAAGGATACAGCAACACAATCACCTTTTATTGCACATTGCCTAATACTGACAAAGGTAAGGAGTGAAATGTTTATCACATTATCATTTCCATGAAAACGAAAATCATTTGTACTTAATTGTTTGCTCTCTTTCTTTTTCCCAAAGAGAGTTTGGCAAAGCTGGGAATCACTCCGATGTCAGGAACAGAGGAATGCAGAACTCTAAAGTGCGAGGCATCAGGCGACTCAAACGGAGTGAACAAAGGCGTGTCTCGGGGAACCTCTCCTCAACTTCCCCCATTAGAAGGTGAAGAAGAATGCCAAGGGGCCACAGGATTCAGTGACCAAAGTACCAGTGAAGACAGCAGCCTCACAGACAGTGACAGGTCCATCTCATTTCTATTTTTAATATTTTTTGTTCCTTTTTTTAAATCTAGATGGCATGGGCTGATTATTGGTTTCCTTGTATTGTGCTCTAGGACTATTGTTGGTGATGAAGCTGACTACTGTCTAGCTGAGCTCTCTTCTTCCAGCAATTCGCCACCAGGATCAGATCAAGCCTGTGTGTCGTCTCCTGAAGATAAAGATCTACCACCTTTAGTTAGAATGAGAAAGCCAGAGAAATTGTCCACTACACAGCTGGTATGTATGTTGTTATTAAAGTTAATTCTTAATAAAATCCATTTTTATTTAAGTAATTTTCTTGTTTTAACAGGATAATGGTTATATTAGTGATGAAGAACTTTGGAATGGTGATCAGTATCAAATTAAAATCTTTCCCTGCAACCCTGATAAGCATGACAACCAAAATGTTGTTGGCATTGTTGCGGACCATCGTATGGTGTTGGGCACAGTACGATCTGCCTTAGCTCGTCACATGGGTGTATCTCCTGAATCTGTCAAACTTTTCCGCCATCTTCCAAGGAGCAAAGACTGGATTCGATACGCCTCTCTGAATTTAGGTTTGCCTTTAACTTCCCTTCGTGACGAAGAGAACTTGATTGTACATTTGGAGAGAGCTCTCAAGAAAGGCGAATATCGGGGAAAAGTGTATCAGCTGTTAGCTGATGATGAGGTATATTTTTACACAACCACAATATACTTTTGTATTTTTAAGCAAGTGATCTTGGGTTGTAAATTTTCTATCTCACACTTGTGTGACAATTTTCTTGTTTTAGGCTGTCAAATTTTTGTGTGATTGGATTGTTGCCAAAGACATGCTTGTTGGGGAAGCTAAAAAGGAGATATTGGATGAACTCAAGAAAAAACATGATTTAGACATTCCCTTTGACAGGTAAGAATAATGCATTTTCTCCTGTGATTTCTGGTAGCTCTTTTTTTTTATAAAATACCTAATGGAATGTTTTTTATCATCAATTTTAGGTGTAGATTGCGTGGCAAGAAGTGGAAGGACCCTGGAAAAATTTATCTGGATTCTCAATCATTTCAAGACCTCCAATTCGATTCCAACTGGGAAATGTTTTTGCAAGAGTTGGACGAGCCAGAAAATGTCACAAGTACAACTCAGGTCACTGTAATGTTGAAGAGGTTCAGCATTACAGGTCGATCTGTTGATGATTTCCATGAAATCACTATTCAGAGTCCTTCATTTAGTGAACTTAAAGAAATTGTAAGTGTACACTATAATAAATTGGAATTTTATTCAATAAAATTAATGATGATCTAATTGTTTTATTTTCATACAGGTTAGTGACATTAGTGGTATTCCATTAGAATCCTTACAATTTGCATGCCCTTCAGGGAGCTTCCCATTTATGCAGTGCCAAACCAAACAAAGAGAAATCAAGTGGGATTGTGAATATTACAGCAAATTAGAAGATGGAATTGTTTTGTACTACAGGTGAGGAATGGGAAAGATCTAAATCAAAACTCTGGATATTTTTTTTCTTTTGCATAATACAATATGCTTATTCTTATTGCAGAAACAAAGATGAGGATGGTACCTCCAATACATTCACCGATGGTGTATCCTCCAACAGTTGTGTGAGAATGCTCTGCAGGAAAAAGAGGTGCTTAAAGTTTTATGTTGGTTTGATATACATTTGATACACAGTTGATACACAGTTTGAGTCTCTGTTCTCTTTTCAGGAACAAGGATGATGCAGTTTCTTCTGACTCAAGAGAAGCGGGTTTACGTAAAAAGACCGATAAGTATAGGAGGGATGGAAATGCACTTAGAATTGTTGTTAGCCCAACTCCATCTAAAGAAACTTCAGGACTAGCTGAGTAATTCATTATATTTTACTTTGTGTTAAAAGAATTTGTTTTATCCTTCTCAAAACTTTTTTAACTGTCCCAGGCTCACGGTCTTTTGTTTTTCCTACAGTTTAAACAGTTCTGTGCATTTATCAGTATTTTTTCATCCAAATAGCCTAACATATCTTTATTTCCTGCACTTGTAATGGCACAGTGTAATCACCTTAAATGCTGTGTTGCTTGTTCCTTCGTTTCCTTGTGATATATATGGTCATGATGTTGTTATGCATTTGTCAGTTCCTATTGGAAAGTTTTGTTAAGCAATGAAACTCATTTATTTAAAACATTTTCCCTGTCCCTTTGAGTGGTTCTTCTCCTTTCTCTCCCATCGCCCAATATTTTTTTTTTCTTTTTGTGAAGTATGTATTAATTCTGTGGATTGGTAAGATCATGATCAGTATTAATTTCTCAGTTTCTCTCTATCCTGTATTAACTCAGTGTAGGTTTCACAGGTAGGAGGCAAGTACTGTTCCTGCTTGACATGTTACCACAATTCTCTTAATACTGTCTTATTGTTTTGTCTATTTGTCACATCAATAATACTAATGAGTGATTTATGTTAACGTTTATGTATCATTGTGATTTTCAACTGATGTGTGTGCTGTGATGTGAGTAATAACTATGCATTGTCTAGTGCACTTCTGTCTTAAGCATTTTGTGTAAGATTTTGTTTGTGCTTTACATCTTGTTGACCTTCAGAAGTCAGTGAGAAACAAAACTAGTCGTTCTTTGCATTAATTGTAAGTTAAGAAGATGTTTTTAACTAATCAAACGAAATAATAGTCTTTCACAGTGTAATAGAAGTCAATCGATCACCTAACATATCTTTAATGATTGAGGTAAACATCAGTTAAGTTTTACTTGTGCTTCTTGATGGACGCAGAAGCTTTGTCCAGTAAAGACCTGATATTTTTTGATTGCATTTGTTGTGCACCCTTGTTACTCTTTGACTACTGTCTAACTTACAGACTGACTATTTATATGGTTAATGCTAAGTTTGCCATTTACCATTTTGTTCGGTAATTGGTCATAATCCAAATTGACTGGGATCCATAATATCCTGTTGGCAAAGTTCAATTGTTCCTTGAGATCTGATTCACATCACTATCTACCTACAATAATATTTAAACAATTTGGCTTGCGATTCCGTGCTGTACATATCAGATTATGTGAATGATCAAGACACTAGCATCATAAGAGAAACAGTAGACTCTGCTGTTAGAAAATGTTGGAGGCACAATTTTAGAAGAATGTCCAACTTCTGTCGCTGACTTAAATGAGTTGCTACATTATTTTCTGTGAAAAGATTCAATATGTCGTGATATTTTACTGTCCTCTGTAAATAAATAAAGTATGTATTTCCTTGTTCATTACGCTTCTTTAAAACTTACCTACCCGCTTCTCGTACATGGAGATATCAAAATTGGCTTAGCCCTGCCACCAGATGATGTGGGATCGATGGCCTGGGCCGACCCGACTCTCCACCTCTGGGGGAAGTTCCGTCCATGGTTCCGTCTTGCGCAGCCGGGCGGGCGCACCTTCCCTCGACCCGAGGGCCGAACGGGCCGAGCGGGCCGAGAGGAGGGGGTTGATCGTAAAGCCTAATTAGGAACTTCACCGCCAGCAGCGCTAGCAGCGCGGTGCCGGGCCGTGGCGGCGTCCTCGTGGTGGCCTTCAAGCACTTCAAGGCGGGGCCTGGGGCCTACAGTGCAGGACTGTGGACCACGCAACGGCTGTGTCGGTCAGGTCATCGCATTGCCGCCGTGTTTCCATTTCACCGAAGCTTTATGACAGTTATGCAGCCCGGAAAAAAAAAGCACAGCTGACACGTCATTATCTGCGGCATTATTTCTTTATGTTTTTGCGTGAGTGTCTTTCCGCGGGATGGGTCAAGGCCCACAAGCCCACCACGTGTGGAGAGTAGAGGCAGGGAGCTGGCATGTGCCTGGGCCCCGACAAGCCCCAAGCCTCGGGGCAGGCTGTCTCAGGCCAGCCCCGGACAGACCACAGAGGTGTCATCCCTGTGCACTTTACTCACACGCACGCACACACACACACACACGCACACACACACCTCCGGAAGCGCCACCACGCCCCACCACGCCCCCACGGACAGGGCCGTTGCCTTAAAAGCAAGACGCTGTGTGGCACATCTCGTAAACACTTGAAGGGGAGTATATTAATAAAGGGGCGGGGAAAAGAGGAGGGGGGGGGGCGCGCTTGCTAATGGACAGTCGTGTGTTTACACCGCTTCCCTCTCTCACTCTCTCACGCTGGCGAGCGACGCTACACGACGCCGTAAAGTGTCTCACCTGGTCCCACCGAGCCGTACCGAGCTGGGCCGTGCCAACGGTGTCGCAAAGGCAGCCGCAACCGGCACTCTGGAAAAAAAAAGAAAGAAAGAGAAGAAGAATGGGAGACGCTGGGCGGCAACGAGGAGGCCGACGGGTTGCCTACCCGCGCAGGCGCTCAGCGCGCCCGCCGGCCGCCGGGTCGGCCGCACGGGGACGGCCGTGTGCGGCGTGGTGCCTACCCGGGCGCGGTCGGGCGTTCGGCGAGTCGCTGTCTCCCTCACACTCACGGCCTCACGGGGCGAGTCGTGAAGGTGCGAGAGAGACGGAGCGAGGAGACGTCTGGAGGCTGCGCCGCTTGGCGCCGCTGCGGTGTCGTTGCCATAGAGTCGCTGAACGTTGTTGCGCGGTTCGGGAGGCATGCTCGCTCGGTCCGACCCGAGTGCAGAGAAGCTGGCGGGGGCGGCGGCCTGTGCGTCCCAGGGCCGGGCCTTGCCTTGCCTTGCCGCGCCTTGCCTTGCCGCCATTCCGAGGCGGGGCTGTTGTAACGGCGGTTGCCTGCAAATTGGATTGTGTAGCGGCGGCCGTGGCGTGGCGCGGCGCAGGAGGACGACCTGAGGCGAAGGCGGCTGGGCTTGCCTGCCCGCCCGTTGTGGTAGGGGTTTGACCTCGGGGGTCTTGGGGATCTGGAGAACGGACGGCCCGCGCTGCCGTGCTGCCCCGCGGGACGGGGGCCAGCGGCATGGCCAGGGGCCAGCACCCCTCCGGCCTCCACATTCGAGTGCTGGTGGACTTGAACGAAGCCTCCGTCCCGGTTCAATCTATTGACACCTGCCTGCCACCGGAACCAGAGCAAGGAGAGCGCTCTGCGCCCGCTGGGAGACACACACACAGACCCCGCCCCTCCACACACAAACACACACACTCACACAAAAAGGCCTTTTTCGGTTTCAATCTGGCACACCTGGGCGGCGGGAGTCAATTCGCTTCAACACGGACACAGGCACACTTGTTCACGCTCCGCGCCCCAACCTGCTGTTCAATAATAAATGAGGCCGGGGCAAAAGCACACTCACACACAAAGAAAGCGAAACAACAGCAACAAAAAAGAGGTTTGTTGCAGGAATGCGTACTTGGGAACGATTCGACAGCAAACAAACGCGTTGTGATATTCCACTGTTTTTATTCGCAAATTCCGGAAGAAGAGAAAAAGGCGGGGGCAAGATGGCAACTCAGAGAGGGAGAGCGGACAGTGCGATAGCCCGTCAGGTGGTCGGCCCGCTTTTGTCCGCTTCGCTTTGAGGCCACCAAGGCACCAAGGGCGACGGAGCACCTCTTAATAACAATTTTATAGGGGGCGTGTGACCCGTATTAAATTTGTCGCGGACATGGGGCGGCTGGCCGACCGGCTGGCTGCGGGGCAACCTCCGACACAAGAGGAAAAGAAACCAACAGAAACAACAAGTTTCAAGAACACGAACAACAAGGGGTTGGGACGTCTCGGCGGAAGGTCCACGCAGCAGGTGGCGCGCGCCGTCTCTCTCTCTCTCTCTCTCTCTCTCTCTCTCTCTCTCTCTCTCTCTCTCTCTCTCTCTCTCTCCTCTCTCTATACTTACTCATATATTATATATATTATATATATATTATATATATATATATATGAGAAGAGAGAGAGAGAGAGAGAGAGAGAGAGGAGAGAGAGAGAGAGAGAGAGAGGGAGAGAGAAAGAGAGAGCAGAGCAAACGGCATTAGCGGCAACCACCCTTCCATTTGTTGCTGGAAGATGGATGGGCGTCTGTGGACGTCTCCCACCCCCGCCCCACCCCCGCCACAGCCACCACCAGTGCCTCTCCTCAGCTCTCCTCTCATGCACAGCCACAACACAAAAAAGGCGAAAGGAAAAAGAAAAGGTTCTGACGGGGTTTGAACCCGCACCCTTACGAATTAACCATTCTCGTCCTCGTCTGCCCGGTGGTCCAGTGGTCGCGGAGACGGCCTTGAGGTTGCGGCGAGGGAGTGTGAGGGCCGCCGGGGAAGGCGGGCGGCGAGGCGGCGGGCATGGCGGCGGCTCTCCCCTGATTCATTAGTGCGTGCGAGAGAGACAACCTCACGGCTAATGCACGCGTGCTCCCTCACCGCCCGCAGGCACGCCAGAGCGGGCCAGGGCAGGCGAGGCGGGCCGCGCACAGAGGGAAGCAGAGCAGACCGACCGGAGAAATCCCATTTTTCAATTACCAATTGTGTTCCAGGTGAAACAAAGTGCCGTTTCATTATTTTCCGGCCCTCCCCGGCTGTTTGTTGAAGTTTCATAATTTTATTTTTGCGCGCTTTTTTTTCGTGGCTGACGTTTGGCGGCCTTGGCCCGGAGGTGCATAGCTTGAGGTGCCCTGTCCGGCCCCGGCCCCGCCCCGAACCCTGCCTGCCCCTGCCCCCTGCCACGTCGCACAGCCCGTAAAGCAGCAAAGCACAAACGAAGGCGACTTTTACGGCGAGCGAGGGCGTAATTGGAGTTTAATGCTTGCGTTTCATTGTAACGCAGTGTTACGCCCCGTTTAACGAGAGCCCACCGCGCTCCTGCCCTCTCACTCCCCCGCATTGCCGCTGCAAATGTTTTCTTTCTTTGCCCCCTCCCTTTTTTTTCACGCGCCGCCGGGCCGCCGCCGGCTGGCGAGGACGTCGTGGCGCAGGGGCCGGGCACGCCAGGAAGGCCAGGAATCGGGAAATTACTTTCCGGGGCGATTATTCAAACGGCCTGGACACTTTGAGGTGAGAAATCAGCGAGGCAGAAGAGGGGCCGGCGAGGGGGTGGGGGGAGACACGAGTAGTACGTGTCCTTGGCGTACCCCTTCGGGGCCTCGCCGCGTCTTGGCGTGGTCCTCTCTGGGGCCCGGGGGGGCTGGGGGGGCCTCGGGGGGAGGGCCCCTATGTCGGCACGTCCCGTGGTCTGTTTGCAGGGGACATTTGTCAAAGTGATGTGGCTGTGGCACTGGATGGCCTGGGCTGGGCCGGGCTGCCCCAGGCCCGCTCCACCGCTCCAGGCCCTCCAGGCTCGAGGCAGTCACAGGTGCACAGCACGCCGAGGCGCGCGAGGCGTCGTGACCGAAGCCAAGCGGAGCCAAGCGGAGCCAGGCGAGGCGAATAGCAAGGCGAAGCCTCTAACTGGCAGCTGCGGCTCGCACAGTGGCGTAGTTACGGCAGGTGGGGGGCCAGGCCCAGGCGGCCCGGGCGGGCTGGCGTGCGTGCAGCTGTGGCAGCTGCCTCTGCGCCCCACCTGTGCAGTGCGGCCAATTCCAGACGGCGTCGCTACACTTACACTGCACCCTCTCCCCCCTCCCCCCACCTCGTGCCGGCTGTTTGAAAATTCATACCCGGAGAAACGCGGCGGGCACGACGGCGGGGAAGTCCGGGCGAGGGGAGGCGAGGCGGGTACCGGTAGTCCCGCCCAGGACCGCTGCCACAAAAATACACCGCCTGGCAACAAACGCACTTGCCGCCCCCTGACGACTCCCGCTCTTTCGGCCATACCCATGTTCAAAATTTTAAAGTGAATTTTAACTAAAACCTACATACAAAAGCAACAAAAAAATAGACAACTACGGTTAATTAAGATGCGGGAAATCACTCACATCCAGGTCGGGCAGTGCGGCAACCAGATCGGTTGCAAGGTACGAGTCGCCGAGGCCATGTCACGCCAAGGCCGAGGTCGAGGGTTCGAATCCTGGCGTCGACGAGCAGCGTTTTCCTTGCCCTCTCTCTCCCTCGACATTGCAGTTCTGGGAAGTGATATCCGACGAGCACGGCGTGGACCCCTCGGGCCGGTACTGCGGGGAGTCCCCCCTGCAGCTGGAGCGCATCAACGTCTACTACAACGAGGGCCGCGGTAAGGCGCCTTACTGCCAATGGCGTTCCGTGGCGTTCCGTGGCGTTCCGTGGCGTTCCCTGGCGTTCCGCCGCGCCTCGCGGGCGTTCCGTTAACCCGACCAGAGGAACGCCAGCCATTCCACCGACGGCGCGCTGTGTGCTGTGCGCTGCGCGCCGTGCTTGTCGCGAGACTCACTTTGGGGGAAAAGCCAGGGCAATGCGGTCTCCCTCGAGTACTCGCCGCGCAACTCAAACCGAGTCAAAACGACTGGGTCGGCAAAGTGTTTTTGGAAAGCAGGCTCCAAGTACGTGCCGCGCGCCGTGCTGGTGGACCTGGAGTCCAGCACCATGGACACGTGCCGCTCCGGGCCGTACGGGCAGCTCTTCCGGCCGGACAGCTTCGTGTTCGGCTCCACGAGCGCGGGCAACAACTGGGCCAAGGGCCACTACACCGAGGGCGCCGAGCTCATGGACGCCGTGCTGGACGTGGTGCGTCGCGAGGCCGAGGCCTGCGACCTGCTGCAGGTGCGTGCGTCACGGAGCCCCGTCACGGGGCGCTCCAACGAGGCCGAGGCCGTGACTCAGGGCGAATCACGTCCCGGTCGGCGCAGGGTTTCCAGATGACGCACTCGCTCGGCGGCGGCACGGGCTCCGGCATGGGCACGCTGCTGCTGGCCAAGATCCGGGAGGAGTACCCGGACCGGATCCTCAACACCTTCAGCATCGTGCCGTCGCCGAAGGTCAGTCAGGCCGCCCAAAAAAGTGACGCCGCGAGGTTTTGAACCGAGCGCCCTGTGCTTGCCAGGTGTCGGACACGGTGGTGGAGCCGTACAACTCGGTGCTGTCGGTGCACCAGCTCGTCGAGAACACGGACGAGACCTTCTGCATCGACAACGAGGCGCTGTACGACATCTGCCACCGCACGCTCAAGCTGGGCTGCCCGTCGTACGCCGACCTGAACCACCTCATCTCCGCGGCCATGTCGGGGGTCACCACCTGCCTGCGCTTCCCCGGGCAGCTGAACGCCGACCTGCGCAAGCTGGCCGTCAACATGGTGCCCTTCCCGAGGCTGCACTTCTTCATGCCGGGCTTCGTGCCGCTCACGGCCCGCGGCAGCCAGCAGTACCGGAACGTCACCGTGCCCGAGCTCACGCAGCAGATGTTCGACAGCAAGAACATGATGGCCGCCTGCGACCCCCGCCACGGCCGCTACCTCACCGTCGCCGCAGTCTTCAGGGGCAGGATGTCCATGAAGGTCGTGGAACGTCTGCCGCCTAGTCAGAGCGCCGCGTCTTGTGGCGAGCCTCTGGCACGGCCTCTGGCACGGCCTCTGGCACGGCCTCTGGCAAGGCGGCGCGAGAGTGAGAACTGCAACCCTGCATTGCCAGGAGGTGGACCAGCAGATGCTGAACGTGCAGAACAGGAACAGCCCGTACTTCGTGGAGTGGATCCCCAACAACGTGAAGACCGCCGTGTGCGACATCCCGCCGCGCGGCGTGCGCATGTCCGCCACCTTCATCGGCAACACCACCGCCATCCAGGAGATCTTCAAGCGCATCGGCGAGCAGTTCTCCGCCATGTTCCGGCGCAAGGCCTTCCTGCACTGGTGGGTACCGCGCCGATGTCGCCGTGGTGGCCATCTAGTGCGTCTTCAAGTCGCCTCCCCTGCGCGCAGGTACATCGGGGAGGGCATGGACGAGGCCGAGTTCATCGAGGCGGAGAGCAACATGGGGGACCTGATCGCCGAGTACCAGCAGTACCAGGAGGCCGTGCCCGACGACGAGGACCTGGACGTCGGCGGCAAGGAATAGAGCCTCCCCCTCCCCCTGCCGCAAGGCCCTTTGTCAGACGTGAAGCAGCATTCGTCTTACCATGGACGACATTCCCAGATTTAATTTTCACACTTGGCTGCTCCCTCGGCAAACAGCGTTTTCCCGGTCCCAAATGCTGTCTGCCCGCCCCGGCTCCAGGCCCGGCTCCAGCCTCGGCTCCAGCGGCGTTGTTTGCCAAGGCAGCAGTCGCAGCGCCGCCCGACGGGGCCGACACCATCCAGCAGGCCGATTGCGAACAACAGTGCTTTGTCGTCGCGCTGTCTCTCTCGCACCTAGACTGGGCGCCCCGTGAGTGCGAGAGAGACAGGGCGACGAAATCTTTGTTCGGAGTCAGCGGGCGGAGGCGCAGCGCGCAGACAAGGCGACGGCAAGGAGCGCGTTATTCGCCCTCGACGTCGACGTCGTTCTGCCAATAACGCATCCCGTGAGTCGACGTAACAACGCCGCTCGGACGGAAAAACGAAAACACAAGTATCCGCACACCTGCTAAAAGTAAACAAAACCAGTTTTGCATTTTAATCCCGCTAGTCCCGGCCTCTTGCCGACGCTAAGCACGCCCCGGCCTGGCATGGGCACGGCCCGCCACGGCCCGCCCTGCGGAAGACATCTTTAATAAGCTGAGGGGAAGAAACTGATGGCCGAGGCGAGGGGCGGGGCGGGGCGGGGCGCGCGGGACGAGACGCGGCCCGACGGGTGTCCGCGGGGACGGGGCGCGGCGGGGCGGGGCGGGGTGAGGCGGTGGAGTGGGGCGTGCTGGAACAATACGGACACAGAAAAGTTTGCAAGTTTCGGTCAGAATAAGGCCAGCAGCTTCGGGGAGAGGCGGCGTGGCGGGGGTGGCCGGCGGGGGCGGCCGACGGGTGGAGTACCTGCACACTGCCTGCCATGCGGCGGGGACGGCCGACGGCACGGCGCTGGCTTTGCACTGGGTCAAGGTGGGGCCGCCGCGGGGCACGCCGGGGGAGGAAAGCGAAGAGAGTTAAGACATTATGCAAAAAAATTTTTTTTAAAAAAAAAGAGATACTGTACCTTGGCCGACGTCCGTCACCTGGATGCGCCTGAGGGCGCCGGCCCGGGGACACGACCACGGCGTCGAGGGGCAGCGGGGAAGCGAGAGCGCGGTGAGGCTGGCGTCAAGGGACAACCATCCGGGGGTCGTCTGTTCTCGCCCTCCCCGCCCACACCCCGCCAACGGCTCGGACAACGACCGCCGGACGGGCGGGGCGGGGCGGGGGGGCACGGCGGCGAGGCAGTGTCGGAAGGTCTCGGGGACTCTCGGCGAGCAAGCTAAGGATGACCAGCAGCTACCCCCTCCACTCCGTGACGCCCCAGACCGCCTGCCGCCCGCCTGCCTCCGGGGGTTGCTTCTTTAGGTGACCGCATGACAAACGACCGGGCTGGCGGGGCTGGCCACCCCGAACCGCCGAACCCCGCCGGGCCGAGGGGCGAGAGGTACTGCCAGGTCGTCTAAGTCCAGCTCCCAGAAAATAGAAATAAATAAATTTAATATCCACATTTTTCTTGGTATGAAAACAAGACAGTTCGAACGCTAAGGGTCGAATAGGATGATTTGAGATGTCAAGGATTGAGACCGCTTGACCGTCGGCCACACAGGTTAAGTCCTCAGCCAGCCTATGATGTGGAGAGTTCGGGCTGAAGATCGGCACACCATACACCTGTACGACGGAACTTGCCTACAACCTAGTTACTACGCTAACCTAGGTCGCCACCGCGAGCGTGCGGCGGCTCGGCGCGCGCAGCGCCATCTCGCGGTGACTCGCGGAACCTCGTCCGCGCGCGAGGCCAGTTTGAGCGGTGACAGGGTGTTCGGTGAGCGACCTCAGGACTGTCAGGCGCCACACTGTCTTGACGCAACATTTGACAGTGGAGCAACAGCAGAGGGCTTTGGCGTCCCCCGGACTCAGCATCATTCATCTCGAGCAGCTGGTGCAGCTTTTCTGGTGACGGTGCGCCCGTTGCTACCATCTCAGTGCAGTAATCTGGCTTACCACCACCGCGCGCGTCTGTGTGTGTGTGTGTGTGCGTGTCTGTGGTGGTTCATCCTCTCCGGAGGGCTGCCGAGTCTCTCCCAAATGACGAGGTGATGGTAACAGCAGTAAGTGACACACACGCACGCACACACACACTCACATCCAGGCAGCGCGCGCACACCGCACGCTCCAGACACCAGCCCGCTCTGGTTACAAACTGGGTGTAAAGTCTGACGCACCGCAAGTCGTGTTGCTTGCGCGGGTTTGCCGACAGCGGACGGATTCCGAGAGTCGTCGCTCTGTCTCTCTTGCACTCATGGGGCGCTTCGTATTGGTGCGAGAGAGACAGAGCGACGGAAACCTCCGACGTCCCCAAAGGCACGCGGACACACCGGGGGTGCTTCCAGCAGCTTCCAGCAGCTTCCAGCAGCTTCCAGCCAGGACGCTACTCACGCGACCTTCTTCGCTGCCCCATCAAAGATTTTATCGCTGCTCCATACTCGTGAGAGTAGTGCGAGTGTGAGGGTGTGTGTGCGCGTGTGAGACTAATGTGTGTGTTTGTCACTTGCTGCGTCGTCGCCCCGTCATTTGGAGCAGATTCAGCCCCCGAGCCCCTATCCACGCCCCCCGGCAAGCACACAGATCCTCGGGACGTACGCGAGTAGGGAGAGGGAGAGAGAGGGAGAGGGAAAGAGAGGGAGAGAGAGGGGGGGGGGGAGCGAGCGCCCTGTTTGCTCTACATTATCTGCGGGGTAATTTGTTGCCTGTGTTTGTTTTTATCCGCTCACGGCGACAAGCAGGCAAGCAGGCCGACTGGCGTGAGCGCGCGATCCGATTCCGAATCCACTGCAAGTCACATTCACATTACGGGGAAACGCGCGGGCAGGCATCGAAAAGAACACAAAGACATCGTTGTTGGGGTTGAAGGCAGGCGCGTTGCGGTGAGTCTGCACGACAGTGGAGCGGTGCCGCGTCATTTCGATTCTCGGGAAGCCGGCGCTGCATTCTGAAACCGAACCGCGGCAGAGGCATGCGATGCGCGCTCGTCCCGTCCGCGTTCCGAGTATGTCAACAATTACAATTGTGATTCCGCGAAACCGCCACACACAGGAGCACCGGCGCTTTTCCGCGATTTCCACCCGCGCGTTCCATCGACGCCGCGGCGTTCCGAAACTACCCCCTTCCCTCCCCCTCTAATAGTGGCGGGCGACCTTTCCAAATTGGTTCCCGGGACGGCGTCTCCGCCTTCCAGTGCCCCGCCGCCTCGCGTTCGCGCCACTGCTATTACTCGACGCGCCCCGAAGGCGAAGCGCCGAGCGGGAACCCAAAGGCCGAAGCGCCCGAAGGGGCCGAAGGTCGGGAAAACGTGAGACAATTACTTTTCGCGCATGAATTGCAACTGGAGACCGTGGTGCTACTTCCGCCTCTCTCTCTCTCTCCAACATTAAATCCATTCATTTCATCCGAGACTAAGAGCCCCGGCCGGATTGTCGGGCCCCTCTCGGCTAATGTGCGGCCTGGATAATAAATGACAACTCCCCACAAGAAGTTTTCGCCAATTCCAGGAGAATGAGCGACTCGGGGGGCAATTTTCTCTTGAGCCAATATTTGCGCGCGACGAAGTGGGGGGGGGGGGGCAACCAGAAAACAGAGGGGCGAACATGCGAGACTGGTCTTACTTTATTAAAGACACAATGGCAGTGGAAAAGCCCGAACACACGACGGAGACCGACACAAAGTAAACACGACGACAGGGAAAAAAAAAATTTCGCGAGGAGAATTGTTCAACTTAGGCCTAAGAAATTATTCAAGTCACGTGAGCGGCTGAAGCAGCCCCGGACGCACAGTACAGTTAAGACGACGACAAAATACACACAAAAAACATAACAGGGTTCAGTGAATCACATGTCACAGTACATACACTCGAAAGTAAAATACACCTAGCCTAAATTAAAACTTAAAACGACGCATAATTAAAGGTTAAAACGGCCCGGAATCCCACCGCCCAGATTCCTCGAGCTAATAGTCAAAAGACCCTAAACCTAACAGGACACTAGTGGATTCCAATAAAAGGGTCTACTCCTCTTCCTCCTCCTCCTCCTCTTCTTCCGTCTCGTAGGTCTCCGCCGTGGCCTCCTGGTACTGCTGGTACTCCGCCACCAGGTCGTTGAGGTTGGACTCGGCCTCTGTGAACTCCATCTCGTCCATACCCTCACCCGTGTACCTGCAACAAGAATTTTTAGAAAATTAACAAACGGCCAAAATGTTGACAGCCCTTCGGGCAACTGCCCCTGGGACTCACCAGTGCAGGAAGGCCTTCCGCCTGAACATGGCGGTGAACTGCTCCGAGATGCGGTAGAACAGCTCCATGATGGCGGTCGAGTTGCCCATGAAGGTGGCCGCCATCTTGAGGCCGCGCGGCGGGATGTCGCACACGGCGGTCTTCACGTTGTTCGGCACCCACTCGATGAAGTACGAGCTGTTCTTCAGCTGGATGTTGAGCATCTGCTCGTCCACCTCCTTCATGGACATCCTGCCCCTGAAGACGGCGGCGACGGTGAGGTAGCGGCCGTGGCGGGGGTCGCAGGCGGCCATCATGTTCTTGCTGTCGAAGAGCTGCTGCGTGAGCTCGGGCACGGTGATGGCGCGGTACTGCTGGCTGCCTCGGGAGGTGAGCGGCGCGAAGCCCGGCAGGAAGAAGTGCAGCCGTGGGAAGGGCACCATATTGACGGCCAGCTTGCGCAGGTCGGCGTTCAGCTGCCCGGGGAAGCGCAGGCAGGTGGTGACGCCCGACATGGTGGCGGACACCAGGTGGTTCAGGTCGCCGTAGGTGGGCGTGGTGAGCTTGAGCGTTCGCAGGCAGATGTCGTACAAGGCCTCGTTGTCGATGCAGAAGGTCTCGTCAGTGTTCTCCACGAGCTGGTGCACCGACAGCGTCGCGTTGTACGGCTCCACCACCGTGTCAGAGACCTGAAAAGAAACAACAGCAAGTTGAACACTTCGGCTGCTGGCAGCGGCTTGCGCTGTGGCCGAGGAGGCTGTGGCCTCACCTTGGGGCTGGGCACGATGCTGAAGGTGGCCATGATGCGGTCGGGGTACTCCTCGCGGATCTTGCTGATGATGAGCGTGCCCATGCCGGAGCCCGTGCCGCCGCCGAGCGAGTGCGTCATCTGGAAACCCTGCGGGAACCAGACCCTTGCGTTACACTACGCGCTCAACAGAACCCTAAAAAAGCAATTAAAAATTAAAAAATAAAACGGCTTTACCTGCAGGCAGTCGCAGCCCTCGGCCTCCTTGCGCAGCACGTCCAGGACGGACTCCATGAGCTCGGCGCCCTCCGTGTAGTGGCCCTTGGCCCAGTTGTTGCCCGCGCCGCTCTGGCCGAAGATGAAGTTGTCGGGCCGGAAGATCTGCCCGAACGGCCCCGAGCGCACCGAGTCCAGCGTGCCGGGCTCCAGGTCCACCATGAGGGCGCGCGGGACGTACTTGCCGCCTGCAGCAGCGACGACACAGCGTCACGACAAACTCATGCATGGCAATGGCGGCGGCGGTCAGGGCCGCGCAGAAGTGCAGCGCGCGAATTCTCATACCTCTGTCCCTCTCGCACCTCTGCGGCGCGCCCAAGAGTGCGAGAGAGACAGAGGAACGAGTTGCAACGTACCCGTCGCCTCGTTGTAGTACACGTTGATGCGCTCCAGCTGCAGGTCCGAGTCGCCGTGGTACGTGCCGGTGGGGTCGATTCCATGCTCGTCGGAGATCACTTCCCAGAACTGAGAGAGAGAGAGAGAGAGAGAGAAGAAGCGATACAGTACTGAAATCCCGTGCAGCGCCGCGCGGTCGTTCCGAGAACCGCCGCCACAGCGCGCGTGCGGCGCTGGGGCCGCGGTTTGGCCTCAACAATGCGGCAGACCGATTCCGAGCTCTGCTTGCTTGGCTCTGCTCTCTGCTCTCGTCGTTCTGTCTCTTTCGCGCTCATGAGGTGTGCCGCAAGGGTGCAAGAGAGACAGAGCGACGAGCAGTGCGCGGAATGAGCCTGCAGGGGGCGGCATGTCGAGAGGGTCAAGAAAACGGGCCGGTTATTCGATTGCACAGAAACAAATGGCAGAAAAAAACCCAGAAAAAGACCACAACACGACTGGGAATCAGAAAAGAAAAGGACCTGCACAGAAACAAAGCAACGGAAAGCGTTTCTGCTTCAGTGAGTGATGCTTCTGTCGGGAGTCGAACCGCGGCCAGGTGGAAACGCAACATCAAAACAAAACCCCCAACTATTTTTTAAAAATTGAAAACATGCCACTCATAAACTTTTGTGGATGATTTCGCCATCCGCTCGCCCACGAGGCTACACTCAAAACGATGCGGCATCATAACCCACAACCTTTCATCCGAAAGGGTAATGAAAATAAAAGTCCTCACTGAGAATTACTTACTTTGGATCCGATCTGGTTCCCGCACTGGCCGCTCTGGATGTGCACGATCTCCCTCATCGTCAATAACACTTGCCGACAATCACACGACCAAACAAGCTCTGCCGCGTAACTCGGAAACAGACTGCCTCTGGCGGACGCTCGCTGCCGACTGTTGGACTTTGTTGGGTCAGCGCGGAACCAAACTACCGCCGTTGTCGTGGCGACCAGGACCGGCGCCCTGTGCCAAAAATGGGAACGTGTCGCTGGCCCCGCCGCGACCACCACCACGACGGGGGCGACGGCCTCCTCCCCGTGTTGCTGCGTTTAAGGTTTTTCCCTCGGCGAGGAGGGCGAGCTTGGCGTCTATGAAGCCTGGTTAAATGATTGATTAGTTTATTAATGATTCCGCGTGATAAATGAAGGCGGTGCGGCGCCAAAATAAATAATGTGGCAAGGCGGGGCGGCGTCCGAAAGGTCCGAAACCCCGCCGCGGCGTCTTTGGCTTCTGCTGCGGCGCGGTGCGGCGTGGTGCCGGCGGCCGGCCCGTTCGCACGCGGCCCGTTCGCACGCGGCCCGTTCGCACGCGGCCCGCCAGACCGGGACTCAGCCAGACGTGACGTCGCCGCCGCGGGGCCTCGCCAGTTTAAGCGCAACCTTTCGGGAAAATGGGGAAAAGCGGGCTGCTGCGCTGTCTCTCTCGCACTCACGGGGCGTGCCGCGCGCCCAGCAATCAGCCTGCAGGGCGGCCGTCAACAGCAGCGTAACTGCCGCGCGACTCCGGAAGCTCTGTCTCTCTCGCACTCACGGCGCTGCCCGCAAGAGTGCGAGAGAGACAGAGCGAGGGGCCGCTGCGGCGTGCCGTGCGGCGTGCCGCCGTCATACGACACTCCTGGCACAATGGGGAGCGGCGGAAAGGGCGAAAAAAAGGGGCGGTTCGTGCCCGACTGTCCGGGATTTGGCAGAGAGAAAAGAATCGTCAGGAGCGGCGGCAAGGCGCGGCAAAGCGCGGCAAAGAGGTGAAGGGGGACGGAGTGGGACGGAGGCGCAGAAATTCGTTTGCTCGAGAAGAAAGGAGCATGATTCTCGGGGCGGCGGGGCGGCGGGGAGACGAGCACCGCACCGTTAAAAGCTCGCCCAAAGTAAACTGTTCTGAACGGCGCGGCCGGCCCACCGGCCTTAGGGGCGCGCTGCCCCCTCGCCCCCCCCCCTTTCCGTGAAATACTACCGCCTTCGCGCCACGCGCCCCTACCGGCCCTGCGTACTTCGCAGCCCGACCGCCCCCGAGACCGCCCTTCTAATGATGTGGCATGATGCTAAAATCTACTCCAAATTCATTAACGTCTCGGTCCACTCGTTAGCCAAATTGCGTTGCCTTGCCGTGCTGCGATGCTGCCTTGCCTGCTGCCGTTGCGGTTAATTGAAGTAGAGATGTTACCGCCGCCTCCCCCAAAAAGAAAAAAAGAAAAAGAAAATGCGCGGGAGGTGGAGTTGAACCCACGAACTGGACGTAACGCAGTGATAGGTGGAATGCAGCGGTACAGTAAAATGCGCAGCCGGACAGGTTGTCTGTCCGTGTCTGCCGCTGCCTTCACTTTACCATCCTCTGTCGCTCTCGCTCTGCCTCTGGTGGCAGAGCTCTCCAGAGTTGGGGCGGCTGGGTGGCTGAATCATCCCTTGCTGCCACTACCAGTGTTGCCAGTGCCCTACCGCTGGTATCGTTTTCGTCACGGCTCGCTGCGTTTCGAAAAGCTGTCCACGGCACGGCGCGCCGCGCCTGCCAAAGTATTTATCATGACTTGCGTCTGGATCGGCCGCCTTAAAACTGCTGAGAATTAAGCGAGGGTGGCCCCGGCCCTTCTCTCTGTCACAGTGGATTATTCCCCCTCCCTCCGCAGGGCCTGCTCGGCCTCCGCGGCCTCCACGACGGCCTCCCCAGGAAGGCGCGCCGCCCGCACTTTCCGTAAAACGGTTTCTTTAAAAGTTATCACCAAATGGACCGCGCCGCCGCCGAGCCGACAACTTGGACGCGTTGTCTCGCCGCCCATGTAATCGTCGCGCGCTTTTCCGCGGTTTCAATTTTTGCCGCGTCACCGGTCTGCCTGTCTGTCTGCCTGCCCGTCCGTCCGCTCGCCCGCAGACACGTGGCGGAAGGCCGGGCGGCGTCTCCTTCAACTGGAGGGCAAGCAGGCAAGCAGCAGGCCAGGGATGCTTTTGTTGTGGTGCTGGCGCTGCCGCTGCGCACCGCTCCGCACCGCTCTGCCCGTCGACTGGTTCCGAGAGTCGTTTTCGTCGCTCTGTCTCTCTCGCAACTGTACGGGACGCCCCACGAGTGCGAGAGAGACAGAGCGATGAGTCCGCCGACCGCGGCGCGGTGCGGCGCGGCCTCGGCCCGCCACTCAGCCCCCGCCTCATTCCTCGGCCATTGTCTCGGCCATCGGCGTTCATTTGCATCCGTGCACAATACCAGCACCTCGGCGAGGCGAGGCACTTCTAGTGCTCCTGCCTGCGGCCTGCGGCCTTCTGCCTGCGTGTCGCCCCAGCCTTTCTGCTTCCGTCAACGCCAAAAAGACGCCTGTTTTACTTTTTATCAAGTTTTTTCTTTCCCCCAGCGGTTCCAGTGATGCGTAAACGGGAGATGATAGGCCGTGCTAATTGTTGGCCCGTTGGTCGACGGGGCGGCACGGTAGGGCGCGGTGCGCGAGGGACAGGGGGCGTGGCGGGGCTTGGCGGGGCGGGGCGGGGCGGGGCGGGGCGTGCGGGTCGCGGCTGCTGATGCCGTGCTGCTGCTTCTGCTGTTCGGTTGGGTAGGTAGCACTGGAGCGTCCCTGCGCCACAAAGACGGCCCCACCGCCCCGCCCCGCACCCACCGCGGGGGCAAGGGTCGTATTGCCCAGCCCAGGCAGGCGGGCAGGCAGGCAGCAGCCCCGGGGCCCGAGGGGAAACAATTATTTTGTGTCAGAACAACATCGTCGGTCGGTTGGCTGGCTGGGTAAGCAAAGGGGCGGAACATTAGGATGTCCATGCTCGCTGCTCGCCGTGCTCGCCGTGCTCGCCGCCGCGGCGGTGGTCGAGCAGCTCGCCGTGGCGGGGCAACACGCTGCAGCAGACTCTGTCTCTCTCGCACTCACAGCGCGTCCCGTGCAGGTGCGAGAGAGACAGAGCGACGACTGTCGGAATCAGTCTGCTGCGGAAGCGAGCTGAAGCCCGGCGGCGCGGCGCGTCTCAAAACTTTTTCCACCGCCGCCGCCGTGCCGGACAAGACCCCTGCCGTCTTGGAGAGTCGGCAGCGTCTGGTGCGCGCTGGCCTATTACCGCTAGTTTGCTATGGCGAGGTGGAGAAAAAGTGCTAAATAGGGAAAGTGAGGTCGAGCGAGCAGCGAGTCGAACCAAATCTCGAAATGCCTGACGCCAGACTGCGGAATGAGAAGTCAGCGGCTGCGCTTGTTTACTAGTGTGGTGAATGGTCGGCAGAGTTCTGAGAAGTTGGCGCCACACGTAAAAAAAGAATTTGTTGTGACAACGAAAATGTATGTTGATTTTGGGATAGCTAAAAAAAGTTGTTGGGCGTACTATCAATTCGTTGTCAGAACGAACATTTCGTTCTGACAACGAACTATATCGTCAGGAGTACTAAACATAATAAAAATGAATGTTTGTGCTCCTGACGAATAATTTGTCGTGAGAGCAAAGTGTTCGTTCTCACAACAAATTTATAGTACGTCTAACAACTTTTTTTTTGCTATCCCAAAATCAACATACATTTTCGTTGTCACAACAAATTCTTTTTTTCCGTGCACTGCCTGCGGCGAAAAGACAAAGACACCTCCGGGGCCGGAAGTCGAATTACGACGTCAAACTATCGGATCATTTCCGCTGATGCTGCTTCAGGGAGACGGGTATTTTGGAGGTGTAGTGCCCACATGTGAGTACTCGCGTCTATATTCATGTCGATATTCACGTCTACGTGAGAGGTGTTTCCAGTGGGCCAGCACCCCGTACTGGAGGCGACCCTTCGAGCCCCCGACGGCCGGGGACGCAGCACGCGGACGGGGCGGTCCGCCGGGTTGCCTAGCCGCTCGTTCACAGGCGCGCTGGGCTCGCGCTGGGGCGTGGGAAGCGGAGGAAGGGCCGGCAGCAGGCTGGTCCCGAACGAGAGAGCTTCGTCGCTCTGTCTCTCTCGCACCCCTGCGAGACACCCCACGAGTGCGAGGAGGACAGAGCGACATCGTTCGGAAAGGGCCTGCTGGCGGTAATCGAATTACCGCGCTCGCACGCTATGGGGGCTTGGTGCGGCCCGGCGGTCACGCAGACCGTGCGGCGGGGCGGCCAAACAACCAGGATGGCGATGGCGGTTCTTTTTACGGGTTACTCGACGGCGTGCCGAAGGTATCTCCATTTCGGCGGGCGAAACTGCGACGCCGTCTCGCCGCCGCCCGCGGCGTCGTCAAAAATTGATCTGGGAGGGTTCGGCCTTCGGGCGGGTTGTTTGAATATCGCGCGGTACGTGTTGGTGTAAAACGCGCGGGCGGGGGCGCATCGGCGCGGTCGTCGCGGAGGTGCGCTTTACAGCGCGCAGCCCTAAAACCGGAACGCCGAAGTGGTCGGCAAATGACGGCGGGCGCTGGGCGGGCACCACGACGGGCACCATGACGGGCGCCTCGCAGGCGGTGCTCCTGGTCGCACCACCGCAAATAATGACACGGCAGTCTCGAAAACGAACGGCACCTTGCTGCCGATGCGCCGCAGAGTCAACAGCGGCTAGTTTGGCGACGTAGGCGCCACGGCGTGTTCCTATGGGTTCCGATGCAATGAGTGACGGGGGCGTCGTCGCCCCTCTCCGTCGCACCTCCAGCGGCCCGGGATGGCAGACAAAGACACGAGCTTTGGGCTGCCCAGCCGATGCGCATGTGGCGGACGAAACACGGAACCAGTGCACGTCTTGCGACAATAGTGTGTTTTCATATGGTGCGGCACCCACGTCACCGGCTCGAGGCGCTTCCCTGGGAACACCTGTGTCCTTGACGCGGTGCGCGCCCCGAGGTGGCGCTCCTGCGGCCAGCTTCATCACTGAGGCCTTGCGGCGTATATAAGCAGCAGGGCGCCTCCCCGACGGTACGTTGCACTTCCAACCGTCCCACTACAATGGCCGCCAAGTTCGTCGCTCTCGCCCTCGTGGCTCTGTTCGCCGGCGTGAGTAGAGCAGCCCGCTGTCGCAGGGCGAGATCGCTTTGTCTCTCCGACTAACTTTGCGGATTTTGATGTCTCTGTTTTTCCTCGGCAGGCGAACGCCCAGCTGTCTGCGACCGCTGGTTCCACCAACATGTTCAGAAGCCTCGCCCAGTTCGGCAAGAACTCCGCTGCCCGCCTGGCCGCTGACGGCGCCAGAAACCTGGCTGCCATCGGTAACCTGGCCTCCACCGGAGTCAACGCCGCCGAGGACATCATCAACGCCGGCGTGGGCGTCAGCAGTGGCATCGCCAGCACCGTCAACCAGCTCGCCTACAACGGCGCCGTCAACGCCGCCAACGCCGCCCGCCAGGTGGCCAACATCAAGCAGGGAGTCCTCGAGACCGGCATCCGCGTCGCCGCCGACGCCGCCCAGACCGGCCTGAACATCGCCGCCCGCGGAGTGAACCTCGCCAAGTCCGCCGCCGAGAACGCCTTGGCCCTGGGAGCCAACCTCTCCAACGCCGTCCTCGACGCCACCTCCATCGCCGCCAACCGCGCCGCCAACATCGGCTCCAACGTCGTGGCCGCCAAGGGGAACCTCGCAAACCGCGCCATCAGTGCCACCGAGAACGTCGCCACCAGGGTGGGAACCTCCATCGACGGCGCCATCAACTCCGCCTCCAACTCCATCCAGGGCCTCGTCTCCGACGCCTCCGCCGGCATCAACAGCGGCATCAACTCCGCCGTCAACGCCGGTGTCAACGCTCTTAACAACCTGGCCGTCAACGCTATCAACGCCGCCAACACCGCCGAGGTCGCCGCCGCCGACGCCACCGCTGCCGCCGCCGCTGCCGCTACCGCCGCTGCCAACACCGCCGAGGTCGCCGCCGCCGACGCCACCGCTGCCGCCGCCGCTGCCGCTACCGCCGCTGCCAACACCGCGGCCGACGCTAGCCTCAACCTGTCCGTCACCGTCTAAGCGTTACATGAAGCGCGCAGTGGGCTGAGGGAGGCCGACGCTCCGTTTCTGAATAGAGTGTGTCCTGGTGGCAGGAGGTTCTTCATGTCATAAAGGTCCTTTCTCTTCCATCAAGATGGGCGGAGGAAGTAGTCTTTTCTGGCAGGAAGTACGTCCTTCTGGGGCAGATCCTCTTAAAGGAGCATGAGTGGAAGCTCGACCAGTTGAAACGTTCTACGATCACGACGTTTAATCCGATGGAATAAAAGACAACACACAACCCTGGATACCAGTCTTTTTTACATTTATTTCTCACCATTTTACCCTCTGTTTACGAAAGAAAGGAGATGCAGCCAACAAAAAACTAAAAGTGGATGAAGTGCAGTCAACCTGACATGAAATAGAAAAGAGATTTTTTTTGCCCATGAAGCAAAGTGTCTGTAATCACAATACTGACATATTATTGACGGACGTATACAAAATATTGAATACAAAATTTAATGAAAATGTAAGAAGAAAATGGGTGCGTTTTATTGTTGAGAGAGTAAGATAAAGAGAGGGTTTGGTTGAGAGCTTTTTGTTTTCGCGGCGTTGGTTTGTGCACCGCTGTGGTACCCCCGATCGGCAGACTACTGAAGCGACCACGTCTCAAACCCTTTCGGCCATGGGTCATTCCGAAAACACGCACATTGGTGCTGATATTTGTTGGTCGTACTTCGTCAGTTGAGCTGCTTGACACATACCTCCTTTTGTTCCTCACCTACAGTCGTCATAAAACAAATGACCTAAGGATGGATTTCCATTTTCTTTTGAGCGGCAGAACCAACAGATCGAAATGATTCTCATTATTCTCCACGCGCGCCGTACATGCGCAGCGGAAACGCGAAGGCAAATATTAAAATTGCTGTTCCAATGTTTGGGTAGTGGCTCCTTAGCAACAGCGCGTGGCTCGCGGCGAACCAGGCACATCACGCGATTAGTGAGAAGCAGCACACACAGGTGCACTGTGTTTGATATTGTTTTGTCCGTGTTTGCACACCGCACCGGCGGTGCGGCGCGGAAATCTTTGCGTTTCCCCGAGACTGCCTGACTTGGGGGGCGACTTTTGGGTGGTGCCATGGACGCGACCAGGTACGACAATAAATTAATTTATTACAAAAATGGTGTTAAGGTCTAGATGGAAGGTTTATTGGAAAGTACCGCTGCGGCTTACTGGCCGAGGCTGACGCTGAAGGAGCCCAGGGGGCCGCGCACGTTGAGGGCCGCGTCGCCGGACACCCTGAGGGAGTCCCTGGCGGCGCCGAGGGCGGACAGCGGGTTGCGCAGGATGCTGGTGGCGCCCCTGGCTGAGTTGACGGCGTTGCCGATCATGCCGGACAAGGCGCCGCCCGCGGAGTGCGCGGCGTTGCCGGCCATGTTGAGGGCGGACGACACGAGGTTGGCGTTGGCCCTGGCGAGGCCGGACACGCCGTCGAGGACGCGGTTGCCGACGTTGCCGCTCAGCTCCAAGCCGGCGGAGGCCATGTTGGCGGCGGTGTCCACGGCGCTGCGGGCGAGGTTGGCGGCGCCGGTGGTGGCGGCCTGGAGTCCGCCCTGCACGCGGCCGCCCACCTGGCGGCTGCGGCTCACGAGCCCCTCGGTCATGCGGGTGGCCAAGTCCACGCCGCCCTGGGCCAGGCGGGTCGCGGCGTTGACGCCGCTGAGGGATGCGCTGATGCCGCCCTGGAGGGCTCCGTTGACGCCGTCAGCGACGCGGCCTCGCAGGGAGTTGCCGCTGTTGACGCGGTCGGCCACGCCGTCGCGCACCTGCTGGGTGAAACCGCCCTGGTAGTCGGCCGACACGGACAGCCCGCCGATCCTGAAGCCGACGCCGCGGCTGGAGGAGCTGTCGCTGCTGCTGGTGGTGCTGGAGGTGGTGCTGGAGACGCTGGAGGTGCGGCGGCTGGAGAGGCGCTGGCGGAGGCCGGCGGTGCGCTGCTGGCTGGAGGCGCTGGCGGTCGCGGCCGGGGAGGACGCCGACGCACTTAGGCTGAGGTCGCCGAGGAGCGATTCGCCGCGGCGGACGGTCTCGGACGCACTGGGGGCTGCACAGGTAAATTGCAAATTAGCTACCTTTACAAAGGAATAAAACTTAAATCACAAGCAAAAATTGAATGGCATCGGCAAACCTGTTTGGCTGGCGCCCAGTCTGGAGGAGAGTCCGAAGCCACTGGAGCGTTCTTCTTCTTGACCGCTGCTGCTCGCCCTGAAGCTGAGGCCGAGCCCGTTGCCGCCCTGCCTGGAGTTGCTGGCACTGCTGCCGGAGTTTCCGTTGACGTTGAGGCCGAAGCTGCTGCCGAGCCTGTTCTGGGCCCTCTGGCTAATGCTCTCAGAGCTTCCAGAGTTGCCGTTGCCGTTGACGTTGAGGGCAAGGCCGAGCCTGCTCTGCGCCCTCTCGCTGGCACTGGGGCTTCCAGAGCTTCCAGAGTTGCCGTTGGCGTTGACGTTGAGGGCAAGGCCGAGCCTGCTCTGCGCCCTCTCGCTGGCACTGGGGCTTCCAGAGCTTCCAGAGTTGCCGTTGGCGTTGGCGTTCAGCCCAAAGCGTCCACCCAGCCTGTTACCGAATCCCCACCTGGAGTTGCCGGAGTTGCCGGAGTTGCCGGAGCTTCCGGAGTTGCCGTTGATGTTGAGTCCGAATCGGCTAGCCAGTCCACCCTGCCTGGAGCCGGCGGAGCTATCGCTGTCGGAGTTACTGTTGGCGTTGAGTCCAAGGCCCAGCCTGCTCTGGCCGAGGCCGAAGCCGAAGCGGCGGCCAGTGCTAGAGGCGGTGCTGGAGGCGGTGTTGGAGCCGCTACCTGAAAGGTTCAGTTCGGCTTCACCGTTGTTGCGAGACGCCTGGGCGCCCTGTCCGCTGGCACCGAAACGGAGGCCGAAGCCGGAACGAGCGGAGCCGGAACCGGATCCGTTGCCATTAATGTCAAGACCGGAACCGAGCTGTGAGCCGGAAGAGGAGCCGGAACGGCGACCGTTGATGCCAAGTCCAAAACGGGAACGCAGAGAGCCGGAGTTTGAACCGGAGCCGGACTCAGATTTAGAGCCTGAACCGGACGCGTTGATACCGAGTCCCAGACGGCCGGAGCCAGAGGCGGCTTCCACGGACTTGGCGCTCTTGTCGGAGGCGACTTCGAGGCTCTTCTTGGCCTCGGCGGCCTTGCTGACCTTCGAGCTACCCCGTTTCCCCAGGATGCCGTTAACGTCGATCTTCACGTCGGCCTTGTCGTCCAGACCGTGGAGCGTCTTCATCAGGTTCATGATTTCACCCTTCTCGTCAGAAGAGCTCTTGGAGCGACGCCTGCTGCTCTTGCTGCTGCTGGCCTTGGCGTTGACGTCGAGGTTGGCGCTGCCGGATCCACCGAGGTGAGCTTCGGCGTTTTTCTTAAGGTTGGCCTTGCCGTTGAGGTGAGCTTCGGCGTTTTTCTTAAGGTTGGCCTTGCCGTTGAGGTGTGCCTCGGCGTTTTTCTTAAGGTTGGCCTTGCTGTTGAGGTGTGCTTCGGCATTTTTCTTGAGGTTGGCCTTGCCGTTGAGGTGTGCCTCGGCGTTTTTCTTGAGGTTGGCCTTGCCATTGAGGTGTGCGTCGGCGTCGAAGTGAGCGTCAGCCTTGCCCTTGAGATCGGCCTTGCCGTTGAGGTGAGCGTCGGCGTTGAGGTTGGCCTTGCCGTTGAGGTGTGCGTCGGCGTTGCTTTGGAGGTTGGCCTTACCGTTGAGGTGTGCGTCGGCGTTGCCCTGCAGGTTGGCCTTGCCGTTGAGGTGAGCGTCGGCGTTGGCGTTGAGGTTGGCGTTTGCGTTGGCGTTGGCACTAGCCCTGCCGGCGGCGCCCAGGCGGTGCGCGCTGCCGATGGTCCTGAACCTGTCGTGGACACTGGCGGCGGAGATGCCGGGGATGTGCCTCCTGGCGCGCAGGGGGTGCTTGTCGGCGGCCCCGTCCAGGAACTCGAAGTCGGTCACGTCGACGGACTCGACGGACGCCTTCTGCGCCTGGGACTCGCCATGGACCTGGAAAGGAGAAGCCGAGAACGTGACCGCATTGACTCGAACAGCGGAAGCGAAACTCGAAAACGAAAGTGGAGGTTGGAGACTCACGCTGGCTAGTAGGAAAGCTCCGAGGAGCGCGGCAAACAAAAGTCTGCTCACCATGTTGGCTGGCAAGTGCTACTGCAGAAGTCAGCCCGCGGCCCGCGCCTTATTTATACGCGAGGCCCAGCCAAGGTGTGCAAACGGTGTAAACCCGCGCCTGCCTACGCGTCACCGCCAGATGGCGCGGCGGTCGCACATCGCACCCCGTCACTGTTTGCCCCCGAGCCTCTCCGATGAACGCGACGCGACGCGGGGGCTGCAGCGCCGCGCCCACCAACGACGCCCCGCGGTCGGGGCTAAGCGATCGACAACAAAAGCACGGCTCCAAATCGTGTTTTCGAATTTTGACCGGGGCTGCATGGCAGCCCGCGCGCGTCTGGCGCGGCCGGCCAAGCTGTGTGTGCACTGTGACGCGGCCGCGTTCAGCGAACGGGCTTTTTCCCAACGGCCGTTTCGTCGCGCTGTCTCTGTCGCACTCGTGGGAGGGCCGCGGAGCGCGAGAGAGACGGAGCGACGAATCGGCTCGTCGGAATCTCTCGTCAGGTCGCCGCGCGCGCAAGAAGGCCGACTGAAATGAATGAGGCACGTTTTGACGTTCGAAAGCCGCGCGCGGTGACTAACACTTCGTTAGCACTGCGAGGAAGTCGGCGTCATTATTTTATTCTTGGTTTCCCGATCCCCGTCATTGCGCTTATCAATGCCCGGGCACGCAGCGCGGCGCGGCGCAGAACTTTCCAGAAACGGCGTGGTTTCCGCCTCAAGTTGTCTGACGCCACGGCGGGGGGCTCGGCGAGTCGTTTTCTGACAAATTAAGGAAGGATCATTTGAAAAGCCGCGGGGCGAGTCTGAAACGACCCTGGTGTAGGTAAAAGCAAAAGCACAAAAAATGATCAGTGCTTCGTTCATTTGGACTTTTTGCGCGACCGCGACCGTTTTTGATTCGAGGCTACCCGTGTGTTGCCTATAGTGTTGCAATCATCTGACGAAAGTTACTACAGTCACCGTGAAAGGAAAAACAGCTGTGACAGTGAGCGTGTGGATTTGATGACGGCTGAGAGGGAAAAGGGAGGGGGGCTTTCCCCCAGGCGACGCTAAGAGGCTCACGATGAGGAGTTTTGCAGGGCCGGCCGCGTGGCCGACGCCTCAGCTCGTAAGTTATGGAACAAAATGGGGCGAGCAAGGCGAGCAGGACGAGCAGGGAAGGGCGTCCAAAAGTTGGTGCTCCATCGGCTGGGAGGGCGGCGTGGCGTGGCGCGGCGTGCCGGCATCAGCCTCCCAGAGTGGGGACAGGGAGGGCAAGAAGGAGACACTTCCAGTGCCACGGAAGGTGCGCACAGCGTAGGGCACGGCACGACTCGTTTCAATTTCGAAAAACCATTTTGGCATTCACCATGTGAGAACCATCGAGAAACTTTGTCGACGAATTTCGGTTTCGTTTTCACGTCGAGGTTTTCTGTCCGTGTCCCACGCTCTTTCGCGTTGGCGCCAACAACGGCCGGGGTGGGTGCGTCTCGCTGCGCGGGCCTCGCTCCTCGCTCTCGTGCACCACATCTTTTGATCCGCGCAGTGAGTAGCGCCTCAGAGCGCCGTCTCCGGCCGTCTCCGCGCGACAGTCGCTTTTAATCAGCGAACGCCTTTTGTCGCGAGCTGACTTTGGAACCGCCGCTCCGTCTCTCTCGCACCCCACCGCGCCGCGCCCTGAGTGCGAGAGAGACAGGGCGCCGCCCCGCCGCCGTGAGTTATCGCCCGCAAAGTGCGTTCCGGGCTCTGCGGGCGAATCGTTAGCGCGGCGCGCGTCAACCGGCTGGCTTGGCGTCGATACCCCACGCCGGGCGCGCGCGCGGGGTAGCGGCGGACGCCCGGCAGGCAGACAGACAGACAGACAGGAGGCCCACCGGGTTGCCTACCGCCCGGGCTGACCCGGCGGAGGGGCCGCGCGGGGCTCTCGCTCGGCTCGCTCGCGCCGCTATCTGTTGCATCTTCCGGGACGCACACCACCACGCACACACGCTCGCGTAAAAACACACACACACACACACACACACACACACATGCACGTACACGCACGCGCACACACAAACACAGCTTCTTTCTCCGTGGCGCCGCCTCGGTATTGGAACAAGTTCCCCGCCCAACTTGCATGAGTGCCCCGGCGCCGCTTCGCCGCTTCGCCGCTTCGCCGCTCGGCCGCTTGGCCGCCGCTTTCTAAAGCCAAAGCCCGGGCGCACTTTTTAATTAGCGCTAGCGCGACGTATATTGCGGCACGAAACTAGTGCGGCCGCCTCGCCCGCCGCTCCCGGACGAAAAAGCGCTTTGTTCGAAACAGCGGAGCGTCGGCATGGTGGCCGGGGCGACGTCGCCGTAAAAAAATGGCCACTCCCTTTACACATGCAGGCGCACCGCGGCGCCGCGGCGGCAGGGCGAGGCGCAGCGAGCAGCGAGGACCGCGCCGAGATGAGTTGGTTAAACTTTGAGGGCGGCTTGACCTGGCCGTGGCGTGGCGTGGCGGGGGCGGGGCGTGGCTGAGCCTCGCGGAAGGGGGCCGTTTTAATAAAATAAGACGACGCCGCGTGCGTGGAGGGGGCGGCCATAAAGCAGCCGGCTAAATAAACAATAGGCCAGTTAGGGAAGGACGCGAACCGAACGTGCCCGGGGTCGGCGAGGCCGCCGAGGCCGCCGAGGCCGTGGGGCTGGTCGGTGGAGCCCCGGGTATTTACCCCCGGCCTACTTCCCTTCCTGGGTGCCTGACACTGCCTGCGGCCTGCGGGTAAAATGCGGCGCAGAACGAAAAGAGGCTTTCCGGGATAATCCCGGACTGCAGGGACACGGCGTGGCGCGCGGCGCCAAGGAAGGCGCCGTAATGGCCCCTGCGAGTGTGGCGCGGGGCGCGTGTGTCTGAAATATCGGTCTGGCTGGCGGCCTGGTCGGCCCGGGGCGCTACTTACACGCGGGACGTGCTGTGTAGGGTGATTAACTCTATCTTTCCTGTTTCTGTCTGTCTGTCTGTCTGTCTGTCTGTCTGTCTGTCTGTCTGTCTGTCTGTCTGTCTGTCTGTCTATCTGCCTGTCTGCCTGTTCGGCGTCGGTCCGCGCGTCCACCGCGACGGACAAGCTGCTTACCCTCTTGGCCGTCTCCACGAGTGCCTTTCACCACTACTTACCGAGTGGCGCCGCAAGCCGCAAGCCGCGAGCTTCGGGAAGCTTCGGGAAGCTCGGCCGCGCTGACCGCACCACTTCGGGTCACGCGGTCCGGCCGGCCGGACGTCGAACGCGCCCGACGGAGAGTGTTGGAGGAAATGTGCTCGAAGCCAAGTTGGTCGCCGAGCCACTTATGTAGGCCCGGATTACTCCGAGTCTAAGTGGCAGAGCGGCATGGCACGCCAGCCAGCGCCAAGGCCCGGCCCGTTCGAGGGGCTTGGGCTTCGGGCTTCTACTAGTGGCGCAATGCGCGCAGAGGCAGCGAAGCGGCAGCGCGGTGGCGGAGTGGACCACTAGTGCACGATACACACACACACACACACACACACACACAATGAGCGCAAACACGCGGAATTGGATCTATTATACTCCGTTGTCCACGTGGAATGGGACCCCGCGGGTAAACAATTTGGTGCTCGCGCACTGCGCATGCTCAATTTATGGCACACATGTATTTTTTTGGTGGTAAGGGGGGGGGGGTGAAGAAAGGGAAGGGGATAGCAGGGACAAAATAACTTTATCAACATTTAATAAACACGTGTGTTTTCCGCGCGTTAAGAGGAATGGCGGTGAGCCTCTAATGGTAATGGCAATGTGAAGTCTGCAACGCGTAGCAGGCTAGCGGGTTGCCTATGCTCGACTCTGCGGGCGCACAGCCCGGCACCGCCAGGGACCAGCAGGGCTGCCTTGGTTGGAAGCAGTGTCGGATCCAGAGCCGGCCTGGGGAAGGGGCAAGGCAGCACTCCTTGCCTACGCACAGGGGGCTTTTTGCCCACCTTTCAGGCGGCCATAATTCAATCTGAACTTGCTCCGCGCTTTTATGTTTGGCGCAGAAATGGAGGATTCTAGGATCACCCGGTCCGAATGCATAAAAACGAGATGAGGCCCTCTGCCATGGAGTGCCGTTTGCTTGCCGAAAGGCGGGGCGGGGCGGGGTGGGGCGGGGCGGGGCAGCCGGCCTTCCTTGCAGTGGGCCGCCCCGCCACCCTCGGCCGGCCGTGTCATCGGGGTGACGCACTTGGATGCGATAGCGGGCGTGGCGGACCGTGGCGGGGCGGGGCGGGGCGCGGCGGGGCGGGGCGCGGCGGGGCGGGGTGAAGCAGTAAGGCGACAGGCGTGCATCTTCTCGGAGTCGGTGAAGTTGAAACGGACTGCGTGATCATAGAGGTTGGGTGGAGCGCGCCCCAGACGACCTCCCCCCCCCACCATCCACGTCCCCGAGCAGGGCGTGAAGCAGAGCGCCACTCCTAATTCATCCTTTATCTTCTGGCTGCGGAAGACGACGCTGTGCATCCATCTCAATTCTCTCTTTTCTATTGTTTTTTAGCAGATGATACCTTCACACTTGAAACATACTTAAAACTACTATACACATGAAGGTGTCAGCGTGCTTTTACTCTCGAGTCCAGAAACGAAGCGCGTAGGAAACCAAACGAGTATAAACCGAGAAATTTGAAAGGGAAAAGAAAAAATTTGAACTCTACACCCCCTCCCCAGTCTTAATGGGGAGGCCTCCTGCTTTACTTCGGTGTTCGGGATGGGAACCGGTGCTATCAGGTACCTGGGGTTAATCCCGTCAGCGACCCAAGCGTTCGCCGGGGGACCCAGTAGGACCCCAAAGCTCAGGCAGCTGGGTGAGAGCACCCAGTACGAAGCTCTTAGAGGGGCGGGACGTAGAGTGAGACGACAGAGAGACAGAGAGAGACTCAGACAGAGAAGAGGTTTGGTGGGAGCTTCTTGTTTTCGTAGGGTTGGTTGTGTACCCCATGGTACCCCCACTGTCCGGCGCTCCCGTACCGAACATACAGCGTTTTAGGCCAGCTTCAAAGGACTTATCATCGCCTCCCCGACAAGTCAAGGAGGCACCACCCGCAACCACACACCGGGTGGTCTGGATTGATGGATCAAATACGCCATCGCTCCAGTGCCGAGGCCAACCCGCCGAAGCGGATTGCTTTTTAGACACCCA